ACTAAATTTGCTGCTGCATGTTGACTTTTGTCTTTTCAGCAAAATATTTAAATATCTGTACATTTGAATGTTAATCTTTGTGTGAAATCTGCATTTCTCAAATCAAATCCATACACCTCCAGTACAGGAAAGGCGCTACACATTTTATTCATTTAGGAACGTTTGCCAAATTAAGCCTTCCAATAAAAAAGTGTACACCCGAATTTCAACGAGAGTTTGCTGCTGGAACAAGTGAACGCTATAGCACTTCCCCGTACGACTACTTTCAAGTACTTTCAAGTTCATGCTAGACGATAATGGGCCTCGAGCGTAAGTTCAACCGTCGTTATGTGGAGAAATCGGGACAGTTGAAGGAAAATAAAATCACCATTGAAAAGAATAGGTACCCCAAAAACAAAAAGAACAATGATGTTGACATCACTGTGGAGTCGCCAGAGTTTCAATTGCTCGTGAAGCTCTTTGTTCCATCAAAACTACTTATTCATAATAACAAAGTATCCAGAAAGCAGCTTTCCACATATCTACCTCCGATTATTGAGAGTGATTCCTTTTCCTCTCTCAATTTTGAGCTTCATATTTTCTTAAGCTCTATTGTTACTTCTTACGTTACTTCGTGGTACTTTCTGAAGCTAAACACCGAAGATTTCGAGTTTGTGGGAAGTGTATACAATGTGCTATGTGCTTTTATACGGGATTTCTCTCGAAGAGTGAGTTCCGTCGTTGAGCTGACCCGATTGTTGAATTTGCTCAATAGATGTGCATTCATACTCGATGACCACATTGAACGAACGAAATTGGACGATGGACTTCCTAGATTTATAAGGCAGGACCTAATGAAGAGGGAGGCGTCCATATCATCTAGAGATGAGTTGTCGACAGAAAGAATAATAGATGACCATCTTCAGAAAAGTCATGTCATTTTTTTGACCGACAAAAGGACTGAGCCCGGTACAAGCGATGAAAGAAGAACAAACCGTCTTAAATATTTGAGATTGGTGGTTAAAAATATAATGAGTGCTTCATTCAAGGCTGAGGATTTGGATGTCTCAAAAACTCCGATTTCATCTACGATAGCCATGAATTTGGTAACATCAGTGTTGGCTGATTTGGTACTAGACAGACTTCTTTACAAAATGTCTTCCCCCCAGTTCCTCTTGCAAACTGTGATTGGAAAAATTGGAACGAAAATCCGAGCAGCGATGCTGTCCCGAAGTATCCCGTATAAGAACTCCATGTATAAACGTCTCACAAGCTCAGTTTCTTCGATCTATCTCAATGCATGTGCTTTATGGACTTTTGGCATCGATGATAAAAAGGCCGAACTTGACCAGGTCCCACCAATATTGTTTTCTCCAGTTTTATCTTTGATTAATCACATTACTAATTTAAGCCTGCGCAAACCAATATGGACTGGATTTTTGAGTATTTTCCGCTCGGCAATAAGTGCAAGCTCTCTATTGACCGAGAAAGTGGAACGCTTTGTTGCAAAGTATCTAATGAATCAGATTAGACACGGGGACTTTCTACAAGACGAAACACAGGCTAGCTTAGTAGCGATGATCAGGGAGATTGTGTTTGATAATGGTGAAGTAAAAGAGGAAACCAATCTCAACGAAGGAGAAAACCTTTCGGAACTTACAGGGCTCTGGTATGACCTTTTATGTTCAAAAGAATCGTCGTCAAGGTTGCCCATGGGCGTCTCCCTTTGGTGGCTTAGGTACAGAAATGAGTCTGCACAAGAATTGAAGAGAGATGTGGAAGACTTCTTGCGCATTTTTGATTTGGCCAACAAAGACCCAAAGGGGCCTTATTCGGAGGAGAGTAAAATTAACCAGCTTCTAGTGATACGACTCTTTGATTCTGTCATCCAAAGTCTTTATCCAGAGTTGGTGGAAAAGATTGATATAATGAGCTAGATGCCGGACGCAACAACTTATCTTTGGCAGGATTAATACGCACTTTTTATCCATATGATCTCGATCGACGGAATACTAGACCTATTATTTAAGGAAGGTATATACAACTACCGGGAATTGCTTGAGGACTTATGCTGCGGCCATGAATCAGATGACCCGTACTTCCGCAAAACCGTAAACACTGTTGAGATATTTGCTTTCGGTGATTACATCCATTACCTCAAGAACAGTGAGGCATGCATTGCGTTACAAAGCCAAGGTATAAGGAAATTGGTGAAAAGCACATTGGTATCAGTATGTAACGTCAACGAAGGTCGTCAATTGTCCTTTGACGATGTGATTGAAATCAATTCTTTAGAGCAGGCTCTAAGGCAAATGGGCGGTGATACACATTTCCACGATATCCTACAAGATTTGCTTATTGAAATGGCTAACGAGGGAAGCATTGAGATACAAATTGACGACGCTACCAGCAGCTTTTTTGTCAACCGCTCCTATGTTGCAAGAGATGCATACAATCCAAATAAATATAGCTTACGAGTTTTGCATGAGTCAGATATTACATCAAGGTCAGTACCGCATGCCAGGAAATTGCTACTGGAATGGCTATCAACTAAGATAAACCCAGCAATCCAGGAGTTGAGCGGGCAAAATTAGGTGACACGCATTTACCGTACTTCATAGTTTCGTGTATTTCAATAAGTTACATGGGAGCATGATCCCCACGAATGCACCAGAGTAGCTATGCGCTGTTGAACTCCAAAAAGTCAACGTCTTGCTTAGGCATGGAAAACCTTGGAAACAATACCAGTAATTCCGCCCTCTTCCTTTTGTTCGATCTCGTAGATACCGTAACCAGCAACACCAGTGCCGAAGGTCAACAAGTACATGGCAAGGTTGTGATACACTCCGTAGACTCTCTTGGGAATGTAGTCAATGATACAAGACTGGAAGCCAACGTAACAGTGGTACAACAAGAAACTGGCCATAGTGGTGTCAATGATACCGGAAACAGTGCCAAACATGGAGCTACCTACCAAAGGCAACAAGCCAAGAGCAACAATTCTTTCGGAAGTCCAGTGGTAAGAACCGTGGGTCTTGCTCGGTTTAGGCGGAATGTAAGCATCGTTAACAGTGCCCACAATGAAACCTGGTGGTTGAGGAATGGTCTTGATGCCACGGACCAAAGCTGGTCTGAACAAACTTTGTTTCTGAGAGAGCAATCCAACACGGGAGAGAGACAACATGGCTGGTGAGTAGTAGATGGACTAAAAATGAGAAAGGTCTTTTTTCCCCCAAAACTTTTGTGTAGTACCGAGCACCCCGGACTTTCTTACACTTGAATAGGATTTGATTGGCCGCGAGACCCGACTCTTACGCAGGTCTCTACTATGTACATCAATAGCGAGAGATTATAAAACAAGGTGGAGATGATAGCGACTACCTTTCAATCGCAAAAGCTGGTTTTAATTTTTTTTTCTACACCTCTTCGTCCTCATCCTCGTACTCTTCAATATCTGGAATGCGTTCTGGCTGCCCAAATCTCTCCTTTAGTGCTTTTTCCAAGATTCCAAGAGGTCCTTTGTAGTAGATGATTTTTGTGAAGCGGTTCACCACACTATCGTACCATGACATTTGCTCTCCTTCGAAAAGCTGCAAGTCATGCTTCAAGCCTTCGCATCGCTGTTTGGACTTTTTATCATGGAGTTGGTCATACATGGTGGCCAAATTATCTAGCACATTGAGCAAGATTGGCGACGCCCGACTTACGTTGTTGTGGTCAAAATATATCTCCTCCACCACCTCTTCACCCCATGCAACCGCGTTTTTCTTGTATCCCTTGGCCCACAAGATCTCACTGATATGAGCTTTTATTTCTGCGCATGTCATTTGTAAGTTCTCCGGATCGCAATTGAACAACGGGAATGACGCCTGGGTGCGTTCACCGGAGTCAATGGCCAGCTTGATTTCCGAAAGACTCTTCAAATTGGCGAGGTATATGTTAAGCGATTTTGACAAGAGTTGTTGCTTGGTTTTTCCCTTTGCACTAGCAGACTGGCGAGCATAAGTGAAGGCCAATGCGTTCAATGCGAGAATGAGCTCGTCCGTTATCCGGGAACCTTCCTGGAGCAAATTATCTTGCAACTTCACCAGCAGAAATGTCTGTGCCAACATGTTGACGCCCCGTTCCAAGTACTTTGACTTTTCGTCATCCACCAGGCTCACTTTGCTCAACATACGACAGCATTGTGACATTCTCTCAGCATCGCCCAATTTATAGAATATTTCGTCGTCATCAACAATGTGCTTCAATATGGCCACAGAAGTATCGAGCTGGCCCTTTGCCAACAACGCTTTAGCATACCGAAGAACCATATCAATGTAGAAGTTGGCAAACTCTGGAGTTTTATGGTACACCAAAGTGTCCGAGCTTAAAAGTGGAACAGCATAGTTTCGCAGACCATCGGGCAACGTTTCTGAAAATTGCAATTCCGGATCCGCTTGGAGGGCCAAGTCAATCAATAAGCGGCGATAGTGTTTTACCGCATACCGTGGGCTCTTAAGTACGTCGTCTTTGCTGATCGCCTTCACTGCCGTGTACTGTTCACCAAACGGCAACTCAAATGGAATATGCTGTCTGCTTTCCGCATCGTAGTATACGAAATACAATGAGCCCAAACACACAAAAAGACCCCCAATGTAGGCTCCAGCTGCGATGTTCGCAATTGTGCCCCAACCCCGAACAGCACCCATATATTTCGGGTTGATAGAAAACAGACGTGCATGGCGCAAACTGAGGGGTGTTCGTTTAGCAAGATAAGGTCGAAGCTGGCAAAACATGCTGGGTCGAGTTCTTTGTCGATTGTGCCTTTAGCGTTTTGATCTGAAAGTAGTGTATAGGTTGACTAAAAATTAGTAGTGTGGTGACTTGAGCCGCGCGAAGACTTGAGCCATGGAGCAGTCAACTTCAGATATCGGTCAACCTCCCTTTGGCGCATAAAGGGCCAAAATATCTGGTCATACCGCCAGGCTAGCGCTATTGAAGCAATCATCGTCCCTTTCCGGTCCGAGTCCTCCAATCCTTTTAACTCTCAAGATGAAGTCTGGTCTTCTTCGCAAACTAGTCACCAACTGGCTGCTAACAGACCCCAATTATACCATTGATCATGGCGACAGCCGCAACTACCAGATGCAGAAGTATGCGGATATGCCATATGTATACTGCTTTGGGGGCCGCTTCAAGTTTGTCAAACACAAGCCCATCAGTCTTGCCGTGGCTACTACAATCATTGCAGGTGGAGTTCTCTTTTGGGTGTTTGAAGCCAGCTGGTTCTGGCACAACATTAGCCCTGCTGTAGTTGTGATATTCAGCTACTTGTGGTTTCTTCTATTCATGTTCTTTGTCAAATGCTCCACCTCAGACGCAGGTATCCAACCCCGCAATGTACATCTTCCCTTCGACTTTGAACATGCATCTTCTCTCACAGCACCTGACGAATACTTCAATACCATCTCGCTTCCGTATTATTCAGATCGATATCATGGCGTTTCTGTCAAATATTGTGCCACTTGCCATATATGGCGTTTGCCTCGCATGAGCCACTGTGGCAAGTGTAATAGCTGTGTGCTGGTCCATGATCATCATTGTGTCTATCTCAATAACTGTATCGGTGCTCGGAACTACCGTTATTTTTTGTGGTTTCTATTGTGTGCTGTGACTACATGTGTGTTTCTTGCCACGCTTTCCTTCGTACATCTTTTCCACTACAGAACTGAAGAGCTGGACATACACCGCTTCTCGCAATCAGCATCTCGATCTCCGGTGGCGCTTCTCCTAGCCATTCTTTCTCTTTCTGGGGTTGTGTATCCGACGTTGCTTCTTGCGTTTCACTTGTTTTTGACCGCTAATAACATCACCACAAGAGAATTCTTGAACAATGCGAGACCGCTGCACAATTTGCTGGCCGAAGAGCGCTATGTCAATGTTTTTGACACGAAATCTGTCGCAGCAAATCTTTGGCTCAACTGGATTGCGTCACCGCAAGGTCTATCCTTGATCAAACCGAGAGAAAAATACATAAGTGGCGATATCAGACTAGCAGACTTGCCTGTTTTGACATCCTTTGAAGGTAGGGTCAAGTAGTGCCCGATCATAATACTACATGGTATATACCCACCGTGTTGCAACTTTAAGTAGACAACTATAATTTAGCTTAATTTAATATAACATAATTTATCAATTACCCCGTCAAATATCTGTGTTTGTGTTACATTTGTTCGATCGTGCCTCGATTTTGTGCCTCCACACATCAATACTTTACCCGATTAGTATGAAGATCATCGCGCTCATGATTCAAACGCACAAGATCATTAATACATGCCCCATTTTTTTGTGAATGCCACCCAAACCCTCTGACCTAACAGAGGCGCTAGCAGTATCTCCCTTTTTCCAACTAATACCAAAGCAGGACTTGGCACCGCTTTTGTCTTTTTCAAGATTGTACTCTGGAGGCCCCGATTGTACTAAGTACGTGTCTCACGCGTCTACGTTGCTCGTTGAAAAAGCACAAAAGGCATTGGAGGATGGTGATCTGGTTGCGCTGTACATAATTGAGGAGTATGCCAAAAATTTGTCGAGCTTCGAAAGCAGGGACCTTCTGGCTCTCAGTTTCAAGAAACCAGTCATATCTGGTGTGAGCGATCGCACCACTATGCCTCTTTCCGTTCCTCCTCATTTCCAAGCCATTTATGAGAAGCAGAGCTTAGTCAATGATCTGGACCTCGTAACATTTGAAACTGACGTCGATAATGTTGACGTATCCAGTGACCGTCTCAGATTATTACCCAATTATTCCGCTCTTGATCCGCTGGTCGTATCGCCCCACGTTCGCTTTTATGAAGAGAAACTCGAAGAGGAATACTTGAAGATAATGAGAAAACGACAAAGACCCAGTCTGCTATCATGTGGCTCAGTTCATTCGTCGCGGAAAAGAGTTCACATCGAGAATTCTGATGCACTATCCATTTACAAAATTGTGGACGCGATTGGTTTTGTCGATGGAAGAAACCAAGATGATAAGAATTGCATAATTACAGACCGCGGGATTACTATTCTTACACTGTACTCAGCCCATTCGTTGTTTTCTGAGTTATCCAGGTTAACTACTTCTTTGCACGCTTCTGACCTTGAATCAAGCTATCTTCAGCGTATCGCAGTCCTATGTGCCAACACTATTAATTACTATGTTCACTTAATTGAATCTGATGGACTTGATATCCAAAACCAGAATTTGATGCTACTCTCGTCAAAGCTTCTTTTCTTGGTTATCAATTCCCACCCGCATGATAGAAAATTACATGTTGATTCCCATCTTTTAATATTGGTTGATTTGCTTTCAAAGATCACGAAGAGTTGTGTCAGCTTGAGCTCTAACTTCAACTTCACCCTCAGTCCATCAATGTTACATCAGCATATCGCGGAGTCAGCTAAAGGTCTTGTGGACTACTTAAAGGAAAACAAGCCAGACGAGCTGATTTTGACCAAGATAGAATATATGTGCATTGAAGTTGTTTTTGCAGACCTCAAAGATATGCTTCATGACGATCTCCGTAACGCCATGATTCAATTGTTGATTCAAATTTTCAAATTTTATCCCAGTCAGAGGCAATTTATTGTCAATGAGATGTTGGCAAATTTTAAAAAACTCTCACAACAGAATAACACTTCTCGCATAAAATTATCTCATGGTGGTAACGTACTGTTTATTAGCGTGTTCCTTGTTCGTCTTGTCCAGAGTTTTGACACCAAATCGATGGAGAGAGAAATAAACTCCTTCAAGAAGTTAGAGAAGAACAAAAATCCACACAGTTCTAAAAACTTGAAGAGGCTGAGCCTAGTCAGTGGGGCTTTGGCTGTTCTTAACGATGCAAGAGGAATCGCTACTCAAATCTCGGTATTTTTTGCTGAAGCACTTGTGGGTTCGGACATCGCATTTAAATCACTCTTCCTGGTTTTCATTGATGATTGTCTAACTCTTCTTACTTTGCCAGATTGGCCTGGTGCAGTGCTAATGACCGAATCTTTGATGTCCACATTTTGCTATAGACTCAAAGAAAATAAATTCCAGGGCGCTATAGAACCGTATGCTTTGGAAGTCGTGGGGAAAGTTGGAATAGAGATTCTCAGGATAAAGAAAAGATGCACTGTACGGCTTGATTTCAGCGCTAACATTACTGATAATGAATTGAGTGAACTAAAGGTAGTAATCGAACTGGTGATTACGCAAACCTCAAATGAATACATGCAAATCAGCGATGTTCGACAGTTCCATTTGTTATTCTTACGATTAATAAAAATATGCGAACGTCTTTCAAGTGAGGTTACTAAAGGATTTGAAGAACACATCTATGCCATCAATCCTACAAATAATTTATCTACCGAAATCCCAGAAAAAGCAATTCAGTTACATACACTCATTGATGCCTGCCTAGGACTATTAGCTCAGGATAATCACCTCGTTAATACTAGAGAAGAAAGCTCAAGGACTGGAGAAAATAGCTCAAGTGCAAAGCATGGCTACTTGGCATTGCTATTGATTGAGCTCGATCCTTTATACGACAATTTTGTCGCTCTTTTGGTATCTTATTTGGAATCATCTAAAGTCAAATCAGCTACAAAGGCGATCAAAATTCTTTCGTCCATGATTGACTTCAACCCAAAGATTTTGTTAGCACTGAAAATCAGCACTTCAATTTCCAAAATAATGGCAGGTAATTCTCCTCTGATGAAAGAAGCAGTGGTAGAAATACTAGGTAAATATATTGCTGCAAATCCTGATCTCATCGAGAAATACTATCAAGACATTTGTGAACGAGCTGCTGATGATGGTGTCACTCTTAGAAAACGGGTTATTAAGATTATGAAGGAAATGTATCTCCACAAAGATGATAAGTCCATTCGAGTCTTCATTTCAAAAAAAATGTTGCGAAGAATTTACGATGAAGAACCAAGTATTCGTGATATGTCTAGAACTTCATTAACTGCTTTATTATTCCTAGAAGATCTGGACACTTCATCAGTAAAAGTATGCCAATTGATGATTGAAATTGTCAACTCCCCTGGTTTTCTGGTCAGCAATTTCACTGATTTTATTGCACAAGTAATTGCGGATAAATCTGTCCAGATGTCCTTAAAGAGAATTGTGGATGCAGCATTCAACATTGCAATAGATCACATAGAGACGGATTGCCATGAGGTGAAAAAGTCCCTTATGTTAGTGAATTTGTTAGCACGTTGTGATAAAAAATTGGTCTCTTTTGATAATATGGTTGCATTACATCCCTATGTTATAAGTGACCAGGGGCATACTGAAGGTGTGTCCCTACAGGCTTTGAAAATCCTAAGACTTTTTCTTGAGGACACAAAATCTTTCAGAAAAGACTATATCGTGAAACTTCGAGACGGCCTTCTTTCCAGGTTAACTAAGTTTGACAATAAGGAACTACATGAAGCGGTGCCAGCAATAAATGCATTGTCCAGCTTGACTGATGATAAATCAAAGATGGTGAATGCTTTTATTTCCACTACACTCCTTCTTCAGCCTATTATCGCTGAGCAGAAAATGAATCGCGTAAGTTTGACTAAGTGCCATAAACTCTTGAATTTACTAGGATGTTTTGGTTCCTACTGTGATTTTGAGGGGTCTAGAGAAATAATCATGAGAAGCAAGGTCGAATTAAAAGAGAAAGAAACTGTCGTGAGTTTAATTTGCAAGTACTTGTTAGTATTTTGTGCTTCAAGATATGATGTCAGAACAAGAAATGTTGCACTCAAAAATTTGTTGTGTGTTAGTACTTACCACCCCAAGTTATTCTTGTCTGAAGCAATCCTTACAATCCTTGACAAAGAACTCGGACATGGGAATCATCTAACGAAATTAACTATAGTTGAGGGCCTTGCCAACTTCCTTGCGAAAGAAGACGGGGATGCGATTGCGAGAAGCAACGACTATTCAAGCTCTTCACAAAATCTGGGTGTCAGCTCTTTCAATGGAAGTTCAATTTCTTCCTTGAATGATGGAGTATGTGCTAGTGTCATTCAGAGGTACATTGATAAGATCCTAGCATTATGTTTGTCTGATCACACAGCTTTTGCTCCTGTATTGTTCTTACAATTAGTGGTTAAGCTTGGTTATGCTAACCCAAAAATGTGCGTCCCTACAATTATTGCATTGGAGGCGTCTTCCAACAAAATTATAAAGAAGATTGCAATTTGTCTCCACACAGAGATATTCGAGAAGCACGAGTCACTTTCCGATAGAAATTATCCTGATGCAGTGAAAATGGCTGTAGCGTACTCAAAGAGGATGAATGGTCTGTCTTTTTTGAAGCAAATTCTGTTCTTTCGCACCGTTTATCGAATTATCAACAAGCAATATCTGTCGAAAAAGAAGTTTGTGTTATCAGTTGCAAAAGTATTCAACATCTCATTAACTCAATTCTCATTAGAAGAATGTTTAGATCAGAGAGACCTCGTTGTTTTCTCTGCCATGAACCTTCTGGTACTTTCGCTTTCATCCTTGGAGGAAGTATGTCTTCTTTTATACCATTTGGATAGAGTCATAACAAGAGATGGGTATGACCTTGTTGATAGGATTACTAGTACCGTTGGATCTAAATCTGGGTCAGGAATTTCGGTGGATAATTTGCAACTTCTTTTCGTGAACTCGCAGACTATTCTGACACTCATATATTTGAGACAGCTTTTAGCTGCATCTTACTCAATCAGCTCATCCGTAATGGAAGAATTTCGTCCAAGTCGGAGCAACTTGGAATTACGGCAGCAGCCACGAGCAATAACCCTCATTGATTTTCCATTAGAGGAGCTAGAAATGAGCACCAACTTAGCACACCCAGGCTCCTTCGGCAAGGTCTTTACAAAAGTAGTGCTGTTGATGAGAAACTATTCTACATAAAGGTGCTAGCCTTTTCAATACGAGGGTACTGAAAAGGGCCTCCGACAAGATCATAACCATTGCCTAGGACAATGCGAATTGATGGACCATACTTCTCAATGCGTCTTTCTTGTCTTTTGGCTTTCAAGGCAGCTAGGTCACTAAGAAAAATGTCCTCATCGTCATCATCCAGATCATCCAGATCTTCTTCTTCGTCATTATCATCGTCGTCATTGTTGTCGTCATCATTATGTCTGTCCTTGCGTCCTCTAGCGAGTTTGGATGAGTGCGCATTGTCGCTATGCATGTTCTTATTAAACAAACGGATATCATTCTCGAGATTTTCATTACGCTTTTCCCAACTGTAGTACTTGTTTAGTAGCCGTAGACATTCCTTTTCTGTCAACTCTCTCTTCCGTTGAAGTTCTGACCTGTCTTTCGGGTCTTTGACTAATGTGATGCGCGGAAGATGTTTCATCCAATCGTGCTGACGTAAAAGCCGAAGCTGACTTTTCAATGTTTCGATTTCCGACATCATCTTGCTTCTGTCTGCCCCCGTCATATTCTTCTCCTCTCTCTTCATGCGTCGATGGAAAGTTTCAAAGTGTTGGTCGGGGAGAGGGTCCATTTTTAGCCTCTGTCTTCGTGGTAGCAACGATTCGTTATATTTCAAGTCTGTTTCTTTATTTTTGAGTTTTGGGAGCTCCGCCATCTGGCCATAAAATGCATATCTCTTGAAGTTCTTGGTTTTGAAATCGTCACTTTCGAGCGAAGAGCAAATTCCAATTTCCCGATCCTGATATAGAAGACTATTGACAGATTCGAAATTGAAAAGCCTCGACTGGCCTTTCCCGTCTCGGCCCAGACGTAACCTTCGTTTTTCTCCAGTGGTCATGTTTGAGCCTGTTTTCGTTCGTTCAGGCCCATAGAATACGCACGAGACTAGAGCGCGATCTTGAACCCAAACTTACTACATACCACACTTGCCATGTTTATGAATTTCCGCCGCAGGGAAAAGAGAAATGCCGGAGCGAAGGAAATAGCGGCAAGTAGCCGTATTGAGCGGAAGAACACCGTGCCTTTAGCAAAATCAAGTGATACTCACTATGGTGCCCGTTTGTGGGTACCTCTACTACTATTGTGGTTTATGGTTATTCATTACTTCGAAAGAGTGCGAGTGAAAAGCGCCATGGACGCATGTCAATGGGAGAATTGGGAAAATTGGCCTGAACAGAGAGCCCACATCAAACCCCATCGTGTTGTGTTCATTGCAGACCCTCAACTTGTCGACGATCATACGTATCCCAAGCTTCCTCGAGCATTAAACTATTTAATCCGTAAAATGAGTGACAATTACTTGTACATCAACCACAAGTTTATGCAAGCTTACCTTGATCCAGACACAACCATTTTCGTGGGTGATTTATTCGATGGAGGACGCGAATGGGACGATAACGCGTGGCTCGAAGAGTATGAGAGATTCAACCGGATCTTCCCGCAGAAAACTAATCGCCGGAGCTACAGATCTCTCCCAGGTAATCACGACATCGGGTTTCAAAACATTTCCTTGCATAACCAAAGACGCTTTACTGCATTTTTCGGGGAGGCGAATGACTATTTTGAGCTTGGAAACCATACTTTCATCCAGATTGATACCATATCCCTCTCCCACGAAGATCCCGAAGTTAATAGGGAAGCCACAGAATTTTTGTCTACGGTGGGCCAAAAATTATTGCCCGAAATGCCTCGTATTGTCCTCACTCATGTTCCGCTTTATCGGGACCCAAATGTGGAGTTATGCGGCCCAGGAAGAGAGTCAAAAAGACCTTTTCCCTTGCAAAGAGGGTTCCAGTACCAGACGGTAATTGATTATAAATACTCTGAGCAAATCTTAAAAAATCTCCGGCCAATATTGGTGTTCAGCGGTGATGACCACGATTACTGCGATATAGTTCATGTGGACTATCTGGATAACTCTAAGAAATTGGCGAGAGAGATCTCTTGCAAGACTCCATCGATGACCAATGGTATCAATTATCCGGCCTATCAACTTCTCTCGTTGAACAACCCATATGATAAGCATTCTACAACCCTGAATGATCTCAAGACTTACGAGACCATGATGTGTTATCTTCCAAATCCATACAGAGGAGTGAAGGTTTATGGTATTTTGCTAGTGATTTCTTTTGCTTTGTTTTACTTGTGCATAACCCATCCGAAAAGTGTTCAAGATTTCATCGAAAGTATCTACCCTTCACAACTCTTGCCCCAGGCTTCTCAAGTCTATCAAAAGCATACAAACCTGGTTGAACGTAGGCGCATATTGGCTTTTGTGCGGAGTTGTGTATTGCTCTTCGCATATGTTTCGCTCCTCTTAGCGTTATATAACCGTATGTAATCATCATTTTACTTTTTACTTGCGACCAAAGAAGCGATCGAAGTAGCTAGGAGAAAAATCAGTCCGCTTGGATATATACTGTTTGACAGTATAGACCTTCAAATTAGCCAAGTGTCCTTCTGTTATCAAAGAGTTGATCAAGTCTGGTTGAACGGTGAATAAGTTGCTAATTTCCTTCAAGATTTGGAAATTCTCTGTTAATTCTGGGATCTCCCAAGAATCAATGACAGATTGATACCTGATTACGTCTTGGGTTAGCACAATTCCACCTGTGGAATTAACGCTAAACTTCTTGAAGTGATCCAATAACAAGTTTAATGTGATCATGCCGATTTTTATAAGAACATTGTTGAGATTTCCATCGTGTAAATACAACTTCAACACGCTGTGCACATCAATTAAGAAGTCGGAAATGCTTTCACATACTTCTGTATAATCTTGATTAGTATCAATGACATCACATAAAAAGTCCTTTTTCTTTTGCTTCTGCAAAAGAAGATTCAATCTGTTTGTGACGATTTCCACAGTGTTCCCAATAATCAAATTCAAAGATGTTTCACTGCCAGAGACATAGTTGTTAGTCAAGCTGATCATTCTATTCCTGATGGTTGGATTGTTTACCGCACATGGTAATACAATCTTTTTAATGCATGATGTGAGTAAGAATAAAATGTCACTTGTTGTAGTAAACGATTTCAAAAATGCCAAATTGGGTTCTTGCGTCAATGAAACGCTTGTGAGTTCATATAACGACTTTTCATACGCTACCTCTATTCCCCCTCCAATATAAAGCCCACCAAAATCCATAATTAAGATCTCCAAAATATCCAAGGAATGTTCAGGAGTCTTACTTGGCGCCAACTCTAAAACTCTAGCAATTGCTTCTATTGCCAACCTCAAAACAATTTGCACTTTTGTAATATTAACCACCCCAAATTCTTCAAATTCTGGGCCGTTACTTGGCAAATCCATGTTTTCCTTATTCAACCTTTCAGAAAATTGGGATTTCATGAAGTCTTTAAATCTGCTTAGTCTTTTTCGTTCCATGAAGCGAAAGACGTGCTTTTCACTTTCTATACCTGAGCGGTCATTTCTTGTGTTTGCAAAGGAGCCTTCACTTTCGATTTCTTGCAATTTATGTTCTAATTGCTTTTTGCTCAAGGCTTTCTCATTAAATGCATTGAATTTTTGGGCAATGTCGTATATGAATGATTCCAACATTTCTTTCTCCAACTTGAAGTAAGAATTATCTGACAAATAGTCAATAAACAAATCATAATAGCATTGGTCCAAGGTAGAACCAATTTCGTTGTTCTCATCGAATTCGTTCGTAACGAAGAACTCTTTCATATCTTTAGTAAAATCCCCAACGAGTACATAAAGCGCATATAGTACTCGGACGTGAGCTAGAGCTCCTGATTGTTGAGAAAACAGTAAAAGAGTGGAGACTTTGTTCTGAATCATTTGGGCATAAACTCTTTGAACCATAATTTTTAGAACTGGAAGAGGCTCAGTGAACACTTGTTGCACGATTCGTGCTTGGCCCTTTATGGAAACCTTAAGCCTATCCAATAGAACCTCGGTTATTTCACCTTTAAATATGGATTGGCTGTGATAATTTGGATCCCCCAAACTCTTCCAAATAGCCTCATCTTCAATAATAGAGTAACCTCCTTCATCTTGGTCCGACTCAAAAAATAAATCACTTTTATTCATGAAAGCCAGAACCACACTACTGCCGCCATTAAACTCGAATAGTATCTGTGATATTTGGCTCATTTCCTCAAAGTCATTGTCTTCGGATGCAATTTCAAATCTATCGATCAATGTTTGCTCCATCATTTCACTGTATTTCTGTATCGAGTTGACACATTTTGAGACTTTTGGTAGGTTTCCCGTTATTGTTTCAATTTTCTTAGCTAGCGTGAGTAAGTTCTTCACTGTTTTGGCACATTTAGTTCTCGAGTCAATTGTTTTTGAGGTTCTTAGCTTCTCTAATGGGTCGTATTTCTCCTTTGTATAGAAGCCGTGGTAAGCACGGACAAGAAAAATGGTTTCCATGGACCGGTCTCTCGAATTGGTAATTTTGTTTAGCGATTGGTTGAGTGGCTCTATTTTGCTGGTGATGCTGGAAATCTCGGAGTCCAAATTTCCGAACTTCGACACAAACTCCTCCACCTGAGAAGAAAGCTCTAGGACAGCCCTACTATGAGTCAATTCGAATTCATCCACGTCTCGTTCTGCTATTTCCATCTGCTTCGATGCTTCGTCACTCAATTGTCTTAAGTGCCGTAAAGTTGACTCGAAAGTTCTGATGTAAGGCTTGGGATCAAGGTATTCTAAGTTATTAACTTCTGCGCCCTTGAGAATATGATCCTTGCTTAATTCCTCGACAAAATCATTGACAGACAACCCATTAAGAAAGTTTTCCGTGGTTAGTAGTTTTCTAACGTCATCCTCTAAGTCATAGATTGCAAAACTCATAGAGAAGTATAGTGGCTTAGGATTGATGTTTAATGCTCACTAACATGCGCGTGCGCTCACACCCGTACACCACAGGAGAAACCAAACTATTCGATACGATTATTATTCTCTACAATAATATAACACCAAACATTTCTATATTTCCAAACCCATCAACCTCAATAAAGAGGCAACGGAGATTTAGCTATATATACAGTTAAGCGCTAAGCTTGAAGGTGGTGTGACACTTACCACAGTATTGTCTGTCTGGGTGGTTGGCCATGAAGATACCAGCACCACAGTTTGGACATTCTCTTCTCAATCTCTCAACCTTACCGTCGTTGTCAACCTTGTAGTAGGTCAAGACAGCCAACTTGTGCTTTCTGTGCTTGTGCTTGATCTTCTTTGGGGTGGTGTAGACCTTCTTCTTTCTCTTCTTACCACCACCTCTCAATCTCAACACCAAGTGCAAGGTAGATTCCTTTTGGATGTTGTAGTCGGACAAGGTTCTGCCGTCCTCCAATTGCTTACCGGCAAAGATCAATCTTTGCTGGTCAGGTGGAATACCTTCCTTGTCTTGGATCTTGGACTTAACATTGTCGATGGTGTCAGAGGATTCGACCTCCAAGGTAATGGTCTTACCTGTCAAAGTCTTAACAAAGATTTGCATATCGGCTTGTCTGCAGCTGAGGTGCTTCTTTCTTACCAATAAGGGTGGGAAAAGAAAATTTAAGTAAGTTCGCGGGCAATGAAAATTTCCCAGAGGCATCGACCGGAGACTTTGTGGTGCGCGCACGCACTTGAAACCTCCAATCGTGTTAGGGCTTGAGCCCTTGCGCGCCACAGCAAACCTAGAGCTGTTTAGTAAATGTCCTTTAATACATTACACTAAAAATTACAAAGCAATAGAATGAAATTCTTTAGAGTGTGCTAATTCCGTATGCAATTTAACTTCTGGCCGTTTCAGTTTTTTTCAAAATTTCCATCATCTCCGACTCCAGCCAATTATGGCGTAGTAGTGAGCGCACTTTCCTATCTGGGATTAACAGCCAGTCAAGCTGCAAGTGAACAGGCGCTTAATCGGAACTCATTGTAACGTCAGTTAGTACTTCCTTTGACCTGTTGAACCCAGATCTACATGACGCAATTGGGCGACAGGGTTTTACAGAACCGAAAAAGGCTATATTGCGATGTACATGTACCCGAAATTTCCCCACCGCTCACCAAAGTTCAGACTCCGAATCATAACCAGCACGGATTCTGGAGATCACTTCTCCGTATCATATGCTTCCGGTGATTGAAAGTGCACCTTGAAGATGAACTAATACCAATCGTCCCCAGAGTCGTCGTCAATTGAGTCGTTTGTTGAGCTTTTGGCATTTGAACGGGAACTAATGATGGTCTTCCTGTTGATTGCACCACATTGTAATAGTTTATTTTCGAACAACTGCCAGGAGATTCGGTTCGGATCCTGCCCGAGACCTTCAAATCCAACGAATCGAGTGAGCTCCTGGCTGTTCTTATACACTAACACAAACGGGAGAACCTTGATTTTTAACTTCGCAACCAAGAAGGGTGCATTCTCTGCTGTGATAGCTATAACGTTTATGGATACATGCTTCTCTGCTAGTATAGCCAACGTTTCATTCATGAGCTTGCATTTGGGAAACGAAGGTTGATAAAAATGCACAACAACAACTCCTCCTTGAGTCACGGTGTCCATGAGAGATTTTTCGTCATCAATAAACTTCACCAAGCCAAAATCCTCTCCTTTGTTTTCTGCTGCACGATCCACTTTGTTAAATTCCTTCTTAAGCTGTTCGAGTCGTTGTTCACGATAATGCATCATCGAATCATCTTCGTCTTCGAGCTCTTGTAAAAGGTCCAGCAAATTGTCTTCATCTTCACTGTCAGGTCCAGTTCCGGAAACGTTTTTGAGTTTTGATGTCTGGTATCTCTCGACAAGCTCAGCTTGATGGTCATCCATTACTTCGAGAATGGATGTGGAAAATGCGCGTCAACATTATAGAGGCAAGAAGTGCGAATGATGGACCATAGCATTCCAAGTCAGGTGTGAGCACACCAATTATCGTATATGCTTTCTTAGCTATTGAAGTCAGTTTTAATACCATGGTGTAATGTAATGGCTTTCATGAGACATGAACATCCCTCAATCTTCCAATGTCCTAACTTCTCCGATTCCTGTCTTCATAAGTCGAGCAAGGATTCAGATGGTGTCTAACAAATGAAGGATTTCAGTAATCTTCTGCACATTTGACTTCACAAGTTCATTATAGCGTTGCCCTTCCTCTGTAGTTTTCTTTGGCCCCCCTGGCGCGTTTGCATCAAAAGCATCATTGTTTAGTAGATCAATTGATTTTTTGAGGTTGTTGTCAATTTGCTTAACTGTAGACAAAATCATCTCTAGCTCCAAAAGAATCTTCTCCTGGTCTGTCGTTAGGGGCGGAGGAGTCATTTTTGTTTCCATTTGCTGTGCTGTCTTAACGAAGAATCAACCGTTAGTAGATTTCTGTTCGTAAGACGTGCAAGACAATAGAGGTGCTGTTCTGCATGTAAAGAAACTAGTAAATGCTAATGTGGTAATACTATGTAACTATATGACAGCATGCCCGGTTATTGACATGCTGGTTATGCTAATAATGGCACTTGACATGATTTTTGTGCTTTTAGTTTTTCAATGTCGTCCTTGTACCTTTTCCTGTCCATCTCCTTTTCCTTGATCACATCGACCAACAATTTTCTAAGCTCGTTGTTCTCGTGAATAAGCTCGATTTTAATTCTTTCGTTTTGGTTGAACTTCCCTAATAGATAATTGAACTCTTTACAAAGTTTGAGATACGTTGTCTTGAGCGTCGTAAATGTTCCGATCAATCTGCTAGTGTCGCACATTGCTCTCTTTAAGGTCGCTACCGTACTTGGGTTCACTTCGGCTGTCCCGCTCCCTTTTTTGATATTCTCCTCTTCTTCTGGTGATGAAACGCTTGTACTTGAAACCCTTTCGCCTTCTTCTTCGAATGTAGAGGTACATGGACTGTCTCTTGATGATGAGGTCTGATCCTGCTGTTCTTGTTTCAATGCTAATGCTTCATCTTCTCCATAACTACCGAGCTTGAAAAGCTCGTACTCTATTTGCTCATCTAGTGTTGCTTCCGAGAGTGGATGTGGTGTTTGTGCGCTGAACTTCTCTGTTTCCTTCTCTATTTGAGTGATGAACTCTTCAAAGTCAGAGTGGTCAGGTTTTTCAATTTTGACTTTCTTCAACGGTGGCTCATTGGTATTCATGAGAATTGTAACAAGCGAAATGGAATTGAAATTAGCTTTACCCTCCTGACGGTTTCTTTAAGTCAGAGATGAGATGCCTGGTAAAAAAAATTGTCACGTGCGGCTTACAAAAAAAATAGAAGACCGTTGACATCAAGTTAGTGCGAAATTCGAAGCTGTTCCAGTAACAGTAGAAACACATACTGGCATCACTACTACATCTGTTCCATAATTGAATGCTATCTTAAATAATATATGACATGTATGCGCTGAATTGAAAAAAATGCCAGTTAAAGGGTAAAACGCCTCTGGTATGCAACGGAATAAATATAAATAGAGCAGATTAGTTGTCTATCCTCTGCCCCACACGCCACGCAACTTTCTAACTTCGCTTAAGACACTGGTAGTTTTCTCGCTCACTTCACTGAAAACTTCTTGCGTCTTCTCAGAAACATCGACCAACACATCGTGCGTCAAATCATTGACCTCGTCGATTTCTTTCATAATGCTATTACTAACATCCTTGACAAACAAGCCAGACTCTTCCCACTTCTCTGACAATGACTGTAACACCATTTCGAAGCCATTTTTTCCAATCTTTGCGTTCTGGCCGAATCTTTCCACGGACCAATCTTCGATCTTGTTGCAGATGCTGGACCAGGACAGAAATGCGGTGATTTCTGCCTCCTGTTCAAATAAAGTTTTGCTCTCAGGCATGCTTGGGTCAGGACGGTAAACCACAGTTTCATTCACCAAAAGCAAATGGCTCATTGTCATATTGGCGGATTTCATGATCAAAGTTTTAGTTTTCAAATCCACCTCGCTGATTTCTCTGACGTACGAGTATTCATCTGCTCCGACGATGGCACGCAACCAATGAGGGATAGCTTGTTTACATGCGATCAATCTTTCAGTCCTTAAAACACTCTTTTCCACATCGATTTCCCTGTTCAAAATGTCGACACTGACAACATGTGTGGATAACTCGTTGGGATATTTTTGCCAATTTGCAGCTGTCACTTGTTCCCAACTGTAGTCAAACAAATGTTTGCTTTCAAAGAGCTTCATGTCTAATGTGGGGTGAAGCTAAAAAAACAAGGAAGAGTTATATATCCGGGCCGTGCGAGTTTCTTTTTTTTTTTTTGCCCTTTACCGTCTGCGCTTGTGACACTAATGCGTCGCGCTTAAATCGGATTATCGGGTTCATGACAATGGCTGAGATAACAATAATCGCCACACCGTTTGATTTGCATTCTTGAATTCAAACAGAGCTCAAATATGGATTACATTAAAGCTTACACACGTGAGTTTTGAAACGTTTACTAGATTTTGTTCTATTTCTCTGACGAAATCTTATTTTGTATTTTGTATGCGCGATTCGAGATTAAATGTGAAATGTGAAGTGGCTCACTCTTTTCACCTCAATCCTAGTCCTCTGATTGGCAAACGTTTCAAAACATTTGGCAAATAAAAAGTTCCTTGTACACCAAGCAAAAGACAACCTGATTCATTTCTCTTCTATTTTTCACATGCATAATTATGTTTATTGTTACAAGTCATTGCCCTCTATTGAAACCAATGATTCTACGCAAAGGAACGATTTTGTAGAATTTGCGTCCAATCTCACGTTAAAATTCGCATCAACTTCTTCAACGACGTTTCAACTCTAATGTAAGGTACACTGAGGCCTATATATGATGCTTATAATTGGGGCATTGATATGTTATGTTTAAGGTAAAACTAAATTTTCAGTTGTTTCCTTCTCGCCTGAATACTTGCATTTTTCTTTTTTCTTGTAGATTGGAAATGGGTGTTCTAGAAAATACAGGCTTACCAATATACGCACATCCGTACATCAAATATCTCACAAACCGTAGCTCACCTAGTTCTGCAATCTGAACCTTCTTTAGACCCACCATGATTAAGCATCTCAGCAAAACTAGCCTCCCGAGAAGCCTTAGAAGATTTTTATCTTCTCAAGTGTCGACAGCTTCGAACTTCAAAACAACCGTTTTGCCTAATGGGTTGACAGTGGCTAGCGAATTTATGCCAGGTACGAAAACCGCCACCGTGGGAATGTGGATTAACGCTGGTTCCAGAGCGGACAATCCTACAAGCAGTGGAACAGCGCATTTTTTGGAACATTTGGCCTTCAAGGGAACATCGAAAAGATCCCAATATAGTCTAGAATTAGAGATTGAGGATTTGGGATCTCAAATCAACGCCTATACCTCTCGTGAGAATACCGTTTACTACACAAAATGTTTGGCTAATGACTTAGAGCAAAACGTGGATATATTGAGTGATTTGCTTACGAAATCCAAACTCGAGCCTTCAGCGATCGAGAAGGAAAGAGCAGTGATCCTACAAGAGAGTGATGAGGTTGACAAAATGTTTGACGAGGTTGTTTTCGACCATTTGCATGAAATAGCCTATCGAAACCAGGATTTGGGCAGAACAATCCTAGGACCAAGAGAGAAAATCAGAACCATTAATAGAGATGACCTCGTTAACTACATCCAGACAAACTATAAAGGTGACAGAATGGCCTTGATTGGGGCTGGTTGTGTCGATCACGATGAGCTTGTCAAGAATGCTCAAAAATACTTTGGTCACATCAAAGCTAGCGACGTGCCTTTCAAGCAACATGGTGATGATTTGCCTATCTTCTATGGGGCTGAGAGACGTATCCAAGATGATTCTTTGCCCATAACCCATGTCGCGTTAGCTGTAGAGGGAGTTAGTTGGTCTGCACCTGACTTCTTCACTTCTTCTGTTGCGAATGGTATCATAGGTTCATGGGATAGATCTATTGGTATTGGTTCGGACTCTCCTTCGCCTTTGACAGTTACTGCGGCTATGGGAGGACCAGGCAACGAACCCATCGCAAATTCTTATATGGCTTATACCACTTCGTATGCTGATACAGGATTAATGGGTGTGTATTTCACTGCAGACAGCAACACAGACATGTCGCTATTTGTGAATGCGGTGTTGCACGAATGGGCCCGATTGAAATCTGGAAACATTACCGAGGAGGAGGTCGAAAGATCCAAAGCTCAATTGAAAGCCTCTTTGGTATTGGCATTAGATGACTCTACAGCAATCGCCGAAGATATCGGAAGGCAATTGGTGAACACCGGCTTCAGATTATCACCAGAAGATGTTTTTGAAAGAGTGGAGAACATTTCGAGACAAGATGTGATTGATTGGGCAAACTACAGATTGAAAGACAAGCCAATAGCAATGTGTGCGTTGGGAAACTGTAAGACAATTCCCTCTCACAAGGACCTTGTGAAAGGAATGTCTTGGTAAGAGAGGTAATTAGTCACAACGGATAGTTTATAAATGCATGTATATATAAAGAAAGCGAAGCTTTAGGTTTCTTCGTCGTTGACCACATCTACTTCTTCTTCCGCTTCTTTTTCTTCCGAAACCACATTATCTTTGAAGATACTTTCTTTGGGTATTCTCTTCATGATATGAGCAGGAGGAAATAGTTTGCCAATGCTGTTAATCCATCTACTTCTCTTGTCCAACAAGGCCTTCAAACCACTATTAGCAGCTTGCTGCTGTGCAGTGTTCGTGACTTCTGGAGTCTTCTTTTTCTTGCTCTTAGCTTTAAGCCTCTTCATATAAGCCTGGTCAACTTGCTTATCTAAATCTTCCAAAATTGTGCAGTATTCTTGGTAGGCCAACTGCTCTTCAAGAATTGGAATGAGGTACTTTTTACGTTGCCTGTTTCTTATGACAGCACCCTTTAGCTCATCTTGCAACTCTCTGATTTCCGAGCAAATTTCATCATCTTCTCTGTTCAAAATCCAATCATCTGTGTCAATGATATTCCCTGGCTTTTTGGGTTTCCCTTCATCATCATTTTGTAGATTCATGAATATACCAATGTATTTTAGTTCTCTCTTAAGTCTTTCCTCCATAGAGAAATAGTCACTAACTTCTGACGTGACCTTGAAGGTTTCCCCACTATCTAATTGCGTAGCAGAATCTTCTGCTAGGAGATTCTCTTCTCCATCAGCTTCTTCTTTCTTGATGTCATTCTGTTCAGTATCAGCCATTTTCTCTTCTCCTTCATCTTGTATTTTATCTTTAGCTTCGTGCACACTTAAAACCGCTGATAATAACCGACTGGATAAGGGACCACAAGAAATATCTTCCGTTAGCAACTTATCATCATTCAAATTCTCAAAATCGCCTTTAGCTTTGTAAGCTTCTAAAGGGGGACGGGGTGCCGCAGGCGAGCTTAATTTGGACCTTAAAGCTGCATCCTCTTCAGCCCATACATCAGCATAGAACGGTCCCAATTTTGGAATCAAATACGGGGTGGTAGTTGGATCATAATCTCGTTTTTCAAAACCGGGAGGGATAACAAACTTCTCGTTGCAAAACTTGATATCATCATTGGAAAAGGGACGGAAGTATGACTCAATGTAGGATTGGTATGTAGAAAACTGGACTTGATTGGAAGGGGCTTTGCTTTTCGAGAAGTCCATGTCAGGTATTTCGCCCGGGAGCATGTCTTTCAAATCATTCTCTGGATATGAAGCAACTCCATACTTACGCTTTAAATAGTCCTTTCCTTGTGTTTCGAGGCCATGGTTAGTTTCTGAAAATAGACCTAACTCTGCAATTGTCTCTGCTGATAGGGTCTGTGAAGTGACGAACTCAGATTTTGGATTCTTCAATCGTGTATCATTGCTAGGCGTAAAGGAGCCAGTCTGGACTGGAGGGATTGGATCATCCTTTGAATTGACTTTCCCTTTCTCATCAGCTTCTTCGTCTTCACCACCCACTACTCCAACAGATCCAACGACCTCTTCCAAATTTCCTGAACTGGAGTTCTTTGATGGAGCTGGTGCTTTATCCAAATCCTCTATTTCTGACTTGATTGTGTCTTTCTTCCTCCGCTTTGCTAATGGTATACTTTCGTCCTCTTCATTATCGTCATTCTCTCGCTTCCTTGCATCTGAACTTTCAGATATATCATCACCACCATCTGCTGAGTTTTTCAATTTGTTTAACCTTTCGAGTAGAATGTTATCTTTCCGCTCGATTTCTTGTAAATTTTTGGCAAGCTTCGCTAATAGTTTACTCAAGTTGTGCAAAGTATTGAGATTCGGAATCTTTCTGATGGCAGCACCATCCAATAATCCAACCGAAGAATCATATTTGAGCCTGAGTTCATCTATTATGTCCCCTAATGTAGTTGTTGCCGAATGTGAATTCATGGTAATGGAAACTTTGAGTTAACCTGTGAAACAATTTTGTTACCTGCTCCCAATATTTTTAAGAAAGAATGAACTTCAATGTAATATTAAAGCTAAATTAGTAATCTGACGAAAAGACACAAATCAGCCATTAATATTGCTAATTTGACGAATGTAAAAATCGGCACTGGTTGATATTTTCTTTCTTGCAATCTGTATCAACGAATACACATCAGTGAACGTGGTGTACGGGTGCACAACATTTTGACAGTTTAAGTAACGAACACTTCCAGTCACAACTGAAGTAGATAATCGTTCAATTTATAGTGTATGTACATGATAGATAACTAACGATAAAAGATGAGACGTCGGAGTTTGAATGCATAAGACTTTATGGGGAAAGGTTACTAATGTACTCTTTGTCCTTCAAGTCCTTCACTGCTTCTGTCAATCTTCTAACAATCCGATGTCTCTCTACTGGTGCGTCCTGTGGCCTCTTCCAATCATCCGGAAAGCGTGGTTGTTGTTTACCAGGTTTCGTGTGTCTTTTATCAACAGGAACACCATCGAAGGTATTCTTTGTGAGGTCCTTGGACTCAGTCAACAACTTATTGAAGGTCTCCACTAACCAGCGTGCATTCTGAGTTGACTCAGAAAAGCGATCTGTGGAGAACTTGAGAGTATTGGTGTTGTGATTGAATTTGTTTCCAGACAAAAGCTTGAACTTGACAGCCTGCTTGTCGTTAAGGTCCAAGTCTTTGAGCTTAACTTCAAGGGTGACTTTTCTATTGTCCGAGTTGTGCTTTTCGGAAAAATCAGTGTTGAACGTCAAACGAAGAGGTGCCTCTTTGTCTGAAGCTGGTTTGTATTCTTGTCGAAATTTGGCCAACAAAGGCATTTCGTATGCGGAAATTCTATGCATTTGTTCGATTTTTCTTTCTTCATGAGGCGTTGCACCTCTATCGAACACTCTGATGTTGCTCAACTTAGGAGGAAGACCTTTCAATTTCGAAGGAGTGTTGTTCATCATTCTTTCTTTGAAGTTGTCAATCTCGTAACCGTACGCCAATGTAGGCTTAGGAGCTCTCAATGACTCGAATGTGGACAAGATGGCATTTCTTTCAGCGTCGTTTGGCACATACTTGTCGCCAAGGGCAGTTTTTCTCAACTCGTGCAATTCAAAGATCCGGTCGGCTGGTAAGCCTTCCCACTTGTGAGGGTTCAAATAGAGCGGCTGGTCAGTCGAGTTGAAGCGAACACTACCAACAGGACGTAAGCTCCTGGCTTTAGCGATGTTGCGTGCCAACATGGTTTGGTGAGTTCAGTATTGGGCTCGCGCTCGATAATTCTTGGAGTGCAAAAACTTCTGGGTGCTACACGACTAACATTTATGTAGTTCAACGGTTGTGCGTATATTGATTTTTAAATAGTTCTTAATCTTCATCTTCATCTTCATCACTAGTGATTTCCTCCGATGGCTCTTCTTTCTTTATGTAGTCTTCTGAACCATGTGATCTGTGTATTCTTTTTGCGATACTGTCGTCTTCCGCCTCCTTGTGTCCTCTCTTTTCAGCTGAGGTGAGCAGTTGACTCTCCTCCTTGATGGTGTGTCCCTTCTCAGCATCGTCATGTGCTTTGATTTCAGCATCGGCTTTTTCTTGTTTAGGCTCTGGTTTGCTTTTATGCTCACGTTTTGGAGGTGTTTGGAAAAACAGACCAATTGATTTTTGTGATTTATTCACTTCCTTAATTGCTTCTGGTCCTTTGAAACCTGGATTACCCACAGCCAGTGCAACAACATGCGAGGTTAACTCATCATAAGCTGGATTTGTTTCGCAGTTCAAACATGTATCCAAAAGCTTTTCATCCCATGTGACCGTGGGATCCAACCATTCAAACCACTCTGGCGTGTTCGGTTTGATAAGGATGGGTTTCCTCAGATGCAACCATGACAAGTCATTGGATCCTTTTCCTTGTGCTGGCCCGGTAGCAATCGAGAAGGTTGAAATGTATTCCTGTCCAGCTGGAACGAGTTTAGTATCATTGTAGTTGGTATTATGGGAGTAGAGCCCTACTAAATACAAGAGAGGACTTTTCTTCAGGTAAACATAGTAAGGCGTTTTTTCTGACTTGGTTTTTTGCCATTCAAAGTATCCCAGGATTGGTATGACACACCTCTTGTTTTTCCGAGGTATAGCCCATACAGATTGCGAACGGCTGATAGTTTCTTTTCTGCAATTGAAGTGTTTTGCTTGCTGCTGCTGAACTTCCCTGGAGTACTCCAATCCGGTAGAATCTTTTCTTTGCACAGGCTGAGGATCCTTTGGTTTGACCCATTCTGGAAGCATTCCAAACTTCAGAGGTTCAATCACATAATTGTACTTGGCACCAGAATCTTCTTTCATGTAAATAATCACGCCTTCGCTTGTTGGAGGAATATTGTAGGATGGCTCATAGTCCGTGGATTGAACAAACAAGTGAACGGTTTCACTTTCTCCACATGCGTTCGTAGTGGTGTCATAAGAGGATTCCCCTTCAGGTAAAACTGGTTCAGATAAACCAGGATTCAACACTGTTTCGTTGAAAAGTTGAGGAAGCTGATCAATTTTCTGCCATTAGTTTCTGTTCAAGTTATAGAAGCAGTTAAATTACATACGATCCCAAGAGCATATCTCCCACACATACTTGTTGGTGGTCCTTATAACGTTAAAACAAAAGGAGACGCAATCTAAGATCCAGTCTTGCATCTTATCTAGTTTTAAAGACCCGCAGAAATATTAGTGCGATAAAAAGACCCTTACAGTTGGACATTTATAGGAGAGAGCTGTCTATTTTCTAATTAGAAGAGACCAATGAAGAAATTTCTATGTTCAAACTTGGCACCCTCTTCATCAATTAACTTGACGTCTTCATCGTCAAGTTTGAAGTTGTACACGTCCAAGGCTTCTCTTTGTCTCTCTGGCTTTGACGATGTTGTAATTGGCAAAAGACCCTTTTGTAAGGTGTACCTCAAGAGAATCTGCGAGTCTGTTTTCCCGTATTTTTCCACCAATTTAGGTAACACAGCGTCAAGCGGGTGGCTTTTCTCCTCTTCACCTTCTTGTTCGATTCTGAAAAGAGGAGACAAGGGGCCGTAGGCTTCAATCAAAATGTTGTGTTCTTTACAAAAGTCACGTATTCCCGGACTCTGATCTTGCAAATATGGGTGGAATTCGATTTGATTCACTTGAGGATAGCCCTCTGGATCTCCACCCGCTACTTTGAAAGTGCGCTTTAAGTGGTCAATTGCAAAGTTCGACACACCAATGTAACGCACTTTTCCAGCTTTTTTCGCCTGGATCAAGTCGGCCCAAACATCCTCGAGAGATTGTCCGTTACTCAAGGACAAGTCAAAAAATGGAAAGTGGATTAAGAACAAATCGATATACTCAACACCAAGATCCTTTAAAGCAGCATCTACAGACGCAGCACCGGATTTATTAGGAGCTGGAACGCCCTTGACACCTGGGTTGTACTTGGTGGTAATAAAGAGATCCTCTCTAGGGACTCCACAAGTCGCAATTGCCTTCGCAACTTCGGGATGGGTGGTGTAAATTTCGGCGGTGTCAATATGTCTGTACCCGTTCTTTACACTTTCAACCAAATAGTCCACCATTTCTTGGACAATCGTGTCCTTTAATGAAACGTCTCTGGCCTTCTTAATCTTTTGCCATTTGGTTCCGGTTCCTGTACCCAAAACGACTGGGTTACCAGATTTGGTGGTGAGTTTGGTACCATTTGGTTCAATTGGATAGGTTGCAGATTGTGTCATTGATAAATTATTGAATTGTTTGATAACGCGGGAGGATATTCTCAGTCTTATTTGATAACGCCACGGACGGGGTGCAGTGCCACATTCCTGCGTGTTCCTTGATTTACGAGTTAGTAATTGGTGATAAATTTTTTACCACCTTACATATACCAGAGCTGGAAATAATAAGGCAGATGAATTACAAACGGAGTTTATGACGGTCTCATTTTTGACGAGAGACATCCCCCTTTTTTTTTTTTTTTTTGTTTCATTTTTCTCAGCAAGATTTGTTGCTCGAAGTAGAGTGTATGTTTCTGTTGACTGTGGTGGCTTGATTGATTACGACATCCCTGCGCTTTCAATTACAGCACAATCTACTCCACAGCAAAAGAAAAGGAGCTTGAATCAAAAATAATTTACTTGCCAATCAATCTAACCATTATACATGTAGTAGATAAATCCTGTACTGACGTAGGGCATGTCTTACATGCGATGTCTCTTGCGCACTTACCGCCATAGTGTTGAACCTGCCACTCAACTAGCTCCTCCGAACCATAGGATTGTGTAAAGACAGCACAAGAGATGCGTTCTTGAATCAATGGCGGAGGAATCAAGCTATGTGAAATGAAGTTTATCTGAAGTCCGGCAGGTGACATAATAATCATATTTAAGATATAAGTCTGTTTGCTATACATACATTACGTGCTGAAGTACACAAAGGAAAGTACATAAGAAAATATTAACTTGCCTAATATATATGAAGTCCCGGCAACACACTCGTAACAACCGGGTGGTTGGTGTAATGGTTAGCATTTCTGCCTTCCAAGCAGGAGACATGGGTTCGATTCCCGTACCACTCATTTTTTTCTTTTTATTTCAGTACGTAATATCTAAGGAGCGCATTTGCCTCCGCCTTTTCCTTCTCAAAAACTCTTGAGTACGTGAGTAGGCACCGCGTTTTATGATGACTTCGACAATTTCTGGTGTGAATGTGGGGAAGTAAATACTCGCAAATTTGTATACACGCGCGATCATTCGCTTCCTTTCATCCTTCGAAATGCCGCGACTCCACGTTTTATCACCAATCTTAAAACCACATAATTGGTCAAACATTGTTAGTACAACTGTTTCCACGTCTTTAGTTAGCGAAATATGGTAATCTTGTAATCCAAGGATCCAGGCCAATTGTACGAGTGTGAGTCTGGACTCATATCGTTTGATGGACACTTGACAGCCTTCTTGCGTTTTGAAAACCTGAACTTCATCATCTTTCTGGAACTCTTTGGTGGCTTGATAATTTTTGAATTCTTTCATAATGCTCAAAGGAACCAAGTTTTGAAAGACCGGAAGTTTGTATTCCTTCTCTGGCCCACTATTCAAGACCACAGCTAGAAAGCACTTACGTGTATGCAACTTAAGACTAACAGGGTATTTGGACGAGAAAGAGCATGTTGAGTCAAAAGAGGTTTGCTCAGGAGCTGTAAGTGGCTCCTCGTTTCGAATCAGAACAAGCCTTGGGGCTTTTGCATGACCCGCACTGCGTTTGGGGGAGAAGACACTTCTGGCCCGCATAGAGGCTTCCCATATTTCCTCCTGACCAAAGTTGTTGGTTTGCATGCCCTTATATGGCACATGCTGACACATGTACACGTAACAATCGTTCAAAGTTTCTAAAATAGGCGAAGATGGTGCTGCCACGGAGGAACGCTCTTCGAGTAATGAAGATTCCATAGGTTCTTTTTCTAATGAGATGTTCGTGATAGGGCATGACTGTTTTGGTGGATTCCGTTCAAAAGCTTGGGGTGGAAGAGACGCGAACGACTCCAGTCCAATCGCCAAACTGGGGTCTCCATAATCTGCCCAGAAATCTTCCCTCAAGAATTGGGCCACTTCAATCAAGCTTTCAACGGATTGCTGGTCTTTAGTGAAGAAAGTATCTTCAGAGTAGATCTCCATTTTCGCAGCCATGACATGCGTTGGGAGAGCTAAAGCTTCTTTCCTCTTCTTCTGGGGTCAAAGGTTTTTCTCAAAAAAAAAAAAAAAAGCAAATGACAGTTCCACTCACTGAGAATAGTTGTTGAGAATTATTGTGTGAAAATTCAGGATGTTTATATATTTTATAGTCACACCTACCCCTTCGAATCTGATATAGAAGCGCTGTGCATAATTTCATGCACTGTTCATCTCGCTTATCTGGCGAGGACATTTCTGCAGGACTAGATAGTAAACTGAACCTTTAAAGCTTTTCATTTCTGTCTCTCTTTCATCGTGGTTAGATGTGATACTACAGGCCAACATTTAGTAGGTGAAATGGGCCGATATAGCACAAGAGACTACCGTTAGGTTTGATCAAGATTTCGTTTCAAGTGTAGTGTGTGTCCCTGTATTAGATATGATGCAAAGGGCTTATCTGCCGTCTCGCTTATGCAAGGGAGTATGAGCTTAAAATTGTTTCAAGATGATTTGATGGAAAAAAACAAGAAAGAAATGCAAGAAAGATAAAAAGGAAACAGAAAAAGAACAATTATCAAGCTCCTTCGATTCAATACAAAAAAGTGCTTACTACTCCGCGTCTTATTGTACATGTACGTGTATTCTAACCCAAAGTGGATGAATGTGTATCGTAACCAGCCACATATTTCCACACATTGCCCCCGAAATACATGAAGTTCTCCTCCCACACATTTAACTCACCTGTGCCTCAATGATATTTTCCACGGCAAGATCGACATCAGCTTTCAAGTATTTGCAGTTCATCATCACTTGGATCAATTTCTTGATACTAATGTCGATTGTTCCATCACCGTAGCTAGATAATTGTTGAAGGATTGCCACACGCTCATTCGGAGTCATGAAGTTCAATTTCTCAAAGACCACTTGAACCTCATCAAGTTGCTTGATCTTTTTCAACTCAATAGTCTTGGTAAAGTTTTCCACCAAACTCATATGTTTCATCACAGAATATTGAGATGTTGTTCCGATGATAAGAAGACGTCTTCCATTAGGAGGTTTCTTGTTCAAGTTGACAATCAACATTTGCAAAATTTCGTTAGAGAATCTAGGGCCAATTGGAACATAGTTAATTAATGTTTCAATCTTATCGATCACAAGCACGTTCAATGGAGATTTGTAAACATCTCTGAAAATATTATCAATAGTAGCAATCTTGGCCCCTTCTGACATACCAACCAAACTCTCCGCACTTAGCATTTTGATAAACGGGAATTCCGATTTCAAGGCCAACATGGACGCAATAGCGGTTTTACCAACACCAGGTTCGCCATGTAATAAAACACTGATAAGTCTTTCGGTGTCCGAGTTCTTGACTTCCTCGATGTAAGATCTCAACTTTTCGAAAACAGAATGTACCTTGCGATTGTACTCGATAATTCCGTAAGGGAAGTTCAAGTTCAAGTCTTCTTCATTGACACCAAAGGCAGGTTTAACTTCACTGAGAGCCATCAAAAAGTCATCTCTGGTCAATTTCATCTTTGAGATGTTTTCATCGACCTTTGCAATATTTTCGCTCTTTGTGAATTTGCTGATGGCAAAAGACGAGGCAGAGTTACACAAACCTTCCAATTCAGCACCAGTGAAATTCTTGGTCAAAGATGCCAATTCATCAAAGTCGATGTCGTTGCCAAGCATGTCATTATCCTTCATCTTCTTAGTATGGATCAACAAAATGTCCTTACGACCCTTCTCATCAGGCAATGAAATTTCAATCTGGATTTCAAAACGACCAGGACGCAATAACGCATTATCAATCAAGTCCAATCTATTTGTCATTCCAATGATCAAAATATTGTTTAATTGTTCCACACCGTCCATCTTCGCTAAAAGTTGGTTGACAACATTATCTCCAACACCAGTACCATCACTTCTGCTGCCACCTCTTTGTTTGAAGACAGAGTCCAACTCATCGAATATAATAATGTGTAACTGGGAGTTTTCACCTTTTGCTTTGTATTCCGCTTCAGCTTCCTTGAACAAGTTTCTGATGTTTTCTTCGGAAGATCCAACATATTTGGAAAGCATTTCCGGACCGTTCACAATCTTTGGTTCCTTGACATTCAACATTTTACCAATTTGTCTCGCAATCAAGGTTTTACCCGTACCTGGAGGACCAAACAACAAGAGACCCTTGACGTGACGTAATCCTAACTTATCCACCAAGTCAGGGGAAATAATACGTGAAGCGAACGCTCTCCGGAAAATTTGTTGAAATTCATTGTCCAAACCACCAATTCCCATACTCTCCAACTTGAAGTCAGGATTGATAATGGGGTTTGCTCTTGGTTTGTTGATCATGGCCGAGGATTTGCCGCCTTTCTTTTTCATCAATTGAATAGGCGAGCCATCGACAGGAAAGAAGTTCACATTCGTACCACCTTTCATCAAAATACCTTTGGTATGTATATCTTGAGACATTTTACGTTCCAGATCGCCTAAATGATTCAAGTTGATGACTTGGCATGCGTAAACATAGATGGAGAAGTACATTCCTTTATAATCCATCACAAATGGTTGTGTAGGCTGCAAGATTTGATTTTCGTAGTTGGAAAGAAACACATTGATAAGATCTTCTTCGTTAAGAGAAGCCAGCGTTGCTTTCGACGTCTGCTTGTAATCAATCAACAAATCAAGTTCTCCCAAGTAATGTGTGTCATCCAAGCTGCGGTCAAAAATGTTATACAGCTCAACTGTCACCTGCTGACCCAAAGACGTTCTACACCATTGACGCGATTTGCCAGCTAATCCAATACAGCCTGGTTCCATAGCCAGGTGTTTGACAATGCCGTAAACAAAGTTTCCATCAATGATGACGTTGGTTCTATCAGGAACATCTGGGAAGTCAGAGGGATGCACCGCCACCAAATTGGTGAGGGCAACTTGGTTATTGGGGGCACCTTCTACTCTAAGTTGCTTTTTGAAATTGGGCCCAGACTGCGCTTTTCTAGCCGGTTGACTGTGCGAGATGACCGGATTCCCGGGACCGGGGTTATTGGACACTTTGTGAAATCCTAATTTTTCCATTGTATTGTGTAGAAGAGATGGGAACTTGGGTTCGTTGTTCATCTTGTATAGGTGCCGGGGCATATACAGGTGGCACGTCGTTGGTGCGAGTGTCCATTGCCCGGCACGTGATCTAAAACCACGTGCAAAATTAATAGGAGCATCCAGTCGCTCAGTGGAGATCGCGGAAGAAGTTTCCGTATTAGGCAGGTTTCCGAGGCGCGGAAGAAGCGAGCAGAAACCAAGCGAACAAAAGCGTCATAGGGTGAACGGAAGAGGCAAAAAAATAATTTAGAGACAAATGAAGATAATTATAGGGGATCACCACAATGATACAATTGACTTCAGTCAATTAACTCTCAGACAAACCTGCGCAAGAAGTCAAAAAACTCATCGCTATCAGAGTGGCGTTTTGGGCCATATGAAAAACCGTCAATCCCAAAAACAAAAGTGTGGCGCGCACATGGAAAAAAACCAGCGGCCTTGATTATACGTAAAGAAGCGAATCATTCCCAGTTGAAAAGGTGCACAATGAAAAAGTGCATTGTAGACGATAAAAATAATAAAAATAAAATAGCTAATCGAATTGAATAGCATTGGCATTTTAAATATCCGCTCGTACACTATTTGATGCCACAGACTATGTGAGCAAGATCAAAGTTAGTTAATGGTTTGCATGCTCGTCGGCCCATGCTGAGTGAGCGGACGTCTAGATTTGGCCCGCTTATTAAATACGCGCACTATAAATACCGCTGTGGTTCCCCCTTGAACATGATTCTTTTCCAGCAACTACATAACCATCCATACTAAACACAATGGCTGCCATCATCCAAAAACCAGCTCCATCTTTCAAGAAGACCGCCGTCGTTGACGGTGTTTTCGAAGAAGTTTCTTTGGAACAATACAAGGGCAAGTGGGTCTTGTTGGCCTTTATCCCATTGGCCTTCACTTTTGTTTGCCCAACCGAGATTATTGCCTACTCCGAGGCTGCCAAGAAGTTTGCTGACAAGGACGCTCAAGTCTTGTTTGCTTCCACCGACTCTGAATACTCTTTGTTGGCCTGGACTAACGTTGCCAGAAAGGATGGTGGTTTGGGCCCAGTCAACATCCCATTGATTGCTGACACCAACCACTCCTTGTCTAAGGACTACGGTGTGTTGATCGAAGAAGCTGGTGTTGCCTTGAGAGGTATCTTCTTGATTGACCCTAAGGGTGTCTTGAGACAAATCACCATCAACGACTTGCCAGTCGGTAGATCTGTTGACGAGTCCTTGAGATTGCTTGAGGCCTTCCAATTCACTGAGAAGTACGGTGAAGTGTGCCCAGCCAACTGGCAAGAGGGTTCTGAGACCATCAAGCCAGACGTGGTCAAGTCCAAGGAGTACTTTGGTAAGGTCAACAAGTAAGCCTTTAATATACAATTAAGTACTGCAAAATGTAGTGAATATGTACAGTGGGTCGGACAGCGTCCGTTGGTAGCCGATTGATCAAGCAAATTAGCTACTCATCTATCTTTATTTGGGTGGCTATCGTATGTATTCTGTAGGGCCCACAACAGGACTCTGCATGTGCACAGTGGATGATGAATTCTGCAGGATTCCCACCACTCTCTTGAACCAAGTCAAATGCCCAAAGAAGGAATCTTCTTTCACCAATTCGCGGTGGATTCGCAAGTGTTTTTCAAATCCAAATATTCGTATGCGCTAGTCAACTTGAAGCCTTTGGTACCAGGCCATGTGCTTGTGGTGCCCCTTCGGCAAAGTGTTCTTCGCTTTGGAGACTTGACGCCGCAAGAATCCCAAGACTACATGTCTTCCCTTCAGCTTATCCAAGGCTTTATTTATAAGGTCTACAAAGCTGATTCACTCAATATTGCCATACAAGATGGCCCAGAGTCAGGACAATCAGTCCCTCATTTACATACGCATTTGATTCCACGGTATAGGACCGATAAACACGACGACAGCATACACACTCAGTTGGAAAAGACAGATTTGGCTGCAGCTTACGCAGACTTCTTTGCCCGCAAAACAGAGTTTCAAGAGAAGGGAACTTGGAAGTCTGTGCCAGACGACGAGAGACACCCACGTACGGCAGAGGAGATGGCAAAGGAGGCTTCATGGTTGAAGGAAGAGCTCGAAAAATACGTGGCTACAAAGTAGATGCGGGAACTTGGCAATTCGGAGATTGCAGCCATTCATGCTTCTCAATGTGGTTTCAATGACCTGTTGCTCCAAGTGGAAAAGTAGTGATGGAACACTTTTAGAATCTATAGGAAAGAGAATTCAATTTTAAGACCCAAAAGCGATGATAGAATAGACCACTGTAATGAGGAATATGATATCAATTCTGAAGAACAAAGCCGTTTCAGAAGGCAGCGACGTCTCTTGTAGAACCGCTAGATGGGCCTACATAGTGAACACTGCGCATTACAAGTCGAGAGTTAGACCTCAAATCAGATATACCAATGTCAACAGAGCCCTTGGACGAAATCCAATGGAAATCGCCTGAGTGGATTCAACAATTTGGTCTTCACACGGGCAACGTGCTTGATTATTTTGCTGAATCACCGTTTTATGATCGGACATCTAACAACCAAGTCCTACGAATGCAGTTCCAGTTTCAACAAATACCGCCAAACATTCATCCGCAGAAATACCTCCAAAACAAACTTACAGAGATGGTTGGGACAGAATTTGTGGTGGCCTATGTGAGGGAACCGGACTTTTGGATTGTGCGTAAACAAAGACGCCTTGACCCCAATACTGCTTTGACCGAACAAGACTACTACATTATTGGTGCCAACGTTTACCAAAGTCCCAAAATTTATGATATTTTGTCGTCCCGCATGCTTTCGACCGTATTATCTATTAAAAAGTCGATCGACTTGCTTAACAACATGTACAACTTCAGTATCAGTGACGGAGGCCATACTTACCCCACCAGCGAAAGCGACTCTGCTACAAACGGGCCAAGAACAGTTTCTGGTGCCGTAAGTGCTGGCAGTGGAAGCACCCCAATGACAACATCAAACCCAGGAACCGCTGCGCATACTGGAGGAAACGGACTTGAACTGGCCGCCACTATGGGGAACGCAGTTGCGGTTAATAGCGAGATACTGTCTAGTGCTTTTGACAGCTTATTGTCCAGCGTTATGGCTTCGGCCAGCAGTGAAAAGAGCATTTATATAGATGACATCCCACTTTATGGGAAGGGAAGCACCGTGGAGCAACTAGGATCGAAGTTAAACCTTCAAGACGATACAGACTAGACGAGCCAGGCGGGGACCTAGATATGGATAATTACATAGTGGGGCTAGCAACAATCAAAAGGAATAACGTAAGTTTTTATTTTTTTAAAGTAGTTATCTACCGATATACTATTACAGTGGTTGATTGATACTAGCTCAAACGTGAAAAGTATACACTGTATTGTAATCTTGAAGCATCTCACATATGCTCGGGAATGGCCAACGAAATTGCTGCTTCGAAACAAGAGAGCTTAAAGCTCATCCTTATTGCTTTGCTCTTCAACGGGCAATTCACCGCATGCAGCGATTTTGATTTCCTTCACAGGTCTGTCTCCATAGCCAGTCTTGACCTTTTCAACGTAGTCCACTACATCAAAGCCGTCCAAAACTTCGCCAAAGACGACATGGGCACCATTCAACCAGGAAGTCACCACAGTGGTGATAAAAAACTGAGAACCGTTTGTGTTCTTACCAGCGTTGGCCATGGACAATCTGTAAGGTCTGTCATGCTTCAATTGGAAGTTCTCATCCTCAAACTTGCCGCCGTAAATAGATTTTCCACCATATCCTTTTCCTGTTTCAAAGTCGCCACCTTGAAGCATGAAGTTGGGGATCACCCTGTGGAAAATAGAGTTTTTGTAGCCAAAGGAAGGGTCATCAGAAATAGCCAATTGTCTAAAGTTCTCAACGGTCTTTGGCACAACGGTACCAAACAAACCAATGGTGATACGTCCAATTTCCTTGCCATCTTCTTCAATGTCGAAATACACCTTGTGAGTAATCGGTGGGTTTTCAGGCAAACTGGAGGAGCCAGCTGTAACAAACTTGAAAAGCGCAAAAAGAGAAGCAAGAATTGCAAAGATGGAAAACGTTTTCATCATGTGTCTTTGCTGAGAAGAATGTTTGTCGAAATGTGTGGAGAAATTTGGGCGCATTTGGACGCACTTCGAAGTCGTGCGCCTAACATACTACTGGAGCTACATACTGACGAAATTAGTTTCATTGTATCGCTAAAGTAAATCTTCAGAGTAAATGAAAATACTGTTCCTAATTCCTACTATGAAAATTTTTAAGATCAAATTCCCAATTTCTTCTGGCAGAATATCCAAAAGGACTCTGTAGACAAAAAAAGAAAAAGAAGAAAAAAAAAAAAAGAACGCAGGGAATAAGCTGAATTGTACTTTTTCGAACCCACTAGCAGTCAGTATTAAGTTAAGTCTCTGCATTAAAATATGTGACAAGATATAAATATTCTGTGTATTACTTTAGAGTGAAGGAACTCTTATGACGCAGAGGGTGTATATTATAGCGAAACGTAGAGTACCTGTTCGAGATCACTTTTGACACCTCAGAATGAACCTAAAGAATCCCCAGCAATATCAAAATCTCCAATAAGCAAAAGAATACACCCAAAGACAATGTTCCAGGTCTCATTGTCGTGTATGTGAAATATCGCCGACAGTATCAACAAGAACTGAAACTGCATTACCAATATACGTCTATGCTACAGCTTTTCGATAGTCATATCGATTCATTCGGTCCTTGTTGGTTTCTATTTACACGCGGATTAAAACTGTCTCTCACCCTTCCTCTCTGCTTCCAACTCCTCATTGGCGAATCTCTCCTTCTCTTCCAACTTCTCCAAAGCCTTCTTCTTGGCCAAAACAGTCTTAGCCTTTCTTTCACCTCCATTCTTCTTCTTGCCTCTCTTGTGCTCTCTCAAAGGCTCCAAGTCGTTGACAAATTTGTGCTTCCATCTTAACATGTATCTTCTGGTTGAAACATCGATGCCCATATTTTTCAACTCCTTGGATGTAGTACCCAAAAACTTGTTCAAGTCACCTTCAAAGGCATCGAGATGTTCGACAGTCTTCCTTCCAATCAACTTGAAAAAAGTTTCCAAGTCGTGGACATTTTCTTTTGTTCTTGTAGAATGGTTTGTTCTCGATGCTACTATGGTGGATGAGAAAGATCTCGAAAACACTTGGAGGTTCAGCGACAACGCAGTTGGTCTTATCTGCCTTAAGTTTGAAAATGCAAACATTTGTCGTGGGAACACAAACCTTGTAGTTTAGATATGAGTAGCGTAGTACTGTAGGTAAATTTTTCAGGCTGTGCGCGACACATAAACCTACTGGCGACGGGCGTAAAGATAAATCTAGGTTACACTTGAGGCTAAAAGTATCGTCACAGTTATATTCTTTATAAACGATAGTAGAGAACTTACAACAAGCCCTTGTTTTTGAACTCTTGCAACAAAGAGTTACCCAATCTAGCTGGAGATTTTTCAACAACAACACCGGCAGATTCCAAAGCAGCGATCTTGGACTTGGCGTCACCCTTACCACCAGCGACAATGGCACCAGCATGACCCATTCTTCTGCCTGGAGGAGCAGAAACACCGGCAATGAAGGAAACAACAGGCTTAGGTCCCTCTGGTCTGGTCAAGTTATGTTGCTTCAAGAACTCAGAAGCTTCTTCCTCGGCAGTACCACCAATCTCACCAATCAAAATGATACCCTCGGTTTCTGGGTCGTTCAAGTACAAGGTCAAGGCGTCGATGAAGTTTGTACCTGGGAATGGGTCACCACCCATACCAATGACCAAAGATTGACCCAAGCCAACGTTGGTGGTTTGCGCAACGGCTTCGTAAGTCAAAGTACCGGATCTAGAAATGATACCAACACGGCCTCTCTTGTGGATGCTGGAAGGCATAATACCAATCTTACATTGGTCTGGAGCAATCAAACCAGGACAGTTAGGACCAACCAATCTAGTCTTGGACTGTGTCTTCAAGATTTGGGCAATTCTCACCATGTCGTGTTGAGGAATACCTTCAGTGATGGCAACAGCCAATTCAATCTCAGCTTCGATGGCCTCCTCAATAGCAGCAGCAGCAATTGGTGGAGGAACAAAGATACCTGTCGCAGTGGCACCAGTCTCCTTAATGGCATCCCTGACATTGGCGAAAACTGGTCTGTCCAAGTGGGTGGTTCCAGCCTTCTTTGGGTTGGTTCCACCTACAACTTTGGTGCCGTAAGCAATGGCCTGCTCGGCGTGGAAAGTCGCCTGCTTACCGGTGAAACCTTGGTAGATGACCTTGGTGTCCTTGTTGACTTTCAAGTTCTTGATGGTGGAAGCGTAGTTTCTGGCGACCGGGGTAGAGGCGAAGCCACGGACAAATTGCTTGGACAACATTGCGACGTACTTTTAGATTTGATCTTTTCGTTTCGAGCTTGGCAGTGAATCAAGCAGGGGAGGAAAAGCGTGGAATAGACTGAAAAAAGCGCTTAGCTGAAGCTGGTGAAACCCGCATGCTGTCATCGGGCGTATAGTTTCCGCCAATACATCCGTACACCACATCCGGCCTCGCTCGCATCGTTTTCTCATACAATCGCTCGGCTTTGTTGGTGAAAAAATCACACCAACCGCGGCTTCCTGCAGAGGGCTCCGAACCTGCCCGGGGTGTGGAGATTTTTCTTGAGAGCTGGCAAGATAGATAGGCTACTTCCGCTTATCCAGAACGTGATATAGCTGGGAAAAGGAATCACACATCCTTCGTCCTTTATTCTTGCATTGATAGTTTAATTTTATACTTTTCGTCCTTGTTCATGATTGCGTTGTTCTATACTTACTATGAAGCACGGTGTGATTCTAATTGCACCTTTACCCACATGCAGACGTACAATACCTCTTCCTACTCCTAATAATTAAACAAACTTTTGTAGTAGAGACACCTGGTCCGCAACAAATCCCAGTCTTTCTGCGTGATCCACATCTCATTCACAACCTTCAATCTGCTGTAAACACTACCTCCTTTCCAACACAATTCTTGGGGGTCAAACTCTCGTGGTGCAGGAAGAACATTAACAGGAATGAGTGCACCTTGATCTGAATAACTGTCCGCTTTCTCCAAGTCGAGGAACAAGCCAGTGGCCTCCTCAATATCCTTAATTTCTTTTTCGCTCAATTCCACATCATCGACACTTTGGTCTCCTGTAGCTTTTTTCTTTTTGGCTTCCGCTATCATGTCTTTGCGTTTGGCTTCCGATTTTTCTTTTTCCTTGTTGGCATAATTCAAAACATCATCGAGACCACTGGAGGAAAGAAACTTCGGACGCCAAATATTGATGCGGTCGTTGAGTAGCACATCAAATCCAGGGAACTTGGCGAGCCCGCCTCCAACAATAAGCAAATTATCATATAATTTTTTTGTCTTATTGAAATCCGTGGCAATACCAGCATATGTGATCGACTCGATGATCGCCTTATCCAAAGGCATAGTTAAAGGTATTTGCACTTCCTCAGCTGAAAGAGAGCGTGGCGCACGCGGTTTGGCGTAGACATTGGCTTGTTTGAAGACAGTCTTGTCCTCGAGAAGTTTTAGAATAAGCTTTTCGTCCGTCATGTCAGAAAAACACGTTTTATTCACCAAGTTCTCTTGTGCTTTGGAATACGGATTGTTGGGTTCCCCAGAGTAATGGTCTTGAGACTCCGGAAATAAGTTTCTTGGTCGGGATACCTCTTCGATTTGAAATAAACCCGGGTAAAACAATCCGAGTGGTGCTAACATCACCTCGTCGTATACTTTAAAATTGTATTTTTGAGTTTTTTCACCAGGCTTCCGCTTGTGGAAGTTGTACAACTGAACGGCAATGTCCGCATCATTGAATGTACAGAAATTCTTTTTCAAATCCTCAGCTAATTCCCAATCATCATTATGGTTTGCCAAGTTAATATCTGAATAAGGGAAACCTTGCTGTAACATGAGTTTTGTGAACGCTTCTGTGATGTGCTTGCCCCCGTAATCAAGTCTCACACGCGAGTCATTGATTACCATACCTTCATCAACGCATGCAATAGAGGTTTTCTCTGCTCCCACATCAACAACACATGCGCATGAAACACCAGCTCCAAAAGTAGATGCAACAGCTTCTTGAATGATTCCAATTCGTCCAAATCCAACAGAGTTGATTAACAAATCGACCCATGCTTCGACATAAACTTTGTCGTATAACTCAGGAATGACAAGCAAGCACTTCAAGTTTGTAAGCTCTTCAGCCGTTGTAATATCTATTGTTTTCAATGCCTCATTCGTAATGCGAATTAAATCACCTAGAAGCTCTTGCGGCGATTGATAATCCTCAAGAGATTGATTAAAAGATCCATTGACAATTGGAAATCTCAACTTCCAGTCACGATAAGACTCATTTATGGGTAATTTCAAAGCTTCATCTCCTGCAAAGTACTGGCGTTCTTTTAGAAGGACGTCATCTTTCTCAAACCAATCTTTTTTAGAAGGATCATAACCTTCTGGAACTTCTTCCGGTTCCTGTTTTCTATTGAATGCAGCAGCGCTATCTCGGGAGTTTGGATTCATCCTGCGCTTGTAGTAACGCATTCTTGCCTTGAAATCCTTGGTTACCACACCTTTAACTGCTTCAAACAGCTCTCCAAAATCAACTTCACCGTTATCATATTCGGTTCTTTGGGGGATAATGGGGTATTCACTGTTATCTTTTTGATTGTTTTTGATGGCAATGACCATTGGCACCGAATGTGGCAATCCATCTGTGGCACGGCCTATTCTCATAAATTCAGATCCAGGGTGTATGACAATCGTATCATGGCCCATACTTCCTTTTCCTTGAACACCCTCTTCTGCCTCATTGTCGTCATCATCTTCATCGTCATCATCATCATCCCCATTTGCGCTCTTCTTACCGTCGGCAGAAGACGAGGTTTTCGAGGGATCTTTTGTCTGTGTTTGAAGCAACTTTTCTGTCCTCCAATTCCGAATCAACATCGCCTGCTCATCTTTCTTCAAGTAATCTGCAAAGTAATTCTTTTGGTTGATCAAAGGTACTGTTTTCACGCTAGTAAGCGAAAAGTGGTTTTGGTCTTCAAAACGGCCAATGCCTGTCTTCTTCAAGTTTTGGGCAATTGTCGCCGCAGCTTTAATACGTCCCTCACGCCGCCTCTGGAGGACTTCCTCTGAAGGCTTCTTCGTTGATGCGTTTTTGCCAGTGGTTTTTCGACGCTTCTTATCGGCCTCAGGATGTTCGTCGGTCTTCTCTGACGAAATATCTGGTGTAGCATTCCCGTCAGGGAGCGGAGTTCCAGGAGGAGAAGAGGGGGCTGTAAAATGATCATCTTCCTCTTCTTCTTTGACAACAGAAGACATTGTTGGTGTAGCAAAGAGTTTAGGCGATTCAAATGTCGCGAGGTAGTATAAAGAGTGCACGCGGCCACCAGTCTCCTTTTGGCCCAATGCTCGATGTTTAACTACAGAAAAAACTAAAATGCGAAATGTTTAATAAATGACTAGGGTATAGACTCACTGTCATAACCTCTGAAAACGTTGGCAATAATTGAAGTATAGGAGATATTAATTAGTAATCAAGAGCAACTTTGATAGTGGACGAGCTTTGACGGTAATGTTGTTGTTTTTGGTGCCCAAACCGTTCATTGCTTCCAATGGCAGGACTTGTAGTATGGGCTTTATTGAAATTGAGTGAGCCAATGGATCTTGTTGGACTCACACCGTTTACTTGAGCGCTCAGAGTATTATTAGACTTGCGATGTCTTGAAAGGTTCATGATACCTTCAGTCAAATTATTCTCGTTGTGGTAGTCCCACAATTTTTTTTTCCACTCGGACAAGCAATTGTGCATTTCAAACAAGCGTGTAAGCTGTTTCTTCTTTTCGGGCCCGCCTCCTTTCTTGAAGCTGCTTGTAAGTGTCCTGTGGAGTTTCTCATATTCCCGGTATTTGGAACGAAATTTCATGGCGAGCTGTGAGTAATATTGCTGTTTCTTTTCAGCGTTCGTTATGGAAAGAGCACTTTGTGGTCTTGGAGGAACAATACTGGGATGTTTTGCCATAATCAGCAATTTTACGTCGTCATCACTTCTTTCATCACTCGCGCCATCCTCATTGACTGAAGATGGCAGCGTCCCATGACTGGCATTTCTTCCCGTAGTGCTAGTAGTACTCACTGTGCTACCGTTGCTGTTTGAGCGTACCCCATTAGTCTTTGATCTCTTCACTGCCTTCTCGTCATCAGAAGAAGCAGCAGACAGAGACAGCGAGTAAACAAACTTCCTTTTGGAAGATATTTTTCCGGGTGAGCCATCAACACGAAGTTTTCTTGCGCGGAGTTGGCCAGAGCTAAGATCCAACTCGGGAGATTCTGTTGCAGGCCGTCGAGTTCTTTGGACAGCGGTAAGAGGTGATGCTGGTTGTACCTTGGGAGAATTATGAGTTGTGGATGATTTTTTGCTATTTGCCAAAAGGCCTCCTCCCAAAGCTGTATGTTTTTTGAGAGGCGGAGCACTGTGTGTCTTTTCGGCAATGCGCTTTCTAAGTGGATGGGTATCCAGATATCCCAACCTGCTTAATGCATTATTAGCATTTTCAAGAATAAGACTCCGCTCATAATCCGTGTAGAAACTCCATTGACACGGGCGTAATTCCTTATAGGCTTTATCTTTCAAGATGATGTATTGCGCCGTTGAATCAATTTTAGCTGCTCCCAGGTCAATGTTCGGAAAAACGTCATCTTCGATAAAAGTATCCTGTGACAGGTAGGCCTGTGTGTGTGTGGCGATCATTGATTTGAGCTCATTCGGAGGTATGATATGTTTTGGGTCGAGCTTATTTTGAAGGGCACTGTGCTTGATGGGCCCTAATGCAACAAGACACAAAAACTTAACAAGAACTTCAGCTGGTGAGTCTGAAGCTGTTATGCTGTATGGACTTGGAGATAACGCCCACGATGAGGATTCTGCCAGAGGTTCCAGATGCGGCGCAGGTCTAGTCCGAGGAAATGAAGGTTTCTGAGGCAAATCAGCTTCAGCTGACACAGTCAGACGCAAGTGTTCCTTTATTTGTTTTGGATCGCTAAGGACATTGAGTCTTGTAGAGACTGTGGCGGTGAAATCGTAAGAACTCTGATTTGTAGATGGCGAATAAATATCGAAGCGCAAATTCTCGTCGCTCGAGGAACAAGGAAATATAAGCTGTTCTGAAATCTTAATCAGCTACAAAAGGCAGTTAGTAATGGGTTAGGCGGGAATTTTCTCCTCTTTTGGGAGTGCAATGCTCAGAAGAGAACTGAAAAGATACGTACAAATTTACCGTTTTTCACAACCAATTTGGGAGAGGCGCCGCTATTGTGAAGCAGGCGTAACTGCAGAAGCACATCTGTGTTAAGTTTGAGGGCCAATGCTGACGGCCTTGGGTATGGAGGCGGGTTTAGCACCGATATCGATGGGTCCATTAAGTGCGAGAAACGTTGTGGGAAGCCAAATTAGAATGTGGGGCAATAGTGGATCGGGATAGCCCGTCTAGGCAAATGGAATAGAGCAGAGAGAACGGAAACGTTGATCTGAAATGGAAAAAGTAGGAAGAATGAAAAAGAAAAAAAAAAATTCAGGGTTTGAGAAAGTGGAGTGAACAAGACACTCTTCCTAAGAGTGATGGGCGAAGGAGGTGCTGATGCACCGATTTGGGCGATAGGCGGAACCACGGGAAGGCACAGAACCTACTGCGGAAAAAAAAAAAAGGGCCCCGTAACTCGAATGCACGGGTGTAGCCATTCTAGGTTATGGTTAACCAGTACGAGGCTGGAATGTGTTCTCTGCACACGGAGAGGTTTTCTTTTGTTAGGAAGTTGATTTGACTTGGCGGGGTTTGTAGGTTGCTGTGGTTATTGTTCTGCTCTTTTATTGTCGCCTGTTTTTTGTCGTTTGCTACTTTGTAGATCGACCGTGTCTGTGCGGCGCATCCGCTAACCGAAGGAGCTAAGCAATACGAAGCCTCAGATGCAATCTTGGGCATATTTGGTGCAAAACACCTGTTGCACTAAACGAAACAGAAATAGTCTTCTATGAGGAACTACACTTCCAACATTGGAACTAGATGCTTTGGCCTGTGATATGGATACTTGCCAGCTGCTTTATCCGGACACTTTTCGTCTCCATACACACTCATGCATACCCAATGCGTTGGTGCGATTTGGTTGTGCAGACATTTTGTATGGGCCGAAATTGCACTGGAAGGGCAGGAAGATGGCTAAATTAAGAGGAAAAAAAGATGAAAGCAAAGATATACAGTGATCGTAGGTTTTTTTACTTCCATACTGGAAGAATCATTTGTGTTTGCAGGCATTGCCAACTTGAGCGTGGGAAACCATGTTCCCATTGGCCAATAGCCTGCCTGTCGCATTGAAAGTAGGGCAATATGCTCACTGGTGATTGCGGTCGTGTGCATACCCACTTGGCCTCTGCTACATTGTAGCGCACACATTCATAGGAGTCGCCCTTTGTATCCTCAACCAAGCCTTTTCCCATTTCCCATCCAAAGAAATTCAGAACATGTTGAAGTGGGTCCAATCCGGCTTGTCCGTTGTAGCAGGCACTGCAGAGCCTGAATATGGTCCAGATGCTATTCACCCAGTTACCCAATCCATTGCCAATGGCGAACCAACCTCCAGAGAAACTACTGGTGCTGACTTTGCTTGGAGAAAACCATCTTCCACCAATGTCGAAACGCAAACCTTCTACTACTCTGACTTGAAGTCGGGGTACACTGGTTTTGCTCAGGTGATTCATTCCAACATCATGGGAATCAAGAATACCGCACAGTTTACTTTCCGTCTTTACAACAACAATTTGGGCGCTGAAGACCCTCTTTGTATCTGGACTTCTACAGCATTGGAAGACTTCCGCACCGAAGGTTCCAACTTTTATGCCAAGGACTTGTCTATTGAATTGTCTGGCGAGAACTCCAATGTGTACACTATCAAGTCCAAAGTGTGTCCTAAGTCCGAAGTCGACCTTGTTGTTACTAAATTAGTTCCAGGTGTAATTTTTGGTGCAGATGGAACAACCCTCTATGGTGATGACATTGAAAACCCATGGGGTGCCATGAGACATGCTTTCTGGCCTAGATGTAGCGCCAAGGGTACTATTAAATTGGGAGACACATCCCTTGAAATTGATGGTTACACCATGTTTGTGATGGCTTTGCAAGGTATGAAACCTCATCATGCAGCAAAGTCGTGGAACTTTTTGAACTTCCAGTCGGAGAACTTTTCTGCTGTCCAAATGGAATTCACCACTCCTTCCTCATATGCTAACACCAAAGTTAACGTTGCTATTTTGACTTCGAAGGACAAGATCATTGCCACATCCATTGACAATGAAATCATCCATGAAAATGCTGAGGCAGATAACGTTGGCTGGAAAGTTCCAAAAGCAATCACTTTTAATTTTACCGAGGGCACTAATTCGGAAGTCATTGCGACTGTAAGAGGTAACTTGACGAGACTTATTGAACGCGTGGATGTTATGGCTGAAATTCCTCAGTTTGTGAAGAACATCGTCAGTGGTGTGGCTGGCACAAAGCCGTACATTTACCAGTTCTGCAACACTTTAACTATTGAGTACGAAGGTAAGTCAGAGGACGGTATTGCGTTTAACGAAGCCACATTCATTTCTGAGTAAGATGGCTTCTCTTTTATCTTTGTACTTACCCTTTCACGCGATTTATGACTATAGTGGCATTGACACTCTTCTGGATCAATGTTCAATGTGTGTCTTGGCACCAAGCAGCCAGCTTAATTTGACTTACACCCCCTTATGGGCTGCTTTCATTTTTGTTTCGATAGTCTTCGTTTCTAATATACAATAATCTATTGAATTTAATAGTCGTTCATCTTTTGAAGACTTGATTCTCATTTTCTTTTTTAGCTTTCTTTTCACCGGATTATGGCGAATTTTCAGAATTTCGCACACTAATATTAGTAGATTAATTTGAAAAGAGAAACAGCAAATCCTCTTACAAATTCTTCGAGTGGATTCAAACAAGAGAAACAATCTGGATAAGGACAATAAATACCAGGAGTCCAGTTTGACCTTTACACATCTCACAAGGACTCTCGTACCGCTAATAATTGTATATGGTCATGAAGAGATTACAGATGATTAAGGCATACTTTCTTGCTGCTATGACCAGGAAAAAATTACTCAAAAAAACGTAACAATAACCCCACCATTACACACAATGAGATATTTCCAGATGCCCGACCCCTATCCAACTGAGAATCAAATTAGGTGTTTTGGGTTTGTATAGGAACAATCAGAAACAAATATATGCAAACCAAGTAAAAAAAGTAACGACAACTGCAGGACTCGAACCTGCGCGGGCAAAGCCCAAAAGATTTCTAATCTTTCTCCTTAACCACTCGGACAAGTTGCCTTATTGATAAGCTTAATATTCAAGCTACGTAGTGTTCAGAGCAAAACAAAACTCAAGTAACAGTATTGTAATACATGTTTCTTTTTAGTTCAACATATTATCAGCTTTTATTACATATATACGCGTACTATTTTTATGCTTTGGAGTAATGCATCACCGCCTTTCGACCGTGAAATAGTGTAAAAAGATGTATCCAAAGATCAAGAAAACGAAACCCCAAGCTCCTAAGTAGCAGAGGTCTTTCCAAAACGCACTGACATCAAAACCAAATGTGCTGAGAATGACAGCACCTGGAACTTCGATTGAAAGCCCGTATTTTTTTTCCTTGAGAATCAAGTCCTTAACTTCGTTTATGGCTAGCGCCTCGTACGCGTAATGGAAGAGGGAAATCCACTCCATCCATTTAGTCTGGACTTTAAGGTCCTCGCTGTTGATAAACAATCCAGCAAAAAGCATAGAAAATAAGAGAATCAAAACAGCCAGTATAGTCGAGGTGCCCGGCTCTTTAATTAGGATTCCAATAATCAATACCTCAATTGCAACAGCAACATTGAATAAGATCAAGACACTGAGTGCTTTCAAGAACCCATTATTTTTCATAGTCAAGCCGACAAGTGGATACAAAATACTCAATAAAATAATGGGAGGCAAAACTCTCAAAGGAATCAAATCACAGACCATCTTACTGATGTAATAACTTGCCGGATGGTAGTAATTATTTGCTCTTTCACGAATGAAAATAATTCTCTCCTGTGAGAATGAATGCAAACCTGTTAACGCAGAAAAGCCAAACAATGCGAGGATGAAAAAAAACAATCCCAATCTATTTTGAAATCCACTGATATCATTAGAGACGTTGTAGTACAAAAATCCACAGAAGAGTCCAACCAAGAGAGACAACACGTAATTGGTCAAGAGGAGTCTGGGGTTTCTGTACAAATTTTTGAACGTTCTCGAACATAATACTTTCAACTGAGTCAAAAAACTTGCTTTGGCGAACAAATGGTACAGTATGTCAAAGTCAGTAGCGGATTCACGGGAAGCTGCAATATCTTGCCTGAGTTCTATTGCCAGAGGAGATTCATGAAATATCTGTGGAAGTTTGTTACTGATTTGCATCAAAGTATCTCCTTCTCCTGAAGATTGTTTTACAGGTTGATAATTGTACTCATCCCTGTGAAGCGCAAAATGTTCCCACTCATTTGTAATGTCTGTATCGCTGTTTCTCTGCGTGGCCACAAATGCTTCATGAGGATCTTCAATATCGGGTACCTTAATAATCCTTTTATGGTCAACGGTGATGTCAATCAAATAATCCGCGATATTGTAACCACTTGGACACTGATAACCATTCTTGCGGAAAAAGTCATTGCATTTGATCATATCTCCTGAGTAGACCAAGTCTCCTTCGCTAAGGAGAAGAAGCTTATCAAACAAAGAAACAATGTTACTTCTCGGTTGATGAATGGTGAAAACAATTGTTCTATTGTAGTCCTTGGCCAACTTTACCAATGTGTCGACGACGTTCCTGGCATTGTATGCGTCCAAACCAGAAGTCGGCTCGTCTAAGAATAAAATACATGGGGACGTCACCAACTCACACGCGATTGAAAGTCTTCTCTTTTCTCCACCGGAAATGCCACGCTTGAAATCCGATCCAACAACTCTGTCCTTTATTTTAAAAATCCTCAACTCTTTTAAGACTTCTATAACTCTGGCAACCTTTGCAGAGTAGGACATTGAGCGAGGCAAACGGAGCAAAGCACTGTTCAAGACAGTTTCATACACAGTCAACGTTGGAATGAGATGATCCTCCTGATCGACAAAGCCAACAATCTTCTTATAGTCATGTTTTGCTATAATTTGGCCATTAACATAAACCTCACCTTGAACTTCACCACTCTTGTTTTTGCCAGCGAGAATATCCAACAACGTGGTTTTACCGGCACCGGAACCACCCATAATGGCAAGACATTGTCCTGGGCTAACCATGCCATATATGTCATTGAGAACAGAAGCGCCCAGGGGAAGAACGTACGAGATTTGTTGGAAGGATAACGTAGTTGGGGTGAAATTCTCAGTCAATGAATTGTACTCTGAACTTGAAACTTCATAATCTGAGCCAGCAACTCCAACGAATAAGGGACTTTTTCCAATAGTGTAAGCACCCCACGCAATCACAACCACACATACAAGCACAACCGCAGCGATCGTAAACATATTATACATCGTGAATTTGCCGTGATCTGGAATATCGTAACCAGGGATTTCACTTTTGTGAACACACTCTCCTGACTTGCAATTTAAGGTAATGTAAGGATCTCCAAAGACAGAAGAGATCAATTGGTTCATACTAGGTTCCGAGAAACGGCAATTCTTAGAATTGATATCACAAGAGAATTCGCCCGGTCCTTCAATGGTTTCGGTAAGAAAGTCAGAGATATCAATTGATCCAGACTCGCCACACAACATTCTATCAGGTAAACATTTACACCCAACATTTTCACATTTATAGCGAGTTTTGTTAGCCTCCAAATCATACTGAAAATCACACTTGGACAAATCACAGTAGAACGACTCCTTTTCTGCTATCCAGAATTGGAAGTCGCACATGGCTGCCGTCTTATTGCACGAAAATGTCACTTGGGGCTTTTTGCCCTTGAGGATAGAAATAATTTTCGGATTGGTAACATCGCACATTTGATGGAACTTATTGACAATGATTCCGGATTTATAACAAGTGCCCTTCAAACCTTTAGGTACGAAGGAATCACACGAAGAATCGTCTGTACACAAATTACAGTTAATTCCCGACCAGCCGTCTTTGCAAGAACAAGTAGAATCGTTCCTTATTGGCCTATTCTTATTCCCGTCAGATAAAGAGCCACATAATGGTTCCGAACAATCCATTCCTCCATAGCCATCCCTGCATTCACACATACCTGTGAATGGGTTGCATTGAGAAAACTGAGTGCATTCGAAATTGGGCAAATTGCAATTGAAGCAAGGCGGACATTTATCGTCTTCATCCAGACCAGAACCATATGTTTTGACATCGAAAACATCATTTAATACAGCATCTCTCTTAATCTTATCATAAGATTGCAAGCTGTCTTTCGATAGAGCAGACACTAACTGTGAAGTTGCAAGGAACGAGAGACTTAGTGAGATTTTCATGCCAAGCAAAGGAGGTTTATCTCAATGTCAAGTTTCAATGTACAATAATCGGTGTTTGAGATAGGCTTTCTAGTTTGGATGTCAGTTGCCTCTACTCCTAATTAAAATAGCGAGTCAACGATAAGACTGCTGGCTGATGTACAGGAATAACCGCCTGCATACAAATTATTGCTCAGTTACTATTACTTCACATTTGCTCTTCAAATTATATCTTTTCAATCGATAAAATTATATGATTTGTCAACATTTGATTTCCCTCTTCAATGGCTCAATATATTCATCCATTAGTTCCGACTTCACATACACCATATAATATGGCGTAGCTGTGTTAGTTGTTGTAAAGTTAAAGACCTCAGAATATGGAACCTCTGTCACCGTTTCATCATTGTACTTCCTGTAAATATTCCTATGAGGATCCTTGATGTAAATCCAATAATGGCCGTAAGAAGCTTCACCTCGATGGATGAAAATCGCAAATAGTGAATAACCTACCTGCTTGTATGAATCAAATTGAGTTGATACTTTATCTTGTAAAGAGATCAACTTGTTCTCAATGGCCTGAAGTTTCAACTCAAGAAGATGAATTTGGCTCCTAATTGAGTCAATAGTACTCTGCTTCACACAGTTCAACTCCAGTTTTAGAGTATTTGTCTCCAAATACTTCAATGTTGCCTTTAAAGCATCAAGCGCTGAAAGTTTTGTCTCTGAATCAACCATGAGAATAGAATCTTTCTCGGCATATAACTTTTTCATTTCTGATTTCCAATCAAAGACCTCTTGACGCTTCGCTATGATTTCCTCGTCATCCGTCTCGAGATATCTATCAACATAGATAGTCTCTCCAAAGGGGATAACTTCCAAAGATTTATAAGCGACCAAACGTTCTCGATCAAACAAAACACGTTGGACGTGGAACTGAAGCACTTGTGGTAGCTCTTGAATAGTTAGGGCTTTTTTAACTTCGCCTTCTTCAAGTTCAACTGAATCCTCGTTAAAGTAGTTATCTAATGCATCGTAGATATCCTTTGGATGGTCTCCAACGTTGATGATCAAACTGAAGAACCTTTCGACTGATACCCTAACATTGGCTTTTTCTTCACCCAAGGGAGTAATAGTTTGTTTGGTCTTGCCACAGAAAAGTTTCTTGATGAGGTCAAACTGTTCACCGTCAGACTCAATTTTTTCTGGTTCAAGTGCTGTTTCAATCTGATATGTGACATTTTCAATACATTCTGTGACATCTTGTTGTCTGCCCAATTCGATTGTACTTTCAATTTGGTCTGAACTAATCGCCAATATTTTTTTTCCTGTCGCAATATCCACTTGATTGTCCTCCACATGCATACTATCGACCTCAACCATATTCAAAGATGGTGCACTTTCGAGATTGGGAGAAGTGCATGTACTATCTAATACGATCAAATCTTGATTGTCTTTGTCCATGTCAGTGTCTGCTGACATTAATTCTGGAGATTCAGAATCCACTATAATTGGCTCAAATTCAGTATCAATGACACCATCATCTCCACCAGGCAAAGGTAATTCACTATTGTCTTTAAAATCAATAGGCTGGGAAAGAGGCAAAAATGCAAGATATGCCAATTCTTTGCTGGGTTGCACGCAACGCTCCTTACTCGAAATCATTTCATTGAACAACTTTTGAAGACGGTAAATAAATTGAAAAGAACGATTCAATTCGGACTCTTCCACTTTACGACCTCCGATTTTTCGAGCACTGTTTGGATCAATCTTGACGTTTGCTTCGTCAAAGTTAAGAATCATGTCCCTCAACGGCTTAATGCAAAAATAATATTGAAGCAAAGAGTTGAGATAACACGTATTCCCAATATTATCAAGACCAGTGGGCCAAAGCTCAGGTGGTTGCAAAGATGGATCAATTTTTCCTTGCTCCAAGAAACTCATCAATATATTTGATTTACGCTCTTCTGCCACCCTTTTGAGGGATGCTCTTAGGGCACGAACGTCTACCGGATCGTGCAAAGAGGACTTAGCAAGCTTCTCTTGAAAATTGGTAATTATTTCGAAATCAGTAGAGTCGGCCGTCACCTCCAAAATTCTGAGAGCGTCAGAAAACGTAATATTCATCTTCTGCTGTAAATCAGGGAACTTTTTTTCAATGTAATTCAACAAGATATAACTCTTTCTGTTTAATGCAACAGAGTATAAACTCCTTTGAAGGATTCTAATTTCAGGACTGTTTGAATTGAAGTTCACTTCTTGCATGACATCATTAAGTCTGAATTCAAACGCTGTAATAACAACTTCATCTTCGGTTACTTCTTCGATTCTCAATTCATTCAAAGCAATGCTCATGGGTATAATTTCATTCGCTAAAAAGTCCTTCAATTCAAGGCTATCACGAATCTTTGCGATCTTCTCCACTTGATTGTTGAAGTATGCATAATTTTTTGGATCTGAATTAGTGGCTGCTTTGTACATCTCAATGATCGCATCAATTTCCACATCGTCATCCGATGGTATTAATTCAATCCCGAGAATCTTGAGAGCAGCTTCATAATCAGAATATCCATACATAAGACCCTTTAGGTATTGACTGTTGTGATAGGAAGCCAATCTGCCCGTCGAGCCTGATGATCGATTTTCCATTATCTTCTTGAAGCAATCGACGTATGCCATCTTATTTCTTGGGTCTGAAACAACGGTATTTTCGTAACAGCGAATAATCAACTCGTCCTGATAGAAGACACAGCAACTTAAAGCAATAAAGAAGGAATACCTGTTTGTTTCACGGCTTCTGCTGTTCGCCAATGCAGAGTGTTTGTCTATCTCTGACAAAATTGAGTGTACTTGAGCCATGTTATCACTGAATGAATATTTTGTATCAAAATCATTTACCTTACTTGTCTTGAGGGATTTTCCAATAAATACCAATTCATAGGCTTTCCGAATGTATGCTTCCTTGAGAGACGGATTGAGCGAAAGGTTAGGAGGGATGAGACTATCTTCATCGTCTCCCAAAGTGAAAGAAAATTTTTCGAATAAGAGACGAAGGTCAATTTTCACATCCAATAGAGTCTTCGACTTGCTAATTGTGTGAATTGGTTCTGTTGCGGGAAGATTTATGGGTCCTTTCAATACTTTCAATAATGTTTGCAAACAATGGACAGGGCCAGGAATGGAATCAATGCTCAACTGGGAATCGGGACTGCTCTCTATGCCACGCAAGTATCGCTCTTTGATAAGATTTGAATCTATGCTAGAGAGTAGATCCTCTTTCGTGAACTCCAGAGTGTAGACAGACACTCTCATAATGTGGTTTACAAGACTGTTGCCACTTTTGAAAAATGCATCATCAATTAAATTTGAAGAAGCATTTGATTTGTCATTCATAATGTTTAGGTCATCCGCAGATAACATGCTCTTTTCGATCTGATGATACTCATGCTTGTCAATTGGAATACGCGACAACGGCGGCAGCTTCTCAAGAATGACGATTTTAAAATGGTTGATCTCGTCATTCAGAGAGCTGACAATCAAACCTCTAACTGTGGAGACAGTTACATTACAATCCTTCAATTCATGCTTTTCCACCAGGGGAATGTAATCAACGGCATTATTTAGAATCAACGTTTCATAGCGTTCTAATTGTAAGATATGTGGCAAGATGTCCTTGTACGCAAAGGGAGACGAATTGAGGAAAGATGTGATCGGTTTTTGCAATCTGCCTTGACTAAGCATCTTGAAAAGCGCTGGGGTGTACTTAAGATCGTCCAAAATTCTGTTAGATGTTTTAAATGGACGAAGTCTCAATTCATTCTTAGATATATTGGTTCCAATGTACTCGAATGGAGAAAGTGATTCGATATTTGCAACCAGAGTGCTCGTCAAAGAATCGGAATTGCTTCCTTGCGCAAACTTCCCATTTGTAAACGGATTATTGCTCTTGTGTTTTTGCTCTTTCAGAGGCTCTATTGGAGTAGATGCGGAGGAGACAGCCTTAGCGCCTATAATTGTGGGAATATCCTCTGCCTGATCAAGTGGCATAGCGTGACTCTTTTAGTAAGAATACCTCCTAAGCCTACTTGCCATTCTGAATTTCTCATGTACCTGCACATAAGGATACAGCCAGATTCGATCTAAGTTACCATTTAACACTGCAGTAAGGCTGAATCAAGATGTAAAGCCAGTCCTAACATTGTACATATACTTTTGTACACCTTTGCTACCTTAAGGGTATGCAAAAGCCATTCAGTCAGAGTGACAAATGACTTCGCTATCAAAGCTAGTTCCAGCTGATTGTATGGGAATCAACAGAGCACTGAAACTTTATTACAAAGCTATGAATAGGTTTTGAATTACCCATTGTATTTGAGATGATAATTGGAAGTGGATGGAACCTTTATTGCGTTGTGGAACCCTTCCAATAAAAGACCTGTGCACCACCTTCTGTACTAACTGTCTCCAGCTTTATTCGCGATGTATCTATTCACGTAGAAGTATCATGTCCCAGGCACAACCAGCGTCTATAGATTTCGAGAAGATCAGAAATGAGTCCGACGGCTCTATAAAGGGATTGCTTGGGCTGGCATTCAATGAGGTGGTGGCCAATAATCCGTATTTTGCTGCGGGTGGTGGCTTAATGCTACTTGGAACTGGTCTTGCTTTGGCTCGTCAAGGTATAGTCAAGTCCTCTGGCTTCATTTATCGCCAGCTCCTTGTTGATTTGGAGATACCTTCGAAGGACAAACTGTACCTCTGGTTTTTGGAATGGATGTCTCAGTACAAGCAAAGAAGCTCGAGACATTTGTCCGTAGAGACAAACTATGTTCAGCATGATAATGGGGCAGTCTCCACACGGTTTTCTTTAGTGCCAGGCCCAGGAAAACACTTGATAAAATACAAAAATGCATACATGTTGGTGAACAGAGAAAGATCCGGTCGGTTGTTGGACATGACCAATGGAACTCCTTTCGAAACGGTGACGCTTACAACCTTATACAGCGACAGACATTTATTTCTGGATCTTCTTGCAGAGGCAAAACAGATGGCTCTAAAGGCACAGGAGGGGAAAACCGTCTTGTATACGTCATGGGGCCCGGAGTGGCGTCCATTTGGTAACCCTAGGAGAAAGAGAATGTTAGGCTCCGTGATTTTGGACGAAGGTATTAGTGAACTCATATTGAAAGATGTTAAGGACTTTTTGCAAAGTGGCGAGTGGTACCACAAACGTGGAATTCCTTACCGCAGAGGCTACTTATTGTATGGACCACCAGGAAGCGGCAAAACGTCGTATATCCAAGCACTAGCTGGAGAGTTAGACTATAATATTTGCATCTTGAACTTGTCTGAAAACAATCTTACCGATGACCGACTTAACCATTTGATGAACCACATCCCCAAGAGATCTATATTGTTGCTAGAAGACATTGATGCTGCATTTAACAAGAGAGAACAAGCTGGCGAATACCAAAGTGGAGTGACATTTTCGGGTCTTTTAAATGCCTTGGATGGTGTTGCAAGTGCGGAAGAAAGTATTACATTCATGACTACTAACCATCCTGAAAGATTAGATCCAGCGTTGTTGAGACCAGGACGCATAGATTTCAAAGTTATGGTCAATAATGCAACAGAATCTCAAGTGCGCAGAATGTTTTTGAGATTCTATGAAACGGAGACTGAACTTTGCGAAACTTTCATTTCAAAATTCAAAGAGCTCGGCTTACTTGGAAAAGTGAGCACCGCACAGCTTCAAGGCTTGTTTGTTTTCAACAAAAAATCACCTCAAGGCGCTTTGGATATGGTAGAAACGTTGAAAAATCCACAAACCACATTTTAGAACTCCATCTTGTATATAGACTTATTCCAATGCTTTAAACTGATATTCAGCCTCTAAATTTCTTCATCAAACCTTCATGAGCTTGCTCAATTCCTCGTTCGGTCAAACCTGTTGAAGAAGCCTCAGTCATGAGCTTGTTGAGGTAATCCATGTAGATGAGGTATACAATCATGTCGGTATTATCATTTGTGAGAGAAAGCCTTGTCTTGCCTTTGAGGATTCTCCTAAAGCTGCTTTGAGGATAGCTTTTGAAGACCTTTTTCTTCGCAGGCATTGGATAACAAAAAGGTAGGAATTTGACTTCGATTGTCGCACCACACAAACAACATCACTGGGTTAATGCAGGTGCAAGTTTAAGGAAGGACGCATATGACAATAGAAGTATGGCTCATATTTAACTCATTACAAATTCATTTAAATTTTTTAAAAATATAGCATGAAGAAAATAAATCTTTGAAGACACTCGTTATTGCTCAACCCCAGGTTACGTAATAATCGTCATCATCACTATCTAGATATAACATCAGGTCCCTAACTTCCTTTTCTTACTGTGTTCATCTTCGCCGTCAGACAGTAGTAGATCACGGACCCGCCCTCCATTACTTTTGATTGACTTATCGAGTTCCAGAACAGAGGGAAGCTGATTTTTACCGACTGCTCTTTCTCTAGGAGACTGTGGCACCTGATTGGGTTCACCGCCAATATGATCTTTTGAAGTTATCTGCGAGTTTATGTTACTGTTTGCCAGTACTTGTGTTCTGGGAAACATAAGGCCCCTGTCTTCAGCGTCCTCTGAACGTGAAATAGTTTCATTTGGTAAAATAGTGGTCGTAGAATGTCTCTGTTGCACATTTTGATTCGAAGGCATCAGCTTCTCAAGAATAGGTAGTGAAACCGTCCTCTGCTGATTCGGGAGACCCGAATGAATATGTTGGTAATAAGCATGCATAGGTGCTTGATGGAAAGCAACAGGTTGATATTTTTGGACGAATTGAGGGGCCGAGGTCTCAGCAGGAGCTTTTTCCTTCAGTTTAGCAGATGTTGAACTCACCAGAGACTCTTCAGGTTTTACGGGATTTCTTCCAGATAGAGGCTGGAGAGGATCCATCAAAACAGAAACATGTCTCGATACCATTGGAATTGGTGCTTGAGGTTTTTTCAAGTCCTCTGCATTGAAATTGAATTGTCTAGAACCAGGTATTTCTGGATTCTTATTGTACAATGTGTAGTTTGGGTTGATTGGGTAGTGCTGAGGAACAACATTAAAAGGAACCTTTGAAACTCCCAGAGTATCATTTAAGTGATAACTCCCTTGCGGCTGGTTATGCCGTTGCTGTGGAATATATGTTGGAGGCCGATTGATATTATCCTGTAATTGTTGCTTAAATGCTTCCAATTCGGAATATTTGGAACCAGGCTTCACTGTCATTGGAGACATACCAGTATCAACACCAGGAGTTGTCATTTTATCAACGGGAGTTTTCGTTTTGCTTCTGTCGAAATGGTCATTGTCTTTAGGTGCGCGCGGTTCTGGTTCAGGCCCCCGCATGTTCTTTTCGAAGATTTCAGTCAATCGTAGGAGGTCAGATTGGCTACGGTGGTACAACGCTTGCAACACTTCATATCGAGAGGATAAATCCGAATACCCTTGTTTCAAGTTGTTAATGGAGTTTGTCATTTCGATTAGCTTAAGGTTCATTGACTGTTCCATATTCAATGGAGGATTCTGTAAAGAGGACAGTCGCAGTTGCGGTTGCAGCAACGACTGTTGCCACGAGGGTTGACCCATGTTAGAAGGCGAAATGCCACCATGATCAGGGAAAGGAGGTGAGTTAGGCGAATGGGGAACATTTGAGGATGGGACTCCATTCATGTACAAAGGAGGGTATGTGTGGTGAGCAATCATGGGTGGCGCATAGATCGGTACTGAGGGCGAGAGGGACTGGTGGGGTAGGCTTGGACTGCCGTGCATTTGGTCAACCAGCTGCTGGTACATTGCTTGGTGATATTGCTGTTCCGGTTTCTGGTCATCAAGGTTAGCAGAAGATGTGGGAGGGATTGTTTTCAAATTTACAATTTCTTTTTGAGAGTTGATCACTTTGGATGATTTCCGTTTGATGGAACTGAGAGACTGAATGTCACCTTTGCGAAACTGGTTTGTGGAATGGCGGAATTCCCAACGTGTAGCCTGGTTCGGAGCCAGACCACCAGCTGTATTGCTTGAAACATTGGTGGATTGCTTTTCTTCGCTCTGGAAGTTGTCGTTGACTTTGTGGAAGCCGTACATGTTTAACTGGCGAATGAAGGAGGCAATATTGGTATGCTTGAAGTACTGCGCCAAAACGTTTGAGAACTCTTCACCGGGATAGAGAAAGAAGGAGTCATTGGAAGGCGACCACCAAATAAGATGCGACAACGATGGGTCCTCCAACATGTCGTAGAGTTTGTGTATGAAAACAGTTTGTGTTTTCCCTGACGTCAGTGCGGAGGATGCACCACCAGTCGCGGCGGAAGTGGTCGCAGTTGATGCCGAAGGCCCAGAGTCGACAGTTGACACGGGGGCAGAAGCTGGCGGGTGTGGAGACTCGACCGGAGTTGCCCTGGGTGTTTGCGATGAAGAAGGATGTGAGGTTAGCAAGGGAGCGGGCGTGGAAGACAAGGCGGATCGGGCCAAGGCGCCGGGCGCTGGCAGCATAGCCTGCTTGGGGCTACGAGTGTGGCTGAGGGCAACCATCGGAACAACGGGCGCTTTGCTAGGTAGAAGAGGATGTGTAGCTGGCGTAGAGCGTGGTATGGAGAAGCGAAAAGCAGATGCAAACAAGAAAAGAGTTGACTTCCGGCAGACAGGACGGACGTTTTTTTTTTTTTTTTTTAGTGCGAACCGCTTGACATGACAAGAGTAACTACACACAGTTCCGAACGGTAGAGAGTACTAAATTACTAAAGTTGAGTTGCGGCCATTATGGCCGAGAAAAATAAGAGGTTACGGTGTATATACTGGAGACTTGACAAAGCCTGAGAACAGGAAACCAACAGTGCGGAGGCCATTCAACATTAGTAGACTCTGGCTAGTGCACTGGAAAATGTGAGACACTGGCCAAGGTGAAAAAAAAAAAAAATAGCAAGCCATTAAAAATATTAAAAATAAAAAAAAATAATAAAGTATGAGGTCGGAATAACCGATGGAGCCTCTGCGAGAGAGCGTGCGGCTGCACCAAACATCGCGCAAGAACGCCTCCGAGAAGAATGTACCTACACCATGACAGGCATATACATGGAAGCAAAGAAGCAAAGGAAGCGTAAACGGTAACGGGGAGATGATTCCACAAGTACGAGTGATTACGTAGCCAATCTCGCTTTGAGCCCGGTGTCCTGCAGGCCACGTTTACGGCGATCGTAAACGTCCGCCAGCAAGATCCTTCGTGCTGAACAAGGCGGACATGCACACCCAAGGGAGAACAATGGAGCCGCGCCGCAGAATAGGCCTGGCGCGTGCACATTTGGTGACGAGCGGACCGGCGGTGGGGAAAAAAGTGCGCCTGCCCGCATGCAGAACCAGGCTTCCGCCCCGGGTGGCCCCCCAGTGGCAGAATTGCCATATGTCATTTTTAGGCGCGGTCGCAAAAGACGCTCTGCGGTTGGCGCTCGGTCTTTCCTGTCGTGCGCTTCCATCTTCTATTCTACGCTTCCATGTTCTATTGACCATTCCATTCGTTTCTTTTTGCCCGTCGCACGTCTGTCAAGTACATTACATATGATGCAAACGTCCATCTCACAAGCGGCAGAAAAATAAAACATCCAAAATAATACATGTAGTGATGATGGCAAAAAAGAAAATTATCAAGAAAATATCAGGGCCCGCTGTATCTAGCCCCGTCTCATCTGCCGTGTGTGTTCTGTAGACATCATAGGCCGGCTAATGAGGGAGTGCGAAATTCCGTCTCGATGACCGCTTTTCTTTTTCGCATCTCCCTAGCGTGCGCACTCGTACCACTACAAATGCTCGCACGGGCGTAGCTTAAACTTCTTCTCGCTCCGTCTAGTTTGCTCTGTGGCGAAAGGTGGGTCTTCCGCCAGCGCACACTGGACTACAAGCGCAAAGTAGATGTGGGCGAAGAAAATAAGCGTGAGAACAGCGGAAAAAGGAAAAAAAAAAAAAATAGGAAAAAAAGAAACTTTTCTTGTTTGTATGTAGTGGCAACTTTCCTAGAACGTTCACTCTGCACATACATTTCTTTTATCGTCTTTTTTTTTTTTTTTTTTTTTTTTTATCCTTCTTCCCCAACGCTCACCGCCCCTTGTTTCAAATTACACATCAGCTACTTCTCATTTTCTACCACATTCATCTTCGCCTCCGTCCATATTTCCCCTACGTTTTTTATACACATCTTTTTTTTCTCACGTCCGTCCCTCCTGATCGTTATTGCCCGTTGGCTTCCATGAATTCCCAGCTAAACAATACAAACGAAAACCAGGACCAGGTGTTTCTGGAAACGGAAACGTTCCGCCCAGTGTTTTTTGATCTGTCTTCTAAGCGCAACTCTTCCGCAGCGGCCGTTGACCCATCGAAAAGAGCTCGGCTTGACGCCTCTGTCATAGCCCCCGAGGAGGCGCCCCCTGATCTGCTGGTTTCTCCATCGTCTGCCCCTGTTTCCGATTCTGCACTTGCCTCGCAGAACACAGTGGGACTGAACGCCTCCTCGTCGCTCTTGAAGCACCACCCACTGCATATTCACCGCCGCCACCTTCTTCTTCAGCATCAACTTCTCAATAGCCAACCGAGCTCACCCACCTCCGATTCAGATGCGAGCTCAAACTCCATCAAAGAAAAAACTTCTGATTCAACAACGACAGCAGGTTCCCAATTCACAACCTCTCTGAAGGGAAAGACCTATCCTGGTAGAGTACCTGGTCGCCGTTCTTCTTTAAAGAAGTCCGTGCGTTTGCTGCCCTCTGTCATGGCCCAAGCCTCCTCTGCAACAAACAGAGCGCCAAAGCTTTTTAGACGCTTCCGCTCGCGTTCATTACCTATAATCAACTACACATCTCGCTCACACTTGTTCCAGCATCATATGATTCCTGTTCGCCTAAACCAGGCAGCTGGGCCAACGAGCTTCCATCCTTCCAATACCTCTGCATTCCAACCCACAAGACCTTCATACCCCCATCAACATCATGGCCATCATGTCCACAGGCCCATAAGTTCCACCCCATCCCTTCCCCCTATTAATCTTCAATCATTGAAAGAGATTGACTTGCACGAAATCTTAAAGAATCCGCAGTTGAGACATGATATTCTTTTTGACCCGCAATTACAGTTCAGGCCCAATTTAGATGGCGAAAGAGGGCGCAGAAAGAAGACTATAATGGAAAAATACTGGGCTGAAATTGAATCTGAATGCCGCCAGTTTTTCTCGTCTCCTCTGGCTCCACCTAAAGTATCGAGATTGCCTGTGTTATTCACCACCTTGAGAGATATTTTATTGTCTCTACTCCCTGTCAAAGACAGAGATCCAGTGAATGAAATAATGGATATTGACTTGCTCGTTCAACAGTTGGCACATGGTTCGTTTGATTTTGTGGCCATGGCTAGGTGGTTAGGCGAAGTGTTCAAATCTCACTGTGCTCCAATGAGAGATCAATGGGTTAGTGATATGATATCCAAGTTTGAACAAGCCTATGTCGAAAACTCTGCTGTCAAACTAGTGCATGGATTAAGAAGCGTCTTCTCCATCTTGGAAGCCATGAAGCTAGATGTTGCTAATCACCAAATTAGGATATTAAGACCAGTCTTAATTGAAACTGCTGTGGACTTTGAAAAGGACTATTTCAATCAGTTGATAAATCATTGCAAAATCGATATCTCTGACTCTTTGAAATGGTTTTATAGAAACTTCCACAGAAAAATGAATTTGTCGAACCAGTTTTCAGATGTCAAGGGTGAAAGTGAAATGTTGAAAATCATCAGTACTTCCTCAATCATTGATTTACTCTCTTGCAGGAACATGGCGACTGAATTTCCTTCAACTATGGCTTTTGACCACACTCGTTTAGTCTTATTAAGAGCTGACGTCAGACAATTGGTATGTGTTCAATTATGTGTTGTTTTGTTTAAGCAAGTGCTTATGAATTATGCTCCAGCTTCTTCTTACAGACAAATATGCTCGAAACCTGATTATCTCACAAAAGTCCAAGAAGAAATCTTGGCGATCGTCACTGATGACAACGGAAACGTGAAATGGACGCGCAACGTTCTGGCCCTCGCTTTGCAGATTGTCAAGAAAGTGGTGACTAATCCTATAACTGGTGAGCAAGTTGTTCACAACTTACCAACCCCATTGATTACTTTTAGTAACAATTGGCTAATAAAACAAATTCAACCCAGCTCTGACATTTATGGTTTGATGGAGGAAAAGATTTTCAAGGAGTTGTTACATGAAATCGTGAATGGACCTAATTTCCACAGCCCTATCTCGTCCATATCGACTGACCCTAAAGCAAGCACGGTTCCAACCTACAGAAGATCGGACACAGAAATGTCTAGCATAGCCAATCGTATTTCCACACTTTCAAAGTTCCACTGGAGTGTATTTGGAGACTACTATACTGACTACCTCAAAGCAAACCAAGGCAACAAATGAGCCCTATCAAATATCAAGTAACTTGCTGTCTCATGAATTCTCAAACTTTCGTACGGAATTAAACTGTTATACAAACGCTCAGTTTCATTTTCGCGTGGACTTCTATAGTTTTTGCATTACATAATGAATGGAAAATGGTTAATTATTTCACAAATGAATTTCTAAACCATCGACTGAGCATGAAACGTAACAAATTCCATATATATAGTTTATTTTCATGCCTGCGATTGTTGACAGGTTTCTGCCAAACGCCACCAGATCCAAGAAATGTTGAACAAGCTCCTTTTGCCCCAATTGAACGGTTTCTTCCTTCTTTGAAGGGTCTCGATAAAAATACCTTATTTCTAATGCGATCTTATGGGTCCTCTCTCGGAAGCCAATTTCAAAATCCATTTGGCACCTATACTCGTAGGGACATTCCACTAGAGGCAGCGAGGTGTAATCATATCCATCAAGAATTCCACAAAATTTTAGATGGCTAATGAATGCTCTTCCAATATTTACAGATGGAGAGCATGAAGCTTCGACACTGATAAGTTCTCCGTCTAATTCAACAAGCCCATTGTCACCAGACCATGGTAGTTGAAAGGGTTCGGAAGAATCGGCACTGACCTCTTGACACACACTTGACTTTGAATGGATAAGTTGTACTTTCATTAATCAATACTGCAAAAAAGAAGAATATGAAAATAAATGGTTGGAAATGAATGGAAGTATGATTAATATCAGAATCTCAACTATGAAACACGGTGTAAAGAATACAAAACGCTCACTTTGTTCTTATACGCTTGTGCTGCAGTGTGTTTTCTTTGTGAGATACTCCAGTAGAAAAAGTGCCACCGTTCTGACCCTTACTAAACAAGGATTGAACAGATGAAAACGTTTGTTGCTCCGGATTCAGGCCAGCCTGTGTATCCTCTTCGTTCAACGCAACAGTTTCATCGGGCTCACTTTCCTCGTTGATTGGAACAAAATGTCGCATGTTCATTTTCTGCATCTCACCAAGCGACGATTCTAGCAGAGTATCATCGATTGCTGAAGGTTCTGCCAAGTTTCTATAGTCAAATTGTGGATATCCAGAATGTCGCAGCTCGATATTAGGTAATTGCGGGCTTTGCGGCTCTGGTTTGATAAATGTCAGAGGAGCGTTCCAGGGAAGTTCAGCCTTGGCGTTGAAGAAAGGGGTTGTTTGAGTTGTGCTAGACTTGACATGCTTCGAATCACTTTTCCACGTAAGAAGGTAACCTGCAATGGACATGTTGGTGCCAGCAATGACTCCAACAATTACCCCAATAAACACAGAAACTATGAGATAGTGAAGGAGATTGACAAATAAGAAGACGAGATGGGGCCAAGAGGAACTCAATATCTTGAGAAGAGAAACCTCCACGGGCGAAGATGAATCATAATGGACATTAGTTAGGGAAAATACCAAAGTTAATGGAAGGTAAACGGTGCCATATAGAGCTATGCGGATTATCAAAAGGCAGGGAATGAGAAGAGTATGCTTCAATATTGCCCAAAATAGTGATCCAAGCGGGAATAGAACAAAGTTGAAAGGGGCTAATATAATTGCCCATAGCATGGCCAATACTGGTTGTGTAACGGCCATATTTGCAATCAAGTTGCGCTTTTAGTTTTTACATTTTGTTTTGCCGTATGCGTGCGGATAGAAATTCATCTATCGCCCTACACTTCCAAAATAGAACAAACCTCACTAAAACTGTCACATCATATGTCCAGTTAGGAAATAATTCTAGTGAAATACTCCGTAAGACTCGATTTACATGATTCGATGGCTACGTGTCGTTTTTCATTCGCTTTTCTTGGTGGACTTGAATTGCAACCTCGTACGCAGTAGGCTGGAGTCATGATATTAAATAATTATTCTCTTTTTATTCTCTACTTGAATAGGGCATCACGATGGAAGAAGCGGTTGGAAGGGAATTGCAATCATTGGCCCGACATCGGCCGGAATATTTCCTTGTGTTCTTTATTTGCTCATACTCTCAAGTCATACTAAGTGCCGGACTAAACCCTCTAACCTGATTATAATCAACTTGTTGATCCTCAAGAACTGAACATGACGAGCAGACTTCCATCTTCGTTCGAACCTTCAGATGTCGTCGATGAAGAGTATGTTACACCATCATCGTATTCTTGTGCCAGAATTAACCTCTCAGCGAAATGAACACGCTTCAAAAAATCGCCTATAGAAGCAAGCAACAACCGCTAGTTCCACTTGGAACCCTTTTGACAACTGCCGCCGTGGTTCTTGCGGCAAAGTCTCTCAAGCAAGGAAGGAAAAAGGATACGCAACGCTATTTCAGATACAGAGTTGGCTTTCAGGCGTTCACCTTGGTGGCCTTGGTTATTGGTGGAATGTACTACCAAAAGGAATCAGCAGAACAGAAACAGACACGTGAAGATAAATTAAGAGAGAAGGCAAAATTAAGGGAACAATTGTGGATTGAAGAATTAGAGCGTAGAGATCAGCTCATCAAGGCCAGAAAGCAAAGATTGGAGGAATCTAAGAAAGAGTTGATGAAAGTGGCACAAGAAGGCTTCGAGCAGGAGAGAGAAAGAGAGTTAAAGAAAGAGGATAAATAGAGTAACTGTGCCTAACAACTTCTGGCTATAACTCAAAGGACACCCTGTTTGCTTTAAATAAACCCATATTCTTGTATATACACATCTATATCCTAATGCTGAATATCATAAATTGTCTTTGTTGATTATTGAATCAAGTGGAGCCTGCCACCGAGACACTAGGGGCGAGGTTGAACCGACCTGTTGAACTCTGTTTTTTTCGATGTGAAAGTGTCTCTATTCATGGTGTACAGAATGGGAAAAGCTGGTTTGAGCTCGTTCAAGTCTTTCAATCGAAGGTGACCATGGAGCATTGTTAATCTCTCGTTTGGAGTAGACATTACTAAAAGTGATATCAAGATAGAAGCAAAAAAAAAACCAAAGGAGAAATATTTCATTACAAAGGATAAATGCCAAAATTCGGTAATATCACGTGAGCAATAGGCAAGCCTCATCTTTCAGGCAACGAGGTATAATGTCTGTCAAGTGTTCAATTGAAAAAATACTTTTATGTAAAGGTCAATGTTGTATTCCGCCCATCAGTTGTCGCTACCGCTTATCTCGTAGGTCCTTGCGAAACTGTATAAATCCTCCATCATTTCAGTAATACCGTGATTAGCCAAGTTCTCCGATTGGGTCGCGCTGTTTGAAAAGACAGCCTGTACTAGAGATTGAATCTTGATCAAACCTTCCTTAGCTACCAAGTCGTTGAAAGTTAGAATTAGATGAGGTGAGAAGTCGTTATACCAACGATGGTTCCAAACCAATAATTTGATGCAGCTTTCCAAAATCTTTTCATTTAGCTGGTTCACCGACTTGGTTTGGTTATGGATTACCGAAAGCGAAGCTTCGCTGGCGTTGTTTCTTGATAACATCTTTGTTCTTTCCATAAGGTAGTACTTCAACATTTCACGTTGCGATTTGGAAGAGAATCTTCCCCTTAACGCATTACTAAATGCAATGGATCCCTCTTTAAAATGTTTGAGTCTAAACGCAATCAGACCCAATGCTTCCCACTCCAATGTGGTCTTTTTATACTCCATCTGCTGAGCTTGAAAATGAACGTACTCTGCTTGCCACATGGTATAGATTCGCAAGTCCTCGTATAACAACATAAATAAATTATCGAGCCATCTTTCACAGAGACGTTTTTTCTTGAATTCATTTTGTGAAGATTTGTCAGTGATTCCCTCAACTCCATCCCTTGTAGGAGATTTGATCGCCGTGGTAGAGGAGTCGTCACCTTCCGCATCTTGAGAGGCAATTTGCCCATTTTGCGAATTTTGTCTGGATCCCTTTATAGCATTGTTGACAGAATTTTTATCTTTACGATATTCTTCTTCCATCACGAAGACTTTAGCTCTGTACTTCAATAAAGACTCCCAACCGGTCTTAACGACAATATCTGTAAGCAAATCATATGCTTTTGCGAAAGTAGACTTCAAATTTGCAGCTGGTAAGTTGGCAAGCAGGGGATCGATGCTCTTTTGCTCTGCAATAATAACTGAACTTTGCAAATTAGAGACTTCGTCCAACGTGACATCGACAGGCGATGGTAAATGCAATTCATCGCTAGTACCTCTCAAAGGCACAATCCTTTTGAGCATAAACTTTTCCTTATGCGAGTTCATGGGACACGAATTCAACGTTAATAAGGCGTTCTCAAAGTCATTTAACTTTGTATAAACTTTAACCAAGGCAGCCCAAGTTTTGAAGTCAGAAGGAGATGATTGAACAGCTTGCTTGGCTAAGTGCAAGGCCAAGTCATATCTCTTTTTTTCTATCAAAAGATTGCATTCCAACAACAAAAGTTCCGAATCACGTTTGTTCTTAGAGATACCTTCACAAATTACCTGGACTGCTTGAATTTCTTCATCCTTCATGATAAGCACCTGGGCAATCAAAGTGGTAACTGAAGGTTCCTGCTCTTCTAATCTATGCAACACTTCCAAAGCCAAATCAAAGCTTTGTGTTAATTGAATGCACTTGAGAAAACCATCAACGAGATAGTTGCATACTAACGTCGCCTGAGGAATTTCTACTGAGCAGCCCAACTTTGGCCCAACCCAGAACAATTTTTCAAAGCCCAAAACAAAGTTTCTCAAAAGCTCTTGTGATGCTTTTCCATTATTGAAAAGGTTTTCCTTTCGAATTTCAACTAGTCCGCCAAAACGGTTTGCCTCATCGTCATCAGAATCAAGCATACTGCGTACCACAGAACACACAAATGTCTCGAGCCACAACTCATCTAATTCCGCTTCTGAAAGTTTCTCATGAATTAATTTGCCTTCACTATTGACCACCGAATTCTCAAACTTCCCTGGAATGTGGACAGTGACCCGCATATCAACCTTGGAGAAAGTATTGTATGTACAGTAGGTCAACTGGGGTACTTTCCAGTGCTTCTTTTCGCCAAACCAATACTGAGACTTTGCCGTAATCAACGTCGCTAAGCCTTGTAAATGAGCGGCAATTGAGGCAGAGTTTGACGTATCTACTCCAATATAATACAAGAAGGTACCAAAGTCAGTCTTTTTCGAATTCACCAGCGCCTTGTGAATGTTGCACAAGTCCGCCGGGCCTAGATCATTAAATGTGTGCAAACGGCTAGTCCTTTCAACAACCGAGGAACCCACATATTCTTCCCGAGCTCTAAGGTAGTTAGTAAAAGAATTCAATCCTCACAGTAAGTACATACATACTCAGGAATTGAGCTCAAAGATTTCTGAGGCATCGTTGTATTTTGGTTTCAAAAGTTGTAGTAGAAGTTGGCTGAGCCTGACGTCGGCGAGGTATATCTGTTATGAAAGGACCCACGTATTATGCAGGACATAACATCAAACGGTGTCTAATACTATGAGAGGATCTTCGAGCCTAAGGAAAGTAATATATTGAACTCAGTATATATAAGTCAAGTATACTATTTTTAAGCAAAGAGTCGACAGAAAGAATGGGTGTACTGAGTAGAAAGTGGTGCTCGCATATTGCGACTGGAAATCATATCCTCTTGACTGTTTCGAAAAGATGAGAAAAGGCGAGATGGCTTATAAGGCTTCAAAGGTCTGTTTCTTTGTTGAGATTGTCATTTAGAACGTGGATCCCCGGTTTGTCATACTTGATGAACAATTCGATGTCCCATAATTTGTGCAGCTCTTATTCGTTTACACAAGATGCACCAAAAACTAAAACATCTTGCATCAAGTCCAGCACGTAGATTTCATGTCTTTTCTTCGATAATATACACTTCTAATTTGCATTGTACTACCTCCTTTGTTTCTTGGTACCCTCCATATCCTCAATTTCCTCTTCCAAAGTGTCCCAATCGCGAGCAGTGAGACAGTATTTTTCCGGAGGCAAATTAAGACCCCACTTTGGAATCACTGGCGGGAGACTCTTGGAATTACGTTCGTGTGCCAACTCCAACATTAGTTCCTTTGGTGGTGTGGGCTTGAATTGGTAGTTTGTTTTCGAAGCAATGGCCAACCTTATGTCGTCTGTATTGACCGTGTTATTATTGTTTGTTCCACCAACAACATTACGCGAATGGTCATTATACGCTAGAGCATCTTTCAAGATTGATGTTGTGTATCTGTGAGCAAAATCCATGAGTTGTAATGGAACATGGTCTTGATAGTTTTGAATTCCTTGTGTAGCGAACATCAAATGAAGAAGACGAACGTCCCTAGGAACCACGGCAGATTCTGAGCCATTAGAAGCTTGCCCGCTTGATGTACCGTTGTTTGCCGACATAATGGTAGTCAAAGAAGCGTAGCAAATGACTGTTAGACGTGGGTTACCTTGTGTGGTATTGGGTTGAGAAGCGGCGTTTTAAGCGTTTAAAGGTGAGAATGCGCACGTGATCCTTTGGCGTGGGATTGTAGCTGCTGATAGAGTGACTTTTCTAATTACACCACTTAATGGGATCTGAATCCGCCGAGAATGTTGTGGAGAGGCCCAACGATTGGGTGTTAAAATCTCCAGTCGATGACTGCATGGTTCTTGAGCCGTTTGCCGTTTTCTCAGGTCCTGTTGATATGGATTCATCATCTCTTATCATTCTCAATACTCCGCTCGACGACATTGATATCCGCCATCTATGGGAGAAAACTTCACTCCACGTTTGTGCAGATGGGGCGGCGAACAGGATATATGAATATTTTTCGGACAAAGAAAGATCGGACTATATCCCTCAATTTATCACAGGTGACTGTGATTCGCTCACTACTCAGGTGAGAGAGTACTATGAACAACATGGCACTCGTGTGATTCCACAATATTCGCAATATTCCACTGATTTCATGAAATCGGTGAAATTGGTATCCATTTACCATACTAATGGGAGAAAACAATTACGAGAGGAAGTTGAGGAAGTAGATGGATTGACCCAATTGATGAAGGAATTTCCAGACCCACGACCCACCAACATATATGTAGCTGGAGGCATCGATGGTCGTTTTGACCAGACTTTTCAACTGATCAATCAGCTTTACACCATGAAGGTTGATTTTCCTAAATTGAAAGTCTTCTTCATCACAGCTCAGGACTGTATCTTTTTGGTACCGGAGGGAAGGAATTTGATCAAGTACCCTAGCCGTCTGGCTTTTAATTCTCAGGAATCTATGCCTTCGTGTGGACTCTTACCTTTTGGAGGGCGGGTGACCCTCAATACAGAAGGTTTACAATATGATGTCACCAATTGGACAAGTTTCGTTGGTGGCCCAGTGTCTTCTAATAACCGTGTTGTGGGGATCAATGGTTTCATAGTCCAGACGTCTGGTGACATTATTATGAATGTGGAAGTGACACATAAAAGACGCAAGCTACTTTAGATCCCACACAGATGCATGTTTAGACCTGGAGGTTAATATCCAGAAACCTTTTTGCTACATAGTCCGAATAGCGTAGATATAGCTATTAAACGGATTTTCTTTACTTAATGATACTCCACATACTTCTTTTCATTACCAACCAAGCTGGTGATCGATTTGAGCATCGCACGTCTTATACTCATAAAATATTCTCGGTGCTCGCTTCTAACTTCATTTCTCTCAAGAGCATGTTGAGATTTGGCCTCTTCAGAAGCATGCAAATGCTTAGCTCCAGAGCCCTTTCTACCAGCCTTGTGGCTCCTTCTGCCCTTTTAAGGTCATTTTCCCATAGTCCCTTGCCAATATCTCAAACCATGGCTAGGATGCAAACTCTTCAGTTTCCCTTGTCACAAACTTTCCACAGGGAAGTGCAAGTTCCTCTTGTTACCAATGTAGCAGAGGATGTATCCGAAGATAACACCATATACATGGACTCCGTTTTGAGAAAAAGGAGACTCAAGATGAAGAAGCACAAATTGAGAAAGAGAAGACGGAACCAGAGAGCTTTGAAGAAGAGATTGGGCAAATTATAGTTGCCTGGATTATCGACTCGTAATTGCCAAATGCATCTTCCATATCTTCACTGGTTGATGACTCTGTACATACAAGAATATACTACTAAACAATGATTGCGCATGCATCTGATGTACAATTGTATTCAATCATTCACTGCGTTCAGTTTTTCTCTTAGGATGTTTAGCTCAAGTATTATTTTTTGCTAACCGCTTTTTTCTTTGTATTGCATGCTTTTGTTTTCGTATGTATAATTTCCAGTTTTCATGAACTAGGCATGCTCACGAATTTGAACAATCGCATTACTCTTTTCATTGAATATGTCGACCATCACTTTTGTCACGGGTAACGCAAACAAACTCAAAGAGGTTCTCTACATCTTAGGGGGGAACAACGATTCAAACACTGTTGGAAAGTTCAACATTGTCAACAGATCTTTGGATGTTGAAGAAATTCAAGGCACGATTGATGAAGTGACTATTCATAAAGCAAAAAGTGCTGCACAATTGATTGGAGGGCCAGTTTTAGTCGAGGATACATGTTTGGCTTTCGATGCTTTGAATGATTTACCGGGCCCTTACGTTAAGTGGTTTTTGAAAGCTATAGGTCTTAGAGGATTGGTCGACATGCTTTACAAATTCGATGACAAAGGAGCGAAAGCCGTTTGCACCTTTGGATACTGCGAAGGTCCCGGGAAAGAAGTTAAATTGTTCCAAGGTATTACCAAGGGTACTATTGTAGAGAGCAGAGGGCCACAGGACTTTGGATGGGACTCGATTTTTGAGCCTAACGGCTTCACCGAAACCTATGCCGAAATGGAAAAGGCCACCAAGAACTCCATTTCTCACCGTTACAAAGCTTTGGAGAAAGTTAAGACGTTTTTACTTGAGCAGTAATACAAGTTCATAATATATATTTAACAAGCACGTTTAGCTAAAGAGACCCTTCACCTTCTCCATCAAGCCTTTCTTCTTGTGTCCGCGAGCTTTCTTCTCTCCGGCACTGACCACAGTATACAAGTTATTGCCTGACTCATTACTGCTACCTTTGGATGTATTGGAAATAACATTACCAAAACCTCCACGACCAACAGAAAATGATCTATTCGATGTGACGCTCTGTAACTTCTCCTCCTTAGTACCATCAACATCTTGAAGCTTTCGTGAAAGTTCAGGATCATCATTACTAACCATGTTGCCGTAACCTCCACGACCTGTTGTGAACTTGCTCGTTGTCAAAGCCGGTGTGTTTGAGCCTTGGGGTACTAATTTGGGAGACGGGATCTCGTCTGAAGTTTTGAAATTCCCGGCGCCACCTCTACCAGTAGAATAGAGAACTTTTTTGCTTTCTTGTTTTCCTTCCAGTTGTGGCACGTTATCATGTCCAACAGACTCCGCACTCACGATATTGCCTGCTCCACCTCTACCAGTAGATACCATTATGCAAAAGCGCGGGGAGATGAATCACCAATGACAAAAAGAACGGTGTGAGTAGTTGATATGAGTATGGCGGGAAAGAATAAATGCTGGAATGGGGCAGCAGGAACAGCTATCAAGGAGAAAGAGCCGGTTCCACAGTTTCCAAGTAAAATCCTTCAAGCCAAGAGGAGAACTTCACTGAAGAATATGGTCTGCATGCACCACAGGACAACTTCCCAAACATGAGTAAACGGACGGCATATAAACATGGCATTCATTAAACTTTCGAAAGAGGTTAATACCGGCACAGCGCAAAAGATAGTTAGTGCTCAGCGGAAGATAAAATGTAAATAAGTGCTCCCCATTTATCTTCGTGCTCTGACCACTCTTCGGGAATTGACTTGTTTGAAGAATATACCGAAGCCGCATGAGTAGTATCAGGGACTAGGGTGTCGGCATCCGTATTCGGGCGGCATTTCTCGTTCTTCGAAAAGGATGACTTCGAGTGGCGCTTTCTTGACTGGAATCCCTTATTTTTGGGAGAATATGTGCAATGGAGCTTTCGGTGTAGAAATCTTTTGTGTGGCTTTTCACGCGCTATGGGTAATGTAACAGGGAGATTACTTGTAGGTGCTTGGGGGGCTCTTGCAGAAGGAATAAAGGCTCTGGAAGACGAAAGATCAACTGTGATCAGAGAGGAAGATGACTTATGTTTGAGTGTTCTTACACCTTGACGTTTCACTTCCATACTTGTTAGGTCGCAAGATTCGCAAGAGGTGATGTGTAAATTAGAGAGCGAACGCTTCAAGTACTTCCAAGAAAAGATATCGATCTTAGACATTTAACACGATGATTGAGAGTTTGGCAAATGGCTTCGCCGAAATTTTACAGCTTTTAAGAAAAAGTCCTGTGGGCTTGATACATTTTTGCAGCCATGAAGAAATTACGTATATAAAAGATGCTGTTTATAGTACAGACTCCTAAGAACAAGTGCCAAAAGTTGACGCTTTGATTTCTTCCTCGCCCGTTTTGAATGCTGCAAGCGAAAAGGGACCATGCTTTAACAATCACACGTGAGTCTGTAATGTCACCAGCGTACTGCGGAACTGTGAAAAGGAAGCAACTCTGACAACCTATAATTCCATTTTGTTTAAACTTGTGACGACATGGTTTGCATTTCCGGTACATTGAGCCGGGATTTGCCTGTACGCATAGAATCTTGGCTGTTAATGGTTAGTATATTGGCTTGAATAGTGCCTGATACAAGCACAGCAACCTTCGAGATGTTCTTAATTGTGCTGCATGACAGACTGAATATGCGCGCTCCTGCCTACAAGCTCCGCGCCCCACACATGACTTTTGAAGTTGACCGGGGCGCATTGCGCCCCCTATCTGAATATGCCAAATTTGGCCTAATGACCCTTGCTGTGCAGCAAACGCGATTCACGGTGGGCCCCATCAAGGTCGAAGCGTTCCTTTCATAGAAAAGAAAAGAATAGAAAGAAAAAAACCAGCCGCGCACGTGGTTTGTTTAGGATAATATTCGAGAAAAAACCATTTGCACACGGGTTCAGAACGGCATGTCCATGGGCTAGAAAGCTCTCGAAATTTTAACATTCCGATGGCGCAAGTGTTTTCGGCCGTTATTCACATTAATGGCAGACAGCAATAATAGGGTGCGCAATCAATCGGACAATTTGCCTACTAATTACGAGAAGGTTCTAAACGCAGGACGTACAGAAGCAAGAGTTGCCAAATTTGTGCAAACCTAAGCTCATTTACCTCTATTACAGGAGACTCGTGCAGGTGACAGAACAAGGAAGTCTGGCTATAAATTACGGGGGGTAGCCGCAGCTTTTTTTTGTTGTCGGTATCACCAACTAAGAGCTATAGAAAGAATCACAATGCAATTTTCTAAGATCCTCGTTGCTGCTACTGTTGCTGCCTCCGTTCAAGCTGCTAACAACTCCAGCTCTTCTTCCAGTGGCCAAGCTGGTGCTTTGCAAGCCGGTAATGCCGTTATTGGTGCTGGTTTGGCTGTTGCTGGTGCTGCTGCCTTGTTGTTGTAAGCGGGCTTAACTTACATTTTTTCCAAACGGCCTCGTGCCGAGTATTTTTATTTTCTGAAAGCCATATTACTTCCGTGGTTAAATCTGAAGTATTATTACTAATATACAATTGTTAATTACCTGCCGTGTAGATTTTAGTTGTGAAGCCAGAACATCGCTTATGACTTCCTCGCCCTATTATCCTGTTATCATTGATGATCCTTTCTAAAAGACATCGGGCAATCTCTCGATGACATAAGAGTGCGCTCCAACGCTCATTATAGGGATACCTGGAACTTTCCTTATTCTTCTTTTCAAATCAGCATCATTCGTAGCCACAATGTAACATTTATGCTGAATCACTCTGCTCACAATACAGTCATCGGCATATGTGCCTTTGTGAGAGCAACTGATTCTCTGTATCCGTGGATCTTTTGCTAGTTTTAATGCAATGCGGTACTTTGGCCCAAGTTTTTCTAGTTCCGCCATGACGCAGTCGGTCACCAATGGGATACATTTTGCAAATAAGCAGTCCATTAAGCCACGAACCAAATCAATCTTCTTTTGAATGGAAAAATTGAAGAAGTTTGTATCTATAATCACCTGATATGGAGGTTTGATGGCCTGGTTGAATTGAAAGAACAATGCACTTGACACCTGGGGAACTGAACGAGCTAACTCTGGATCTTCCTTTTTGGGAGGCTCTGTAGCCTTCTTTATGTCCTTGGGCTTGATAGCCCTTTTCATCTGAGCAAACTTTCTCGTCTTCTTGGCTTTTCCCATCGTTGAAGAAGTGAATTCAAGTCATCGCACAAATTCTCAATTTGATGGCTCGTATACACATCCGTACACCATAACTCAAAGGCCCAGTATGAACTCTGATGCAATATACACTACTATATCTACTCTACTTCAACGCCCAATTTCATCAGAAATCTTGTTTTTCGGTCTGTCAAAGATTAGTTACATCGGGATGACCTACTGCATACGATTGAAAGGGAGTGAGAGACTTAATCTAAACGTACTCGTCATCATAGTTCGTAGATTCATCAATACATTATGACATCACATGCTATCAGCAATCATCTGTTCCTCTTCTAAGAATTCTGCCTCCAAAGATTTGTGCTTCCTAAGACTATCAGAGGATGAGAGTTGATCGTTTTCGTGATCTGAGTTACCCTGGCTTAAAGCGCCAATTTCTTGCAGTGGAATAGGGCTTTTTTCCGTATCCTTGATAATGCATGGACGTGTTTCCAGGTTTACCTGTAGCAGCTCTTCATTTTGTTCACATGCATCATTTTGAGTACTTGCGACGCTCACACTTGCGTTGGCGCTCGAAAGTGTCTCGAAAAAAATTTCGGCAGCGTAAATCAATGTCACTGAGTTCAGCGCATTTCGGGTCAAGTTATTCACATCTGCTTGGATGTCCTCAAAATCCACAAAAATACCATCTTCCATTTGTACCCACGTATCTTCGACCCGCATGTAATATTTACCTTCCGCAATCACTCCCAAAAGACTATACCTTCTCATATCGGGCACAGATTTAATCACGTTATCGAAATGGCCCAACTCATATCCTGAGGATACTTGTTGTAGTTTCTGTTCAATACCAGCTTCCTTAATGCGAAGATCTGAAAGATCTTTAATGACACTTCGCAAATCTTTTGACGACGCTTCATCATGTGGTTCAAGCACTGATGCTGTCTGATTAAGTAGGCTCTCAATGCGCTTCCCTTCAAATAGCGTCAAATTCATGGTCCGTTGTCTGGATTTTGTGATGTCTGACTTTGCTTGCTTCATTGCCTCAACATCTTTTTTCACCTCTTCCAAAGCTATGTCGCTGTAAATTTCTGGGTACACATATTCATCCATTTCGAACGGTGTTGCATAGCCTTGGTCGTCACCAACAAGCTGATAAGTTACGATCGGAGCAACACTTTTGTACTTTACCACCCCTAGTTTAGAGAAGCTCTCTTGCCAGAACAATTCATTCAAGTTATGGTAAAGTGTGGGTCGCCTAGCATCACTATAGATCTCGAGCACAGAAATATCTTTCGTCACCTCCTCTTCTAAGCTTTCAACCCAAGATCTGAGCACCGTTGCCAATCCTTCATGATATTGTATCAACTGTTCATATATGTTGAGCACCGCGTCTTCATCAGTATAATCTTCGCTTTCGTCAGAAAGTGTTTCGAAAAGTTCATCGGCACTGATGTAATACCGTTTGCTTCTGTGGAAATTTTGTACAAAGTATACTATGCGCTGCAATTCCCTTAAGAACCCGGTTGAATTATTTTCGCTGAGCACAGCTTCAACAAAAGGAGGGTATTTGACTAGTATCATAAGTAATGCCACCCAGATTTTATATCTTGATGAACTTGAAACGATAATTGGAAAAAGATGCCCTTCTTGTTTGATATTGGGACCCAATCCATTGAAAGGCATGTCCTCCAAACTGCTGTCGTCACTAGAATAAACCACTTTGTTTTCTTTGTCCGGAAGACTACCACTCTCCATCGCTTGTACGTCTTCCTCATAACGAGTTGAATATTCATCGTGGTACAGATCACCCATAGGCATGATTTCCGACGCTTCCCCAGATACGTTTTGGCTCAAAAAATCAGGCAATTCTTGTGGATTTGATATGTTTACCGTATCTTCTCTTGAAGTATCTATAGCATTTGTAGGGGGAGCAAGGTCTTTCGATTCTTCTTCTCCGAAAAGATAGGCGATTGCTCTTGTGAGATCATGGCCAGTGGCTCTTAAAGCCGTTATAGCCTGCTCATTAGAAAACCCCATTTCTTGGAGCATCTGCACCTGTGAATCTTTCTCCATTGTACCTAGCTAAATAGTGACGGTTCTGTCTACAATGTCAAGTTAAATTGATGGTGTACTGATGTATGGGCAGTGATATGATATTATTATTTTTCATTCTTGGGTATTAATTTCACATAGGATGAGTTCATAGGTAAGCAATCAGTTGCTATTGTCATTAATTTTCTCAATTTGTTTTGGGAAAAAAAATGAAAGATAGATAAAGGTTGGTTCACGAAAAAGGCAGACTGATAATCTTGTGCGACAGCTTTTTAATTTGAGGGACTAATAGTCATCATTATACAAAAGGGTTACAAAATACAAAACTCAAATACAAAAAATTTCAATTCGGTTGAAGGCTGACCATTATCAAAAAATTAAATATACAGTGGCATTTTATCTTCTGTATATGATGTTTAAAGCTTTAGGTCTGTAATTAGAGCTTATCTTCATCCCGTCGTGTGAGTGCGAAACCATACTAACTCATCTGCAACCGAAAAAATTTGAAATTATGTACCATCTTCGGTCAACGATCGCACTGAAAATTCCTATCAGAAGTCTCACAATGTCAGTGAATACCATTACGCAATCTTTGGCCTCTTTAGGTCTTAAACAGGAATCTTCTTTCGAAGGCTCTAACCCTGAATACAATGTCGTTGATGTTATGAGAAATTACATCACCAACGAATTGCATACTATTACAGGTATTGCAAAGGATATCATTTTTGTTGCATTGGACTCACCTTCTACTTTGGACAAGGGTGACCTTCTTGTTCCTCTTCCACGTTTGAGACTTCCAAAAGGGACAGATTTCAAGAGCAAAGCTTCTGAAATTGCAACTGCTTTCAAAACTGGTGGTTACTTGTCTGAGGTTAAGGCTGAAGGTCAATTTTTGCAATTCTTTTTTGACAAGAAATGTCTTTTCAACCTCGTGATCAAAGATACATTGACCAGAAAAACTGACTATGGGTACTTGCCCTTGGGTGTTGGTAAGAAGATTATCATCGAGTTCTCTTCTCCAAACATTGCCAAGCCATTCCATGCTGGCCATTTGAGATCAACCATTATTGGCGGATTCTTATCTAACTTGTATGAAAAGGCAGGTTGGGACGTCACCAGAATCAATTACTTGGGCGATTGGGGTAAGCAATTCGGATTGTTGGCTGTCGGTTTTGAAAAGTATGGAGATGAACTGAAATTGGAAACGGATCCAATCAACCACTTGTTCGAAGTTTACGTGAAAGTAAACAAAGATATCACCGATGAGGGCGATGTTGAAGGTGGTACTAATGATAAGGCTAGAGCATACTTCAAGAGAATGGAGGATGGTGACGAAGAAGCTTTGAAAATGTGGAGAAAATTCAGAGATTTGTCCATTGAAAAATATGTTGACACCTACTCACGTCTTAACATTAAATACGATGTCTACTCTGGTGAATCGCAAGTGTCTCAGGAATCGATGAAGAATGTTATCAAATTGTTCGGCGAGAAAGGTTTGGTCCATGAGGACAGAGGTGCGAAGTTGATTGACTTAACCAAATTCAACAAGAAGTTAGGCAAATGTCTCGTTGAGAAGTCTGACGGTACTTCTTTGTATTTGACTAGAGATGTTGGGGAGGCCATGAAGCGTTATGAGCAATTCCACTTTGACAAGATGATTTATGTCATTGCTTCCCAACAAGACTTGCACACTGCACAATTCTTTGAAATCTTGAAACAAATGGGTTTCGACTGGGCTAAGAACTTAGAGCACGTAAACTTCGGTATGGTTCAAGGTATGTCCACTAGAAAGGGTACGGTTGTTTTCTTGGACAACATTTTAGAAGAGACTAAGGATAAGATGCACGAGGTGATGAAGAAGAACGAAACCAAGTACGCTCAAATTGAAGACCCTGAGAAGATTGCCGACTTGATTGGTGTTTCTGCAGTGATGATTCAGGACATGCAATCCAAACGTATCAACAACTACGAGTTCAAATGGGAGAGAATGCTCTCGTTTGAAGGTGACACTGGTCCATATTTGCAGTACGCTCACTCTCGTTTAAGTTCCGTCCAAAGAAAGGCTGGTATTTCCGAAGAGAAATTGAAGGAAGCTAACTTTGACTTGTTGACCGAACCATGTGCTGTTCAAATGGTGAGAGTTTTGGCCCAGTACCCAGACATCATCAAGAAGGCATTGAAAACTAGCGAACCTTCTACTATTGTCACCTACTTGTTCAACTTGACACACCTTGTTTCGACATGTTATGACATTTTGTGGGTTGCTGGCCAAGAGGAGGAATTGGCCACAGCTAGATTGGCGTTGTATGCCGCTGCCAAGCAAGTCTTGTACAACGGTATGGTGTTGTTGGGATTGACGCCAGTTGAAAGAATGTAGAGGTTTAGAGCATGTGGAAGGACTTGTTTAAATTGATGTATAAAATAAATTTTCATAAGGTAAGTACAATAGGCGAGTTTAATGCTAGGAAGGCAACATCCATCGTGCATCTAAAAGACAGAAAGACGTATTTTCACACTGTGTCGCGACGGGTTATCAAAATGTTCACGTTGATAATATGGAGAGTACTCAGCTGTTAGTGTGCACTCCAATAAAAATCACATCAAGATAAAACCCGTTAAAGACCAAAGGTTCGAAATCTGAACAACGATGAGTCAGTTGACTAGCGACGCCTTGCAGCTGGGCCTGGCAGTGACAGAAGATGATTTACACGCGACTCTCGTTCAGTTGACTCAACTCAAAGTTCCCCAGCTAAAAGAGCTATGCAAGCTGACAGGACTAGCGCAAAAGGGCAAGAAACAAGACCTCATCGACCGTTTGGCACAATTTGTAAATGCTTGTGCAGCATCAAGAGAAAAATCGCTCCTTCTAGCTGTTCGGACAGTGGTCTTAAAGGCTTTGAATAACGATCCTATTCCCAACTTTTCAAGCTTGTCAACAGTATTACGCACTGGTATAGTAGATTACCAACTGATCACGAACCAGATTGCAACTCTTGAGCGCAACAGACCCATGGGGCATTCCAATAAGAGAGCGCATCCCTCATATGGCTCACACCAACCGACGTCCTCTAACAAGATGTCTAGTCCGTCACAGACGTCTTCATACTACCCAAAGTATCAAGGTCCGATGCTCTTATTCAGAAGTACTATATTCTATACCCTACGAAGAATGGTTCATGGATTTCCTTATGTCATGTCAGCGAGTATGGGACGAAACGTATGTAACGTTCCTGTAAATCTCAACGGAGAAGAAATAGAGGCATTGAAACAGTCCAGAACAGCCCGGATTTATTTGTTCTGTGCCCTTTCGTCAACACCAGATCCTAATTCTGCAGACATTCAATTTCCTCCTATAGAAATTTATGTTGACGGTGTTAATACCAAGCAGTATGTGAAAGGTTTGAAAGGAAAGGTAGGTACTTGCCGACCCGCAGATCTTACCGGCACCATAAAGGACATCAACAGACAGTTTACAATCAACATTGTATATTCAGATGCTGCTGAACCCTACATTGTTTACTTATACATTGTTGATGCCCGATCACCGCAGCAGATAATTGATAATGTGGTTAATGGGGACAACTTTATCCCATCGAATGTGACCAAACGCGAAATTCAAAGAGAGTATGAGCTGAACCAAGACGACGATATTGTGATGGCAACGTCTTCCATTTCATTACGATGCCCACTCACATATGCACGAATGACATATCCTGTGAAGAGTACGCAATGTGCTCATATTCAATGTTTTGACGGGCTTTCATTTCTTACAATGCAAGAAAGAATTCCATCATGGATATGTCCTGTTTGTTCTTCAAAGATAGATCAACTGCTGTTAGCTCTTTCTCAGTATATGAAGGAGATCTTGAACTCCACTTCCGAAGATGTGGATACTGTTATTTTAAACCCAGATGGTTCTTGGCAAGTTGCTGAAGGGACCGGAGACTCGAACAACTCAGACGAGAAACCTTCGGTACCAGATCCTGTTTTCACTTCATCTTCAGCAGAGAAATCTCATGCTGCCGATGATATGGTTGAAATTATTTCTCTAGACAGCGATTCTGAGGACGACCAGCCGAATGTAACCATAAATGCTACTCCACCAGAAGCTCAGAACGGTAACACCTCCATTTTGCATCGCAATGATGATCATTCGAGCAACCCAACAAGCAACGCAAGTAACTCTACAAACAATTTTGCTGGTTCATCGACTGAAACAAGCATATCGAAACAAGTTAATATCCAAGAACCCCTGTCATATTATTCTGAAGTGAATACAGCTACAACAGAGCCGATCGATAATGTTTCTTCGGATGACGAACCAATACAAAACTACAGTCGGCGAAAAAGCAATATGATTACAGAAGTGTCTGTTCCGTCTTCAACAACATCCTCTCCACAGCTACATACGACTATTGCTGCCACTGATGATCTGGGTCAAAGAGAATCACCTATTGATAGATCTCCAATATCAGTTGACTCAAACGTGATTCCTTCGAAGCGGAACTTTCCTAATATGGACATGGAGACTACTAACAATGAAGCTAATAAGTCTCATGAGCTGATGGGATACGGGAAAGCGACGAATACGAGACCTGCAAACAGCAGTTTGGTCTCCGTAATAGAATCAGGGAACACGAGGCATAACATGACTTATAATGAGGTGAATGACGACAACTCTGCAAGGCAGATACCTCCTGAGACAACACTGGGCAATCAAATACACACAGTGCTGGCATTGTCATCTCCACCATCTCTCCATCTGGTATTAGCTGGAGAGACACCTCTACCTAATGGTAATGATAACCATAATGTATCGAAAAATAATCAGACACCTCACGCGAGCATACAAGGGCCATTGATCAACAACGCGAGGCCTTTAGCAGACCCACCAGTACCAACTTTAACGGTGCCAACAAATGGGACTGGACCTTTAAAACATAAGCCAGCTGAAGTTCCGACTAGCGAGAAAGCACCATATGTACGTAATTCTCTGGCCCCTGCATTCCAAAGAACTATTGCTTCAAATATGTCTGAGGCGCCTCCTCCGTTGAATAGCCACTCCAGTGCACCAAGCTTGAATACACCAACCAGCTTAGAATGGATGAATTTTGCGAACCCTCTACCCGGTGCTAAAGGCTCTCAAGAAGGATCTATTATTGCGACAATCCAGCAAATGTTCTCGCGATCATCATCTCCAACACTGCCCTCGCCTATTGTTGGGACACATTCACTGGAAAATAGCAAAAGGCTGGCTGTGGACGGAGTCCCTCCTTGCAATACCGAGAAGCTAGGTTTATCACTGGAATATCCAGCCCAAACCTTTCGGTCATCAGCAAGTAGAGGCATAGTGAGTGCTTCTCAAAGCCTGGTGCAACAACCATATCCGGGAATTCCAACGAATCTAAACGGACAAGCAGTTAGTACCACAAATCGCACACCTGAGCAGGAACTAAACAAGAATAGTCCTGGATTTCAAAGTCTTCAAACTGGGAGAGCTGACACTTATCGGAGTATGGTACAAAATTCGTCACAACTTATCAACTCATACCGACAAATGGAGAGATCAAATATCAGTAATTGGAATACCGATGCCATCGTTAATACAAGGAGTGTCCCAGAAATAACGCAGTTTGTTACTGCGCAACAAGAACGGGCTCACTTGCAATACCCCTCGCCCTCTTCCATTACAAGTCACAATGCCTCATTTTCACACAATCTTCCGCAATCACATGTGAGGACGCATCCTTCAACTTCAACGAACGGGACTAGATACTCAAGATCCGCATTTGACACTCTACGTGAAGAGCAAGAAAAACAAAAGGTCAAAGGGCTTTTGGGCATCGAAATTGCAACTGATTTTCTCTTGTCAGGATCTCCAACACCAGAAAGAATTATAGAAAAAGAAAATGGGAATGGAACTGGACATATTTCAAATCAGCTGTCGCTTGAATCACGTTTACTATACAATCTGCCAGGACTTGATAGAAGTTCTACATCATCAACTGCAGAAGCCATTTCAACGAATTATACTCCTACATCTCCTTCTGCTCGGAAGCGATCGATCTCTGGATCCACTCATCCTCAAAAGACATGGAACAAGAGACTTAATAAACAGAAGTTCGATCCGAGTGAAATCAATGAAGCACACGTTATAGAATTGGACGATTGAGACAATGGATGTGATGATTATAGTACATTTATTCACAACGAGGCTGCATAAGAAAGAAAGTTGATTGGCAAATTTTTTTTTGACGAGTTTAGAATCTATAGTACATTGGTTGAAATTTTGAATCAGCTTGAAGCCGTTTTAATATGCTGCAACATTATCACATTGGACTTGGGCCCAAGTAATCTTCTTTTATACTTCCAATAGCATAAATCTCATTCACGTCTGTTCTAGTACCCACAATCTTCAATCTTACACGAGATCCTTTCTCGATCGTCTCATCGGGACTAACGTATGCTGGAGGATTGGCTGATGGGTTAAATTTCATGTCGGACGATATCAAGTGAGTACTGACAAAAACCGACAAAGGTCCAACGTCTGCGAAAAAGCCCATCTTATTCACAGTGGTAACAACAGCATCGACAACCTCTCCCTTGAAAGGCTTCCATACCACCGCTCTATACTTGACTTCAAACTCAGCCATTCCACTTCCAGGTATAATTCTGCCACGGCCAACGTCAATATTCATACAGTCCAAAACACACACAATGTAACCAAACTGACCAGTACATGTACCTTTCAACATCACTGAGTAACTTGTCTCGCAAGTACTGATCCATTTGCGGACCAAAATATGAAGGATGGAGTGTTAAATTCAATGATAAGTCTTTTAAGAAGAACATGATATGGGCGTGCTAATGCGAATAAGAAGGAAAGGGAACAACGAAGGCCAGAACCACAATGCAAAAAGGGAAACAATAAGGGACGATCAAAAATCTTTGTGATCAACACAGAGTAGGGTCGCCAGCACTTGAGCAAGATGGGTTAAATGTACACAACTATGGTTAACTTCTCAACACCAGACAAAACAGTTGAGGTTTTTGGAGGAAAAATAAAAAAAGTTCTCGGCCTGCACACAAAACAAAGCTACTCCAAATTTTCACCTTTCCCAAACCTCACTACCCGTACTTAACCTTGAAGAAAACATTCAGGGCCCATGTCGCAAAGAATCGGTAACGCTACTGTCGCTTTAACGCGAGTATGGCACCATGTTGATGTTGCCGCTGATAACAGAACCTTGGGTCGTTTGGCCGCTAGCATAGCTCTCACATTACAAGGAAAACACAAACCAACTTTCTCTCCTAACAGAGATCATGGCGATTATGTTGTCGTGACCAACTGTGCACATTTGAAAGTGACTGGTAACAAGATGCAAGACAAAACATATTGGTCTCACACAACCCGACCAGGTTCATTGAAGTTGATTCCAATGGAGAGAATGATCGCCAACAAGGGCTACGGAGAGATTTTGAAAAGAGCAGTCAAGGGAATGATCCCAAAAAATAAACTTAGACTTGCAAGACTTGATAGGTTGAAAGTATTTGACGGCGATGAGCATCCATACAAAGAGAACTTGATTGCCTTTGCGGATGAAACTAAAGAAATGAAAGCGAAGATGGCAGAGTTGGAGAGAAAGGAGGCCCACATGGCTCAACTCCGTGAGAAGTACTTGCAACAATAAATTACGTGTACATAGAAATATCACATATCATCATGAGAATGGGAAAAATTGTACGACTTTAGTCTTTATTACACTTATTAATACCTAAATTTTGTATATCTTCTCTTTTTTTTTTTTTTTGTTTCTCGTCAATGCAAACAGTCCCGTTTGTTCAGACACGGACACTAATTCCTGATCTTTCCGTGTATAATCTTGGCGAAATGTTCATTGCCATCAATTCTTGGAATAACAATTTGGCAGCATAAGGAATGTGAATCTGGTAGATATTAGTCTTGTTCTTGCACGATCTACACTCGAACTGGTTCTTCTTCAAGTTAGCAATCACAGACATCAAACCACAGATTCCGCAAACATGAACTCTAAAGGCATCTGATGCTTCCATCAATCTTTCCTTCAAGAAACCGGCCGCACCGTGAGCAATCATACAATCTCTTTCCATCTCACCGAAACGTAAACCACCATCTCTAGATCTACCTTCAACAGGTTGTCTTGTCAACACCTGAACAGGACCTCTAGCTCTGGCATGAATCTTATCATCCACCATATGTCTCAATCTTTGGTAGTAAGTTGGACCGAAAAACACTTGGGCCATCAACTTCTTACCCGTGTGACCATTGTACATAACCTCAAACCCTCTAGACTGATATCCGTGTTCTCTTAACAACTTCGACACAGCCTCAGCCGTAACATCAGTAAATGGCGATGCATCACCTTCCAATCCCGACAAGGAGGAGACTTTAGATAATAAACACTCAATTAAGTGTGCAACTGTCATACGAGATGGAATGGCATGAGGATTGATGATCAAATCAGGGACAATACCTTGGGCACTGAAAGGCATGTCTTCGTGTCTATAAGTAACACCAATAGTACCCTTCTGACCGTGTCTGGAGGCAAACTTATCACCAATTTGGGGGATTTTCGTCGTTCTCATTCTCACCTTAACGAATTTTGCACCATCACCATTAGTGGTCAACAAGACCTGATCAACAATACCCGACTCTGTACTTCTCAAAGGAGTAGATGCATCTCTCTTAGTGTGGTATTGAGTTCTCTGACCTAATTCCTCAGTGTCAGGCGGAATTGGTGTAGTTTTACCAATGATGATATCCTCTCCACTCACACGGACTCCGGGCGCAATCAAGCCATCGTCATCCAACTTCTCATAAGTACCATGTTTCAACCTTAATGTGTCAGACCTGGAAGGCTTTTCGAAAGTTTCTAATGCCTTCATACCTTGCCTCTTTTCCAAGTCCATGTACGATCTAAAGAACAAAGATCTGAACAAACCTCTGTCAATAGAAGATTGATTCATAATCATGGAATCTTCTTGATTGTAACCGGAGTAACATGCAATAGCAACAATAGCATTCTGACCGGCTGGTAATTCACGGAATTTCAAATATTCCATGGATCTAGTGGTTGCCAATGGTTTTTGAGGGTAGTACAAAATGTTGGCCATCGTGTCCATTCTGACAGAGTAGTTCGTCAAAAAGACACCCATAGCTTGCTTACCCATAGCAGACTGGTATGTGTTACGTGGAGATTGATTGTGGTCTGGGAATGGAATAATAGATGCAGCAACACCCAAAATCATCGATGGGTGAATCTCACAGTGAGTGAAAGTGTGAGTTGATGAAGTATAAGTAGGTTTGATTCTCTTGGCAGGGTCAAGCTCTTGCTCCTCCAATTGTAAGCTCTTCTGTTGAGTTTCAGATAAAGAACTTTTTGAGGCTTCCAAATCATCTGGGGTCATAGCAATCATAATCGTTTCTTCCTCCTCTGCATCAACATACTCCACAACACCGTCATTAACTAAAGAAGACCAAGTGTAAGCATTCGCCTGAGATTCTTCATCATATTCATCATATTCAGAGTTAATCAACTTGTGAATGTGCTCTTTCTGTAACACTAAATCGCCCTTTGTCTCGGATTCTGGGTCATCATCAACGATAAATAATGGACGATAAACACGACCAGCGTCAGTAAAGATTTTGAATTCTCTTTCTCTGATGTCTCTGATAATCGATACTTCAGGTGAAATATCTCCTTTTCTTCTCAATCTTCTCATGGTATCAACTAGTTGTGCGGGTTCTCTATGAGTACCAACCCAAACACCATTAACAAACACCCTTGTACAGTCAGGAGAGTTAGATGGAACATAATCTTCCAAAGGTTCCATTCCCCATTCTTCCAAGAAGTATAAAATCGGTTCAGAGGCGGTACCAACAGAAATGCAGGACATCAATGACAAGTTCTTCACAAGACCACACGCTTGACCCTCGGGCGTTTCAGCAGGACAGACAAGGCCCCAATGAGTGTTATGTAACTGTCTAGGTTTGGCAATTTTACCATCACGCCCGATCGGAGTGTTAGTTCTTCTCAAGTGCGACAAGGTAGAGGAATAGGTATAACGATTTAAAACTTGAGAGACACCGGCACGAGCACTCATGGCCTTCTTTTGTTCACCCCAGTTACCAGTAGCCAAGGAGTAACGCAAGCCGTCAGTAATAGTCTGCGACTTGACAGCCAACGTAAGGTTAAATTCCTTGTCATTTTCAACACATCTTTGCATGTAGTTATAAATATCTCTTGTCAACTTCTTAAATAAGAGACGGAACAAACTTGCCAACAATGGGCCGGCCAAGTCTAATCTTTTCTTACCAAAATGATCTCTGTCATCTGGTTCTTTTCTCTCCAACGCACATAACAATAATCTGTTGACCATGTAACCCAAGAAAAATGCTTTTCTAGACTCGAAACCCGCCTCTTGTGTGATATTTGGCAATAATTTCCTTCTGCAAGATATCCTTTGCGTATTGTATACGTTTTTCTCTCCTTATACCCAAAACACCTCTTCTACCGATGAAGTCGAGAGCAACTTCACGCTCTTGAATGACAAAACCTTCCTCAACACATGGCTTTAACATTTCCAACATTTGCCAATCATTGGCATCGTAACATATGTGCTCCAAAATATCGCCATCAGGAACAACACCAAGAGCTCTGAATACGATAACAATAGGAATATCTTCCTTAATGTATGGTAAAGTGGCCTTAATTGTTCTTCCTGACACACCCTTATCGTCTCTACCATACAATTTAATTTGCATGGAGGAAATCAAACGCGAACCCTTCTCGAGGGCAGATCTGATTTCTGCAACATGGGAAATTGGCGAAGGAGCAGCTTTTTTGAAGACTTGAACAATGTTGGCAGCACTACGTTCTTGGGCAATCAAAACTTTTTCAGAACCATTGATGACAAAATAGCCACCCATATCATATGGGCATTCTTTCAACTCGTAAAATTCATGTTCACCCAAGTCTCGCAACATACAAAATTTCGATCTTAACATAATTGGAACTTTACCCAAAAACACTTTAGACTGCGCATCTTCATTATCAACTTTCTCCTCGATCCATTCAAGCTCATTGCCTTTCCGGATTCTGTCATCCGAGGTAAACTTCTTCTTAGTCATGTCCACATACAAAGGAGAAGAGTAAGTCAAGTTACGCAAACGAGCCTCTTGTGGGAACATGGGATGGGTAGTACCATCGCCTTCCGTTTGCGTCGGCTTAGAAATATAAATCTTGCCAAAGGTAATCTCAAACCGCTTGTTCTCATATTGGTCCTCCGATGTGTGCTGTGCGGGCTGGTCCAAAATTAAATGAGAGTCTTCCCAAACAAGCTCTTGAATAGTGGACTCGATGAACTCGTCGAAAGAGTCCAACTGTTGTGACACCAAACCTTTCTCCTGGAAAAACGAAGAGATGACGGTCCAGCAGTCCTCTGGTGTGATGCTGTTGCTGTCATCTTCATCGTAAAAGTACGGGTCATCAACTGGCTGGTCTTGCGACATTAGATGGGGGCAGAACAATCAGTTGCGGATGGTGTTTTCAATGGCGATCTTTGAGTTTGGAAAAAAGGTGCGCGAGCGAGGTGGATTTTGTGGTTTTCACACGACTGTGCGAACGTGACAAAATTTTTCTCAACTAAGGCTAAAGCGACTCTCACAAAACACTGCAAACGGTGAATTTTCGAAATCAAAGGACACATGATGGAGAAACTTGCAGGGAGCTTACAAAGGCTCGCCATCTCATCCAGAAGTCTCCATTACAAAGCCAACCACAAGAAATACCCCAAGGTCAATATTAAAGATGTTGTGATGGAGAAGCCTAGATACGGTTTCAGGAAAGAGAGACCACCTTTGCTTTCGCAGAGTGTCACGGATACGTTATTCCCAGCATCAGAAATCAAAAAGAAGTATGTTGAGCAAGGCAAACCTGTGCCGATCAAATTCAATGCCAAAAGTGACGAAATCTCGAAGAGAAACTACGAAAAGTACAAAGAGGAAGTGGCTCTCGGGTTGCCTCACTTTAGAGTTGGCGAGAAAAAAGTTTATTTCCCAAAGGCTAGAGTCTGCTTGTTGAGACCAAACGCAAAGCATACACCATACCAAGCAAAGTTCTTAGTTCCTAGGAATTTTAACAAAATGGACTTGAGAGACTATTTATGGCATGTGTATGGATTGAGAGCATTGAATGTCACCGTTCAATTATTGCACGCCAAGTTCACCCGTGGTATGGACGACCATGCCCGTTACAGAGCGCCTCAATACAAGAAAATGACCATAGATATGGAGGAGCCATTTATTTGGCCAGAATTGCCGGAGTCTGTGGTGGAAAGTGCTCGTAAGTTCAGAGAGGATCAAACAGAAGCAATGGCAATGTTGACTGCCCAGGGCTCCAACAAACACAAGCCTAGCGAGGCATTTGACGGTTTATATAAGAAACCTGAATTGCCTAACATTTTTGTTTCAACCAACACCAAAAAAGCATTGGGCGAAAAGGTGAAAGAACTCGAAGCCCAAAGAGAAGCCAAGGGCGATCGTGCCATGGTTGCTGACTTCTTAAACTTGTAAAAGGGACATTTCATGTACATAAATAAAATTCAAATTGGCTATAACAAAGGTAAATAGTGTGTAAGAAAGACCACCTCTCCAATAATCCAAAAACAAATGGAGACGGAAACATCATGCGCCAATGAATTAACCAGCATCCTTGACAAATAGAAAGAGAAAGAAAAATAATAGAAGTGTTATCCGCAGCTACCAGAGCCAGCGACGGGGAGTAGGATTTCCCTTGGTGTTTCTGTGATTCAATTCGTTGATTCCATCGTCGATTGCCGATATTGGTGGATCTACTACGTCGTAGTCGTCAAGATCAGCAGCGGGACCAGAAACGTTCTCTGTTGTCGAGTTGATATTTGTAGTTCCCAGATGAGAAAGAAAAGACCAAGGATAAGAAGCCATTGTGTGCATCAAGGAAATGACAGTGGGGTCTGAAGGATTGTCAGTCGAAGACTTGGCTGAACCCAAACCGGTTCCAGAAAATGGAGCAGAAATAAGATTGAAAGCACCACCCAAAACATTGTCGAAGCCGATACGCTCAAATTTACTCAAGTGTTCATCCATAAACGGTTTCACAAAGCGAAAAAATATTAAGCCACATCCCAGGGAAGAAAAATCGATCCATCTGTTTTGTATATCTGCCTTCAGAACAACCCCTGATCCCCCGAGGCGCGCCGCAGATAGTACGATGGGGCTAATTAACCATATGCTAAAGGCCAATCTTAGCATCGAATACAAAGGCACATATTTTAAACAGAGGCAAGCTTCGGCAGCACCAAAACATCCATTCACCATCCAGTAAATTAGCCACATTTGAAGACGCATAAGATGGGACGTTAATTCATCTTCCTCCTTTGAGTCCTCTTTGCTGTTGGCTCTCCGTAATAATGTTCCAAAAGAAACAGAAACGCCACCAACATTAACAGTGGTGGCAGATAAACTGGATGAAAGTTTTGAGTAGTTGTCGAATGCTTTGTACGAAGCAAATGTTGGGTAGAGTACCGAAACACCCCAGCTGCAAGTTAGTGTCATGCTTTGCATCCACAAAGAGTGGCGGGATAACAAATTGAAAATTGAAACACATTTTGTCAAGTAGCTAACATTGTATACCAACTTCTGACCCAGTTTATTTCCAGAAATCAAATACATACTTCAAAACGGTGAAAACTCCAAACATGCTGTAGAAAAGTGATAGAGGTGCCTCACAAATAAGGTGCGATAAGGAACGATTGCAAGTAGTGTTTCTACCATTTATATCAAAGGGCTAAACAAGAAATGAAATCCCTAAAAAATACATTGTTTTCCTTTCACTCGGCGAGTGTTCATCAAACTTATTTAGATACCTGGTTCTTATTGAATGCCCCAGCCGCCAATAGAGATCTATTGCCGAATGTGTCTAATGAGCCAAACAAGGAAGGACTGCGGCATTCCGTCGTGACGCATGTTTTGCATCTGCCACGCAACAGGTTTTTCAATCGTCTATACTCTGAGGACATTATACTCGGTGAAACAATGCGTTAAACATTTGGACAATGCCTTCGTGTTGATGATACTCTTTTTAACATCCAATCATCGGATTCAATCCCGACTTTCGGATTTACAGGAAGGACAGTGCAGGACTTGAGATAATTGTGCGTATGGTAGCTGTGGATTATTAATACTTATAACCTTTCTCATCTTTAACCAATTCATCCACTTACCAAAGATGCCTCACCATTACCAATACAATGTTACTATGTCATGCTCTGGCTGTTCCAAAGCTGTTGAGAAAGCGTTATCCAGATTGGAGGGCGTCAACAAAACTGATGTCGACTTGAAAGCTCAAACTGTGGACGTCGTCACCGATGATAGCTTGAATTATGAAACAGTCCTTAATACGATCTCCAAAACAGGCAAAAAAGTTAATGACGGAAAAACTATCAACTAGAATAGTCCAAACAATCTAGCTATTCCTGATTTCAATTATATCGCCAATGCAGTTCTCTCTCAAATCACTGGGAACGAATACACTTTTTATGACATGAATCAATTCCTCAGTAGTAAAATCATACAATTCTCCTTGATAGAAATAGTCCATGATCTCCTTCAAGTGATTGTTCAATAAAATTATGGCTTGTTTCAGCTTATTGTAGGACGCAAGTTCGGTGAAATCCTGCTTGGTCCGTTGAAGCACTTCTTCTGCAATGCTTTGCAAGCCCTGCAAGACATTAGTGTACTTCTCTGACTGTGCCTCACTGATCTCTTTGTTTGACAAAATATTCTCGAGAATTAAGTTGTTTGTAAAATTGATCAACTCAGTAATGAAGATTTTAAACATCTCAGAATTTGTGCTTTCGAGGTCCTGCAAAAATAAATCATTAATTATTTTTCGGTATTGGTCAAGCTTAGATTTTACTTCGAACAGATCATGCTCATCATCGAGATCTTCGTTTCCGTAATCTATGGTACCCAACACATGTGTTACGTCATCGAAAACATTTTGACGAGTGTGATTCCATTCTTGGTCAGCAAAGTCACTCAAGTAAGTGCTTGAAGTCTTAATTCTTTTCAAATCATTGAAAAGCAAAAACAGGCATGTAAGCTTAGGATACGAAAGTAAAGCCAATGATGCAATTGCATCTAAAATATCTTGAGGATCCCCATTATTGGACTCTTTCATAAATTTAGCGATGACAACACTCAATTTAAACGGAATAGAAGTATACTTGATGGTCGGAGAAGAAAGATTTGTTTCAGGTCCCAGTGTCGTAGTTTTAGACGTGAATGACTTTTTTTCAGTCTTATTCGCTCTTTCGTCCGTCTCGTCGTCCCATCCGTCGTCCCAATCATCCCAAGCATCTTCTTCATCGTCGCCATCTGTATTATTTCCGTTCTTTTCGGATTTTTCGACTTCACTGCTTCTTTCACCAGATCCCCAATCGTCATGATTGCTTTCAGTTTCACTTTCTGAATCGGATCCCCAATCATCCCACTGCTCCTCTCCTTTGGATGACTCTTCCCTTTTAGTTTCGTAAGATGCATCCTTTAAATTTTTGAAATGCGATTCAAAATCATCAGCGTTGAAAACCTCGCGAGCTTCATTGATATATTTGTCTACCACCCAAGAGTTATAAATATTCTGAAGACCTTGATCAATCTTATCAAGAGAACTGAATGTGTTTCTAATGGGCACAGACCACCCAGAGCTGGCAAGAAGCTGTAATGTTTCCACAAGTTCTTCCCTTAATTGCTCTTTGTTATTCATGAACAATCTTATGTTCTCGGATACAGCTTGTACCATATCATTGGAAATTTTTGTGGAGTAATAGTTCTTGAAAGCCCGATTATCTAAAAGGTTGACAAACAGGATAAAATGTCTCAAGGATTTGAAATACAAGTTGGTGAGAGACCTTCTTAAACTGCCAGGTTTTGTAAGTTCTAATGTTACTGCTGAGCCTTCTTCGATAACCAGAATGAAACCCTGTCTTTTGATTAGCATATCGAGAATTTTTTTATCCCACACCAGCCTTAAGTTCTTCAATAGGTCGCTGATGTCGCTTCTAGAGAAATGATTCTCAACTTCTGCAAAGAATGATTGAAATTCCTTCAACGACATTGAGATTTCATTTACATGGACTTTGAAAACAATAGTATGATGCAAATCATCATGGGGACTTGGGAAGAATCGCGAGAACATTTCTACCAATTTCTCCATCAAGCGGTCCACTAGCTCATTGTAACATGTTTTAAGAGCGAAATTGATAGACAAGTTTTCTCCCCCAATTTCATCAATCTTGCCATTGAGTTTCTTCAAATTCTCATAAACTGCTAGGAGCTCATTCTTATCGCAAGTATATTGAGATCCTTCTCCAACAGGATCAAATAGGGAGTTGATTTCTTGGATTAAGGCCCTTATGAGCCAGAGGGAATTAAGATACTTGCTGGCAGTTTCGGCTTCTTCTAGTTTAGCGTTTAATTGGTAAAGCGTTAGATTCTGTAAGTCTGTCGAGTGGGCAACATTTTGATGGAAGTTGCTATCATTATAAACCTCTGTAGCGTCCACTGTTTCGCACATGGAGTGGAAGCTCTGAATCGACTCTCTCAACGCCACATCATTCAAAGCCAACTTCTCTGCTATCGACATGTTATGATTTTAGTCGCTTGGAAATTTTACTTTTGTAGATCAACTTGGCCGCGCAATTAAACAGTACACACCTCATATAGTTTATGTTAGAGTCTATGCATTCTTCGTAAAACATACTTATATATATACATATATATTAGATTAGTTCTTCACTAATATCGTCATCCGCATACTCATCATCTTTATTCATGCGGTATACTGTCATTGCCATACTTGCGAAATTTAAAGTAGACATTACCCAATCAGGTACAGGGAACAGATAGAGTTCAATTATGTTAAAAGCCAAGTCCAAAAAATCACCAAAAAGCTCAATTTTCAACATCATTTTATCAAATCTCAAGTCCTTGAGTATTTTCTCATGTTTCTTAATGTAGTCACCCTCGTTGCCTCTCTTCACATCTAATAGAAGGCTGTTTGTATTATTCTTCAAAACAGCTAACTCATCCAAAACCTTTCTTTCCTTGCGTATGGCATTGAGAAGCTGCGAAGCTGTCTTTCTTATTAAAAAAACAAGAATAAAAATCCATAGTTTGTTAGTATGCTTCAAGAGGTTTACTAACGTTTTAGGAAACATTGGCAACTTGGAAAAAAGATGAAGATTGTCTAGCAAGTTAGCAATGGCTTCCAAAGTAGGTATTAAAATATTCTCAATGGACTTGAGCGTAAGCCGCTTTTTCTGTTTCTGGATTCTGTCCCTCTTGGCGGGAGCTGATTTTGGAAGAACAAACTTATGGAAAATCGGCGGATATGAGGGTTTTGGAAAAGCGGGACTTTCTAGGTTAGAAGAGCTTCTCTGGTCCAACTTGCTGCTTTCCTGTCGAAGCTTGATTAGTGTTTCGTATTTGTCCTTCGTCACTGTCGAATTTCCTCTCTGATACTCTTGCTCAATTATATGAAGAAGGTTATTGATCACTATAGTCTTATCAGAGATTGGAGACACGTTATACGTTAGTTCCGGCAGCGTACCACTAAGAAGAGAGGTAGTTGACATGACAATAAATGCGATGAATGAATGTCTCTGCACAAGGAGCCTAGTGTATTCCTTGTTTCCTTCTCCACCTGAGAAACCGCGGTACAACTATGCGACAAAATTGATAAAGGCACCACCATGTATTTTCCCCACAAAATACAACGCTTACATTTCAGCGCGAAAAATGAGTCTACATAACAAATGCAGTAGTTTCCAAAACTTGGCTTCTTTTTTGGCGTGGTTGATTTCTTCAATAGTCGCTGATGAAATGGTTTTGTCCGAGCATTTGGTAATGTTAAGCTCTTTATCGAACTCCAACTGGTAAGGGCCGAACATCAAAGTTTGTGCACTCTCACCTAAACGTAGAGACATTGGGATGAACTTTTCTAGGTGCATGTTCAACTCCCGAAGCCATTGAGCAAAAACTTGTTGTGGCTCTTGTTGATCTTTTGGCCTGTTTCCTGCTTCTTGTAAAAGTCCTTCAAGTTTTTTAAGTTTTTCTGTAAGAGTATCGATTACTTGCGTCTGCGATGAGTGCTCTATTCTGGTCTTCTCAACATTATGTTCTAATTGGGACAAAACCAAGGCCTCCTGATCCAACGCATTAGTCGCTATATTGATTGCCTCGTTTAATCCAATATCCTCGGTATCAATGATCTTCTTGAGGTTAAAGAGTGCTTTATGATTTTCATTTTCAGGCTCGTTTAATAAGTTATCCAATTCTTTTTGCATATTTGAGATATCTTCTAATGTACTAGTAACATCTCCATAACGTGCTTCAAATGACCTGTTCAAAGAAATGACCTCCTCGGCTACCGCCTCACTAGACTTAATTAATGAATACATTTCCGTCTTTATGTCCTTAAGTGATTGTTTTTGCCTGCGGTTTTGTTCCACTAGTGCATCCACTTCTGCTTGTGTTATGTTTTGTTCCCGTTCAATAAGCATGAGCCGAAGGAATTTGTCCCTAGTCTCCTGCTCTAAGTACTGGAATTTTAGCTTACTTGAGAATTCCTTCAAGTGTCCCAATTCATCTTTAATACTGGTGGGTTCAGGGAGCTCGGTGATTATATTCTGGGCAGTCGATAGATATACTGATGGCGCAGAGTTGAGTGAAATGTCATGGGACACTTCTGTCAATTTAGATTCAAAGTCCATCTGTGGTGTATGATAAACCAAAAGATATGTTTACAATTCGAGCGGCAATGTGCACGCACCATTGTAATGTTTCTCATTAACCTTCAGACGATTTCATTACAACTCTATATGGGCTTCATTTATAATGTTACCATTCTTATCTTTCTCCGTAATAGTCCTAATAAAGTGTTTGTTTATTATTCCAATTAATTAATACTTAAGTTCCCACGTTCTTGAGTTGATCGAGTTGGGCAGTAAGAAGATCAGGCACTTCAACAGCTTCGTGTTCTTCAACAGCCTTTGTACTCTTAATCTTCTCCTTTTCTTCTTGTGCCTTCTTCTCGCTTGGAGTCATGATGAAGTCATTGAAGTTAATCTTAGATGAGACCTTAGGGACATCATCATCTGTGGCCGTTTCATTCCATTCGGCCAATTCCTTCTCGTGTTCTCTTTCAATAGCGAACTTAACTGCTTCCAAAACGTTGTCACAAGTGTACTTTGGCTTGTACTTAGGAACAGTTCCATCCTTGTAAACACCAGTCTTCACAAGGATAGAAAACCACGAATCGTCGTGAGAGTTAGCGAATCTAATGTCAGATTCTGGAGTGTCACCAACAAAATATACTGTAGAAGCTGGTGGCATTTGTAACGTAATCTTGTCCTGCAAAGATAACTCACCAAGTTTTCCAATGGTCTGATCTTCTTCGTCTTCATCATCTGAGTCATCGTAATTGCCTGAATCTAATTTTTCTTGATTAATAAACTCCTCGCCTTCTTCATTCACCAAAATGTCTGCTTCTCCGGCATTTGGATCGTTAACAGACAACTTCTTTAAGTGCTCGTCCAACATGCCTTTTCTCCATTTACTTAAGACTTTGTTGGCAAACTTGAAGGTACCAGCCTGAGGTTTACCAAATCTGTGAACTTTCAATTCACGCCCCGTGTGCTCCTTGTACAAGGCAGCAATCGACACTTGCAAAGCGCCCATACCATATCTGTTCAACTTGTAGTTGGTTGCCCAAATGAAGTCAGAGTGTGCAAAGTAAATTTCCGGACCTTCATCGAAAGTCTTGGATTCAGTACCCATCACACCATTTTTGGATAAGAGCAATTCCAAAATTATCTGTTGATCGGCAGCCCAATTTCTTGAATCGGCAAACACCAAAATTGCATCGATTGGGGTCTTTCCGAAGTCAATGCCAGTCTTACAACAGGCAAGCTCTTCCTCGGTCAAGTCGTGGTAAGGAGACACAGCAGGATTCCACTTCAAAATGTCCAAAGGAGTGAAAACATTCTTGAAACCATAAGACTCGGCAACATTTCTGCAAACATTTCCAACACCACCAACAACCAATACATTTTTGTAAAGAGGAACCAAATCTCTCATGGGGGTGTGTCCTTGAATAATTTGATCAACACGGATTTCCGTTTGCAATCTCTTAGACAAATCTTCAGCTCTGACCAGCTCAGGTTTACCACCACCGTTTGTAACATAAATGGATGGAACTTTGATGTTGTATTTGTTCTCGCCATTCAACATCTTGATTGCCTCAACAGCTTGAGGAATGGTGTCTGGACCTCTCAAGATCACACCATCGATATCGAAACAGAAAGCGTAAGAAGCAACTCTTGGGTGATCAATAACAGTTTTCTTCTTTCTTTTGATGATAGATGAGTTTCTGGACAATTTGGCCAATGAGTCGACCTTCTTCAAGTTGGCATGGCTGCCCTGTTTACTCAAAGATGTCGAGGAAGACAATTTTGTCAAGCCATTTTGCCACTGATTCAAGTCGGACAATGACAACGAAGACACTCTATGTTTTCTAGTGGCAGGCGTTAAATCGTCGATTCCGTCATTATTGAGAAACGATTGATGAACTGGCTCGGAAACAGCAGAAACCTTGGATGGAGTAGTCATGGTTGTGTGCTAATGAATTCTGTCGTTATTATCTTGTTCCAAGAGAAAAGATTGTAAAATTGACAGTAAAGTAATTCGCAAATTGATAAAGTAGAAGAGTGCCTGGGAAATCAGCCACGGGCGAAATATATAAATACGTGAGCCCTGAGAACTCGGAGACTGCATGTTCGGCATAATCTGGACCGGCCTGCATGAATTCTGCAATAGCAATCGATGGGCCACATGGAACATCCGCCATACCACAGACGAAATTACTGACACCAATCGGTAATACGGAATAGGACGTTTGATAATGCAAATGGAAAATTCAAGGGTGAAGGAGACTATTGTCAGAGGTCTCATCGGCTCACCGGGTTCATGTAGTGTAACTCCATTCCCCCAGAAAAGATGCAGGAACCTTAGGAGAGCGCTTGGTCGACGAGTGTTACCACGATATTAAATTACAACAATAGGGAATACGTGCGGTGAAGAAGAACTCGCTAGAACTATCGCTACTTCTCGGCGTCTATTCTACTGTATTGTGCATTGTACTTTCGCTGTTTTACTTTAAGGAATTGAAAGTGTCATTGCATTTTAATTCCGCTGAAGCGCAATGACGTAATTAGTCTCTCGACCCACAGTGCGCTTTCCAACAGGCTTCTTCGTTTTTCTAAGCACGCGGGACGGTTGACATTTTCTTTGCATCGCTTGCTTGCTCGGAAGCAATGTACGAGCTTGTGCAGCAGCTAAAGTTGTTAGCATCGGCGCTTAAGTTGTACAGAACCACAATATTGGTGACAGCTTGCTATATTTTGCCAACAATGACATGTAACGAATGTACACACCCTCGTTCTGAATTCTGCCCCGCCGCCCAATATGCATGTTTTGATAGACGGCGTAGATCTCTGGATGAGTGCATAGAGTGAAGGTAAAATAAGAAAAATCACGCCGACACTACGTCATGTAATCTGAGACAAGGCGCATCAACACGTTTAACTGCGCTCCCTTTGTGTGAGAAGGCACGGGTTTGTTTCTATTTGTCTCAAAGCCTCACGTCACAAGCGTGTTGTCCACTGCAGTGAATCTTGTTGGCAACTATGCAAAATGAAAACATTCTGATTGACCAGCTTGAAGACCAGCTAATAGATAATCCAGATCCCACGACAACAAAACAGTTGAGTGAATCGTCTTTGGACGAAGCTTTTCAGAAGAAACCCAATGGTAGAGCAAATCAACTTTACGGGAAATACAACCAAGGTGAGTCTGGGACTACTACCGATGCCGGTTGCTATCCTTTTTTGGTCGTAAAGCCCATCTTGGATTATGCCTACTCTGATAGTTTTCCATTACGCCGAGAGATTGCTGAATGGTTTTCTCTGCCTGACTATGATCTCATCAACTTGCACGGGCTTCCTCAATCATACCTGTTGCCTCTAAAGTTTGATTCAAACAACATTGATCTATGGTCAAGACTGACACAACTTGATAATGTGCTCTATTTTGCGTTGGGTACATTTGGCAATACGAATCGTATTGAAGACCAGATTGAAAATATAATTTCTAATTGTCGTGAGTTAGTTACAACACATATGCACAAACTGATCATTGATTTAACTAAGCGATATCTCAAAGAATTTTGTGCCTGCCTTTCCCTGGACTCTACGAAAACAGTTTCAAAAATATTCTGCTCCAATTACTTCAAGACATTGACCATTCTCTATTGCATTGTTATAACTTCCCTCCATTCTGAGGTGCCTGATGAATTAAGACTCGACCTAGCAGAAAAGGATCTCATGTCCGACATTTGTTTGACAATCGAACTATGGCAGGCTGATCTCAATCCCCATATTCGAATGCGTTCAATTCTTTTGCTATTCTGGAAATTGATTTTGTTGGAGTTCGGTGACACAGCACAACTTAAAAACGTCGACCTTTACCTTTCAGAAAGACACTCCATTAAGAACAAAGAAAGAAAACTGGCTGATAATGTGCAATTGACTTGTTCGCCGTTAGAATTTTTCACTTTCAAGGAAGACTTAATAGACAAATATCCCATTTGCGACACGAAACCATATAGTCACTCGCCTTTAGAAAATGAAAAGGAGGACGTGCACCCCTCCACGAAAGCATCGTCCGAAGATTTAGCTGGCCGTCAGAAAGAATTCATGGCATTTGACTCTTTCACCAATTCATTATCTAATCTTCTTGAGATCCCTAGACCAAACAAATCTCATAGTGTATTGGGCCAGTTGCCTACTCAAACCATACATATTGCCACTCCTGTCCCGTCCCCGCCAAGTACTCCTTCAGAATTCATGTTTGGAGGAGAAAAGATTCGAAAAATGTATCACGTTAATCAGGGAATGCCATTCGTTTATCCGACTGATGGCAAATCTATGCCAGTAGCTATAAATGAGGCAACTGATCTAATCGAAGATGCATATTACGAAAGTTATTCAAATAAAAGACTATGGGAGGAACGTCAAAGGTACATGTGCCAAGAACGAGGAAATGTCAATCAATATGAACTTTCGGTTGATTCGGACAATTTCGCCACCGAACAGCTGTCATCAGCTGAAGCCAGGTCACTTGCGCGTGTAGAATCATTCTATGGGCAAAACTTATCGCGGCTTCATAGTCTAGTGAAATTACTAGTTGATGTCATCAAAAACAATAATTTTGACTTCAATCTTAAAGAAGCAGAAACAGAACTTAATCCAGAAACGTCCTTCTCCCTCAAATTTGCATCTTCTGGTTATAAAAGAAATGACAAGATTCAAAGAGTGATACTTGGCAAATTAGAGACCTTGCGAGTTAAGGAAACGACACTCAAGGCGTCCTCGGCCATTTTAATTCTTTTGTTACGCTGGTTTAAAGTCAGCCATGTTTTGAAATCATATTATTTTAGCTCTTTGTTGTTTGATGCTCAATATCTTTCCGTCTTCATGGATTTCTTAGCGAACAGCTTTAACAATCCATCTTTACAGGATTCGCTAGAAGGCGACAAGGAAACTTATTCGTATGATACACTAATTACCCAGAATAAGTTAATGAATCCTGATATCCGGATTCCCCAATTTGAATTTTTCAGTGTGTGTCAAAATATTGATATTCACCCAGACCCGATAATTTTAATCAACAGAACCAAAGTATGCGACCTTCCATCGGTGGTCGACGAAAATAATCAAAGTCTTGTGCATATCAAGGAGTTTAATGCCGACTTTTGTTTTATCTTGCTGAATCTATTAAATGTGACAAACAGAGTTTTGATCAAAAATATATCTCAACGAGTTTTTGTCTTTAACGAAACAAAACCAACTGACCTTTTGAAAATCATTCTTCTTAATTTTGTCAACGACTCATTAAAAATACCCATTTTGAAAATATTCAAAAAGCTTGCACCTTATCAAGGTAGGAAATGGAGAGCACTTAATATGGATGTGGTTTCACAAGTTTATCTTAACCTAAAGCTTTCATTGAGAGACACTTGGCTTAGTGGAAGAGATTTGGAGAATGATTTCAATAACTCTTTTGATCAAGAAATCGCTCTCCGGTCGCTACTTCAGTTCTATAATACGCGTGTATACCCTGGCCAAATGAAGCCGTTAGGTTACACCGTCAACCAAGCTTCATTCCCATCGGCAGGTCATGACAGTGGATAGTGGCATAGAGCAAAATCGGAAAGAAGTAATCTTTTTTTCTACGACTAATCAAATAACATTACCTTCTAGTGCAAGTAGATTTCATATTGCGTAGTATTTTTTTTTTAATACCATTAAGACATCAAAGCAATCTGCCATAATCTGTCGTGCGCGCTTCAATAAAATTTTCGGGTGAGAGTAGTGGGATAATTGGCATTCTCAAGGAAACATTATTTCATAGATAAAGAATATGGTGAAGTTAACCCAAGTTGATGACGAAACTGCCACCCAGTTTGAGGCGACTGTTCCAGCTGCTACCAAGGAAACTTACAGTGACTCGGAAGTTGATTCCGAATCTGATTACGAGGATGACCTTGATCTCGAGAACGAAACTATATATGACAGAATTGTTGCCTTGAAGGATATCATTCCACCAACTCAAAGAAACCAAATCTGCAGCACTATTGAGGGAGGTAAGAGCTTGGTGCATACCGCTTTGAATAAGGGTGGTGCCTTGTTGTGGGGTGTTACTTCTTCCCTCTTGTTGTTGGGTGTTCCTTTGTCATTGGCTATTTTAGCCGAGACTCAATTGCAAGAAATGGAGAAGGAAATGTCTTTGCAAAAATCTGCTCAAGAAGTGTTGGCTCCAGGTTCTGAGACCGCTTTCGGAAACGAAAAGACTGCTTAGTGTCGTGTAAAGTCGTGTATTCTGTTACCTCCCTACACCATGATTACGAAGATGGCCAATTGCCTTTGAAAGTCTATTGGTAGCTCTAGATGAGAGATTTAACCGGCTTCTCGTTCTGCTGCCGAAGTGTCACGCAATTGATGACTTGTATATATAACGTATGGTCCACGAATAAATGTTGACTGTTATTTATGTCAGGAAACTAGATATTCCCCATTAAACCTTCTTGTGCTTAATGGACAAAGTATAAATGTCTAAGTAGTTTGTGATTTCGGTAATAATTTCTGCCACGAAGAAGCCATGAATACCAAAGGTAGCCCCGACTCCAGTCCACATAATAGCCGAAAGTGTGTTTGCTCTATCGTATCCGTACAAGTTGATGAGAAACTTTGCCACAGCCAATTGCAAGATTGGCAAAAACGTTGGGGGCTGGAAGAATGGAAACTTTTGCAAGGTCAAATGAGCAAGAATAATTCTCCCCACGCAGAAGGCAATCGTGAACCCGATGGAAATGATGAGAGGGAAGCCATACGTGGTGATGACTTCAGGAAAGCTGAAAATGAGAAGCAAAATTGTAGCGTAATAGGCAAAAAATGGAATTAATCCTTTTGAGGCCTCATACACCATAGATTGTGCTGCATTATCCAGAACTTTGTTACTGGATTTGTACTTGTTAAGTACATTCTTCATCGCAGACGAAATATTGAAGTACAATTGGCCCAAACCGCCAACAACGTAAAAAATGGACGTGGACACTTCGTAAACACCAAGACCGTAGCCAAGGGACGTCAAGTCTAAGTCGAATAAATGCATGTCCCAAATTCCTGGTCCGAAAATACCAGTAACGATATACAAAATGCAAATTATCAAAATTCCCTCCACGGGCCCACTGAATTGTGACAAATATAATGTGTGTGTGTGGTATTCTTCCCAAGTTGAAGTATAGAAGTTGCATACAGAAGCAAGTTGAGCAATAAACATCAACCAACCATAACCCAATTGGAACACTGACCCAAAGACAAGCAGGCCCAAGGTGGTGTTAATTGCATCAATGGAATGATCAAATAGTTCACCCAATGGACCACTCTGGCCTGTTCTTCTAGCATGACAACCGTCACAACCGTCAAATGTTTGATACATAAAAAGGCCGATTGCATAGAAAAAATAACACCAACGAGGGGAAGGTGTGTTCAAATAAGGGTCATAATAGAAGACGCAAGCGAGATTGGCAAGAATCCAAACCAAACCAAGCAACGTAATGACATTGGGGGCCATGTTCATGGGGAAGATTTTCACAAAGCTGTTCCACCATCTCTTCATAATGTATCTGGAGATGAGTGAGTGATCCTCTGAGGAATATTTGTATAGCTTCAAGTTTTCAAGCTTATTTGTTGGAATGAAAAGGCCCATTTTCGATTATATCTTTCAATATGATGAAGCAAACGTTTCTAGAGATTGGATCATTGCGCTTCACGTGGTGGTGGAGTCATGTGACCTTTTTTTCTATATCGAGTACTTACTGGCAGTCATGAATGCTTTAAAATACTAATCATTTCTTCCTAGTACTGATTGATTTTCCTGTAGGTTTCTCTTCCTAGGACCCATTTCGACCAAAAGAAGCACGGTGCACTCATGGACGCTTTCTTTCAGTGGGTACCGGTTTGGATGGCCATCCGTCATTTATAAATACATCGAGGTTCTAATTTAAGGTAAGCAATCTCTAATTTACTGCTAGAAAATTGGAGTTTATGATGAGTATTTATTTACCTCTGTTCGAAATAGTCAATGTCCGCCTAAGAGTTTATTGCTATAATATGCAAATCACATCACCTAGTAATCCGGCATGAATCTCAGATTGATAATCACCCTGCAAACCAAGACAAAAACTGAACTTGATCTTTGGTCAAATTCACGGAACATATTTTCTTTTTTTGCATACCTGGGTCCATTAATCAAAGGATTTGTTTTTGCCACTTGAATTTTTCATCCCTTATTCTGTGGCCGCTTAATTACATTGCATCGACATGGACCGTTTGGATCAAACTGTCAATTTGAAAGTGAAAATCACCAATTTGTTGGATCAAACCATTACTGCATCGATCTATGGTTTTTCAGCAAGCCAGGATGTTTTAGCATTGAAGGTCTTCCCCGCTAACGGCAACAAAAGTACCGATGTGTACAAAATCGTTAATACTGCCTTCATTAAGTCAGTGCAAGTTTTACCACCGTTGCCAAAGAAGGGACAGAAGCTACAAACTTGTAACGGCAAGCTCACAAAGGTAGACATTAACCAATTCCAAAGCCATCTAAACAAGCTTATCGACAAGAGTAAACAGATGTTGCCTCTGGCAGAAATTACTACTGAAGAAACAAAAGCTCCCAATAAAGAACCAGAGATCAGCCCGTTGGCACGAAAACTTTTTAGTAAGCTAACAGAAAAGCTTGGACCTGAGAATGTGCAATGGCATGGCAATGAATCGATGCTCCTTTTCAAAGAGATTATTGTTTCCAAGCCTTATGCGTTAAACAAAATCAGCCATTCCAAGAGATCCCAATCATCAAAGCACATTAATAAAGTCAAAATTGCATTAAGAGATACATGGTTAGAGATTGATAATGCAAAGCGTGGAGGCTGAACATGCTGAAGTTATGTAATTTCTTGCCCATTATAGATGATGATTTTTCACCTTCAACTAATGTAGCTAATTTTAAGGCAGGTGTCTGAATGACACTTCTCGCTCAGTACTGAAACTTCCATTGAACATCTAGACGGTCAAATAGTTTCGCTGTGCTTTTGTTTTGTGAACCACGAAATCCATCAAATTCTTCCCATTTTATCACTTTCCTGCCAAACATTGTTCTTTCACCCGACTCGTAAGGAAGCGTTCTATTGATTGGACCAACAGTTTCGTAAAAGAGATTGAACCAAGCATAGGCCACGCAAATTTGCCTTTCAAATGATATGCAGATGTCTTTGACGGTGCAATCAATTGTTTTATTGAGTGCTATTTCATAGTATGCTGACGTCCCCGCATAACTTGGTAATTTTAAAGTCGTGCCGTCAAGTTCTCTTTTAATCAAGCCATCATTTTTGGACGTATAAGTTGATAACTTCATTCTGCTGAAAAGTAGGAACAGTGTGGGCTTGAAAATAGTTACTTTTGTTAACATCGAGAGAGACGTGTTAAAGGGAACATTGTCTGCCAGATTATAGAGTGCAAAGTTTTGTTGCAACTTATGGGAACTCTGAAGGAATCTTTTCCAGTATTCTAAGTACCTAATTTGGCTCTTTATAGAAACGCCAGGTCCGAATATCTTTCGCATACGCTTCCTAGTAAAAATTGCAATTGCTTCTTCCACAGACATATAGATACCTTTCTTTTTAGCCTCATACATTAGATATGCACAGCATATGGTGCCAGATCTTCCTTTCCCTTCTTTGCAATGTATGAGAGCCACATTCATGGGAGATTTGGACATAAATTTGTCAATCTCCTCCACGATCATAAGAAGTAATGCAATTGAAGGCGGCAGATGATCCGGGAAAGGATGGTATGTCCAGCAACCTTTCAACTTATCGATATTATAACCCGGCCCTTCGCCACGAAGGTTCCAAATATGCCAATGACGTTTATCACTAAGTGTGAAATGCTGGTTCAAATGATTAATAACCTTGTCTACTGGTGATCGAAAGAGATTAGTTATAACATCGTCAGAAGGGCCAGCAGCAACAATAATTCTAGGAGTAATGTACGATAGATCTAAGCATGAATCTTCATCATTGTGTAATTGCTTAGGAGCAGAAACTATGGCTCTAACCAAATCTTTAGGTGACATTAAAGTTTTCTGTTTGTCACAAAGTCTACACTCGCGCGTTTCTTATGAGTAAAAGATGCCAATACTAATATATACAAAGGACACAAAAATTGGCCGAATATGACAATGACAATCAACATGCACGTTCCTGTTAGAACTTCAAAATGAATTTTCTCCAGCAAAAATCTTTAAACTCTACTTAGGAAAGTTGTGTGCCCCATCGGCTAGTTTTCCATTTGCAATCCATCTTCTTGTGAACAGCTTCTATGATAGCCCGAAAAGTGTTCCTTTAAAAGCTTTCACGCATGTACTCTTGGATCTTTTTGCTCAAAATTGGATCAGCCTTGATTCTTACTTGCATCTTAGTAGCTTCTGCGAAAGATGTCGCTTGAATTTTCTCCTCAATTGTTCTAGCCAATCTGGAACCTTCTTCAAACAAACTGATAGCTTCTTCGGGCTTATCAGTTTGTAACTTCACCTGAGCAAGGGAAACTCTTGCAGTTTCTGACTTAGGATCTAACTCGCACGCTTTTGTGAGCAACTCTTCAGCCTCGGCCAAGCGATCTGGGCCCTCTCTAGAAAGCAAAGAAGCCTTGTTGATCAATGGGACAGCACCAACATTGAAAGTCTTCAAAGCTTCTTGCAATCTTGCCGCGATTTCGTATTGTTTAATAGCCTCTTTTATGTCACCATGGTCAGCCAAGATTTCACCATAATAGTTCAAAACTTCTGGAGAGGTGGCAAACTTCAATCTTGCTTCCTTGAATGCTGCTTGAGCTTCTTCAAAGTTTCCCTTCTTGTAGGTGATACAAGCCAACTGGATGTAAGCGTAAAGGTTTTCTGGGTTCAATTCCTTGGTCTTCAAGAAATTGGCTTCAGCCTTCGTTAAATCGGAAGTAAGGTAATACAATTGACCCAAGTGGTAGTAAACATCAGCGCAGTCAGGGCTTATTTTTTGAGCGGTTTCAAAATCAGCAATTGCTTCGGCAAAAGAGGCCTTGTCAGCATTGATCAATGCTCTCACAACATAGGTTCTGGCTCTTGGTTTCAAGTCAATGGCCTTTTGAATAAGAACAGCAGCTTCATTAGGAATGTTCTTCAAGAATTGCATAGTAGCTGCATACTCCAAAGCAATGGAAGCCTTGGCTGCATCTTCAGATTCGGCTGTCAAATTATCGACGCCGTAGGCCTCGACAGCTTGGTTCAAAAGAGTGTCCGCTTTTTCATAGCCATCCATTGTATTTTCGTTAATGGCGGCCAAAGCTTCAAATAAATACTTGTCAGCACCAGTGCTCTCTTCCGAAATACCCTCAGGAGATGTTTCTGTAACGTAAGCACCAAAGAATGAGCCAGCTGTAGTAGCAGATGGTAATTCAGGAACCCTGTTCTTCAAGCCTTCCTCCACTATCTTCAAAGAGTGTTTCTGCAAAACCTTTTCCAAAGTCAGTTCGACCGATTTGGAGTTAAATCCGCCATAAATTGTTAAGGATGTTAAGTCGAACATAGCATCTGGGTATCTCTCTAAGGCTTCATATGAGTTTGCACGACGCAAGATACACTTTACGTAATCTGGCTTGATTTTGATTGCGGCAGTGGCATCCTTAATCACCTCCTCGTGTTTATTCAAGGCCGCATAACATGCTGACCTATTGGAGTAAAAGACGGTATCTTCCTTCAACTTCAAAGCAGCGCTGTAGAAAACAATAGCATCTTCAAATTTCTCATGCTTGTACTTCTCATTGCCCGCTCTCTTCAAAGCAAGAGCCCACTCTTCCTTCTCCTGCTCATTCAATTTTTCGATCATTTCGTCAGTAATCTCGGGAAAACCTTGCGAGTTAACAGGATAAGGCACTTTTTCCTCAGCCAATTCCGGAGTTTTTTCAGTGGCGTCCTTAGGTTGTTCCTTAGAAGTCTTCTTCTTCTTCTTGTTTTTCTTTGGTGCCTTATCCGCATCAGGGAGAATTGTTTGGTCCTTTTGTTGGCTGTATAAGTAATAAGCACCAACAGCAGAAGCACCTGCCAAAACGGTAACAGCAATTGCTGTTTTGTTTCTTGCAAAAAAATTCGATTCAGACATTATTTCCAAGTGACTTAAACGAGAACGCTCGGATAATATAAATTGATTTTTGAGTTCAATCTAAACCAAAGAAGTCGTACACGCCCTTTTGTTGTCAGAGAGAAGTTGGCTTATTTTAGGATCGACTGTGCCGAATTTTCTCATTTTTTTCAGTTGCGGGTATGGAGGAATGGCAAAACGTGACACAAAACTGCATGTTTGGATTGGCTTGAAAATCAGTGTTGACACTATAGCGGACGTCTACATATTATCGAAAACTGATTACATCATTTTTCATCGTTCACATATACGTAGTTCTACATCAATTTCTCTCATTCGCTGATATAATTCGCTGTCTTCTTCAATACACCAACTATTATCTCGACAGAGGATCATCAACGAGTTTATATGCGGGTGGAGCCAGCTCTTCCTCCACAGATCTTAATTGAGGGACGTCTTCTGACGAGATTGGTCCCGGTGAGACTGGTCCTGAAGAGACTGCAACTGGAGAGGCTGGTTGTGACGAGTCAAACCCTGGAGAGCCTGGACCTTCAGGAGACTTAACATCCGTAAATGGATTAGTCACTGAGCTGCTAGATCCTGTGGAAATTGACATTTGTTGCCCTCTAGAATTCACGCTCTGGTTTTCCCTTGGAGGGTAAAGAGGTGGCGGTGGATCGATTCCGCTTGATAAGCGTACATCAGGGCACACGACTTCCACCGAAGTTAATGCTTGAACTCTAGAGGAACTAGCTTGCATAGGTTCACGAGACACTGTTAAGCGCACTGCCAAGTTGTAGAACCGGGTCACATTGCAAGTTTGAAACGATGGGGGTAGGTTCAATGGGATACGACAATTGTCATAGTAGGAAGGCGAGATTTCCAACTCATACAGAATAGATGATTCAGAAGTACGCAGGTTGCCATTATACACCGTTGGTACAGCTCTCATGAGATCGAACCTCAAGTCTTCGTACGTATTTGAGCAAAGCGGTATCTTCTCCTTAAAGACTGACTCTTTGATTTCATTCTTGTATCCAATCGTCTGTAATGCAGACACTATTGTCACGCTTTCTAATTCAAGAGCAAGGTTTTGAAGATATATTACACCCGTGTCATCTGGTAGGCGATTCTTCTCATTTCTAGGGGCGGCATAGATTTCTGGATTAGCATCCATTGCAAAAAGAATATGCATGGATGGCATCATTCCACGAACAAATCCTTTGTCCTTCGAAACTCTGACTTCCGCAGCAAAAGGTGGCACCTGCTTGATAACCGGGGCAGGTGGGGGAGGTGGTGGATTAAACCAGCCTTTTTTCTTCGCCTTCGCTATCCGCTTAGCCTCCTTTTTCTCTTCCTTTTGTCTTATTTTCTCCTCCTTCTGCTGTTGTTTTTCTAATTTCTTCTCTTCTTTCTTGTCATGCTTTTCCTCTTTCTTGCCCTTTTTATTATTTTCATACACTTTAGGTGGCGGTGGTGGAGGAGAGCTCGCGAAGTCGATTGCTCTTCTAAAGTGCATGTTGCTAGGAACACTGGGAGCTGACGAATTTCTGATGAGGCGTGGAGTACGCTCGAAGTCAAAAGGGAGAAATTGGAAAGTACTAGTAGCCCTTAAGTTCGCTTTAATCAAGGATGGGCGCTTGCACGTCACTTTGACGTAATAGTGAATATCAGCTGCAACTCCATGACTGAAAGATGGTGGAAGAGGGCCCTTAATATGATAGGCACATTCCTCTAAAGATTGTCTCTGACGCTGTAAATTCTGGGAGTACGCATTCGGTTTGGTGAGTGATTGCAAACTATTACTCGAAGCTGTTCTGCCTCCATTGCCATTGTTTTCAATTGACATCGCCACCTTGTTGAAAATGGACTTGCTTGTAGTTCCAAGCAGTCTGTAACAGGATGAATCTCGGGGTATTTGGAACTCAAATGGATAAGTGTAAATACCTTCATTCAATGTGAACTCGGGAGTCGCAGACACCTCACGAACCTTTGTAGGAGGAAACACAATCGCAGTTTCATAGAGAACTTTGTGCACATCGCGAAGTGTTTTCTCTTTAATCTTCTTCTCTTTATCTTCTGGAATGTGCACCTCAGTTGCAGAAACACCTTCGAGCTTTACCTGAATATATGATAAAGTCAAAGAGGTTGTGGTAGAAACCTTGACGCGACCCTTGACAACATCAAAGTTTGTAAAATACCTTCCGTCTTGTGGTTCCTCTATTTCAATTTCAATATCATGGCCCATGGTGATCTTGCGAATAAAATCATTTGGGGCGGAGCTAAGTGTATTTATTCTCTTAATATGCAGCCTGTATGGACAGTATGCGGCGCAGCCAACTTACAGTTGTCAACCTAAAGGAGCTAATGCACAGCCTGGGGCTATACCTGAAAAATGGTGGCATCGGCGACGAAAGATTCTATTTTTAAATAAAAAGAAATAAGACAGACCTTTCAAATTTGCCCATTAAGCTGAAACGTTCTTTGTGAGATAAGATTTCTTCTTTTTCCCTAATGCGCATTCTGGGAGAATTGACATACTACTTGCCACCAGCCAATTACGCGGAAATTGTAAATCGATGTAGTGACAACGAAAGAAATAAGCGAACAACAAAGAAAAAAAAAATTGACATAAAACATCAACAAGTAAATCACGTTGACTTTTTACCACCCTAACACCATGCATTCATTTAAATTGGCATGCCCCACAAAACGATCTGGGATGTAAAGTCCTGCATATTCTCCCAATTTTGGCGATCCAGAAAAAAAGCCACTGTCGCTGGGAAATGATTGCTCGTCTTTGCAGATCTCAGTTACCGAAACAATCGTTCGTTAACTTTAATCGTTCCATCTCATCTACTATCAGAATGTCTGCTCCTCAAACTACTCAAATCGAAATCTTGCAACAAGGTGACGGAAAAACCTTCCCAAAGGTCGGTGACGCTGTAACTATCCACTACACTGGAACTTTGGAAAACGGAAAGAAGTTCGACTCTTCCCGTGACAGAGGAAAGCCATTCCAATGTACCATTGGTGTTGGTCAGGTCATCAAGGGTTGGGACACAGGTATTCCAAAGTTGTCTGTGGGCACCCGTGCTAAATTGACAATCCCAGGCCACGAAGCTTACGGTCCAAGTGGTTTCCCAGGTTTGATTCCACCTAACGCTACTTTGGTGTTCGATGTTGAATTGTTGGGTGTTAACTAAGTGCATTTTGTTCTAGCTAATGTATTAAGTTCTCAAAATCAATGTAGAGTTTACGGATATCACGTTCTCATCAGCGGCTAGTGTGGGTAAACTGACTTTATAATTGACGTCATAAATTTGTAATTGTGGAAGTGTCACGGGCGTGTTTTCAATGCTAAGTTGAAATGTGCCTAGATACTCCAAGGAGAACTGGCTGAAGGGTAACACCGGGAAAGGCATTTGCTTAGGTGGAGTAAGAGATACAATATCGTCAAAAACCCACTTTGTTCCAGCATTTTCTGCATTCTGGGTAGTCATGTCCGATGTGAAGGTCAAAATACGAGGTGTAGGATTCTCAATGGTGTATTTCAACTTCACCTGATTGTGCTCTTGTAGTTGAACTTGTAATAGAACCCGAGGATCCTGCAAAGGTAGTACACTTTCCCACTCTCGAGGCTCATAGTAATTGATGGTGTCAGAACCAGTCCGCTTCCATCCAAAGCGGACACCAATGGCCATAGCCATACTGCGGTTGGTAAATCGATGTTTGCTGTTATTCATGAACACTTGTTTTGCAACATTGTCTGTCAAAGTTGCATCACCCAAAGTAACTAAACAAACTTCTGCGTTGTCAGATTTGATGCTAAACTCTGTCAGAACAATTTCCACAATCTCATTTTCGAGTAGTTTGAGATGATCCCCAATATGTACTTTGACCACCCAAGTCCGCAGTGGCAGAGGCATGGAGTAATCCTTTTGCATCTCCTTGGATGCTAAACCAAGGATGAATGGATTTGGCATTTGGGTGTTATCCTCAACCTTGCAAATTGGACTAACCATTAATCTTGTTTTGAAAGGTTGCATAATGAGTGGAAAGTGGAAAGCATCAATTTCATACACGGATTCATCTCCCAGAGCCTCAATAACAACCATTTTGACATTCAATGTCACCATGAGGTTCGCCAGGGAAATATCTTCCGTGTGGGGTGGATATCTCACGCAAATATTCAACTTCTTAGAGCAAGACATGTTCCCCGATCCCAAAAAGTCAAGAATAGACAAAGGTTGATCATCTTTCATGGAGTACCAGTTGGTTTGTACTAACACATTCTCTCGTTTGTCCAGCTCTTGTGATACATAGCTTTCTATTTCAAGAGTAACGGATGAGAAGTCGATATGGCTGGGAGGTATACTATCAAGGCAAATCTCGACACTAGTTTCAATTTTCTCTCCAGCTATCAAGGATGAGAAACCAAATTCTGGTTTAAGGCGAATTTCTGGTTTGAATGAGCGAACATATAACATACAAGCACTCTGTGGCTCGGGAATGATACTTCTTGGATACAAAGATCCATCAGAAAGAGTTTGGAACATGGTCAATGAGCGTTGAAGTTCATCCAGGTTGAAGTTATGCGTTTCCATTTGAGTGAAAGTTATGCTTACATCTTCACGTTCTATTTGTAACCTGCTCTGGATTTTCAAGGATGGTATGCCAAACCAACCAGGTCTTGTGACAGTCTTTTCAAGTTGGATCACTTTCATTTTAGTTGGTAGGAGGCCCCCGTAGGTATCCTGAGGTTCGTTGTCCAAATTTAATATCTCTAGACCGAATGTGGAGTCACTTGTACCCAATATAGAAAAGTTCAGTTTATCCGAAAACAGTCCTTTGATTTTGTCAACATAAATAGTCACTTTGCTACCGGGTAAAATCGATTCCAAAATAGAATCGTTAATTGCACTCTGAAGGCAAACCTGTCCTATGACAGTATCAAAAGCGAAAGTTTCTTTCTTCAACGATTTATTGAATACTGTCAATTGTACGTTTAGAAGAGAAACCTCGGAAGTTAGCTCAATCGAATAAGTGGACTGAGTAAAAGAAAAGCAGCTCTTAATCAAACTTAAGTTACTTTTATGATCTAGAACGAGTAACTCTGGAATTAACTTCAAAATACGAAGTTCATCTTTTTGCTCGTAAAATATGTCAAGCATTTTTTCGAGAACCAATTGCTTCAAAGTATTCCATGTCTTCAAGTTCTTTTCTTTCAAAATTTCAGCGTAATACTGAATGGCATTTTCAGTTTCACCAATTATAATCAATTCTTCGGCAATTTGCCAATCAATCAATCCTATTCTGCCATCAACATGAGACTCGACATCTTTGTCGTCGTAAGGCTGCACCAGTTTTGCCATTTTGAGAATGCTGATTCGATGTCTTCGTACAGCTTCTGTACTAGAAAAGAAATGTTGGTTAATACCATCAATGTTGGAACTTGCATCCAAATTAATTTTAGAAGCTGCTTTCAAATAAGCTAATCCAGGCTCTGTTACGACTTGTGAGTAAAAATTATCATGGAAAGCAATTCCGCCGAAATATAAAACGTTCTTCGCGGTGTTTTTGGATTTGGGTTTGTTAATGGCTTTTAATCCAGCTAAAGCTGCCTTGGGCACTAAGGTTAAGAACTCAGCAAGCCATTGATACTGAATAGACTCCCATATTAGTTGCTCTAACTTAGTTCGGGACTGTAAAAGGTCAAGGACATTTTCAATATGAGCTCGATGCTTACGCAACGCAGCAACTGGTTCTTCAATTGAAAAATATCCACGAATGAGGTGAATTGCAATTACGTCCAACAAGTTGCGGTATTGATTGTACAACTTGAGGTCATGAGTACTGATGGTAGGTGAGAAAAATACAGTTTGGGTGCTCCGTAAAAGATCTATAAGACCCTCGTATGCCTTTTCTAGAATGGGGAGACTGTAATCCACATTATTAGGATGCATGAATTGAAGTAGCATTGATCGTTTTATCAAATTGCGAATTTCTAGGATTTGTGGCTTCAATTCCACCAATGTATTTACCTGGTTAGAAGGTAAAGTATAATACTTGCCGAAACGTTGTCTGACACGTGTCTCAGCCGCCATGTAAAATTCAGTCGCTGCAGATTTCAAACTACTAAGGATTGAAGTTGTCAAAATCTCAGTGGTGCTTTCGATGTCTTGGTTGGTGTTAAGACAAAAGATTCCATTGTTTTTCAGTAGCTCTGAAATCTGCCTCAATACTGCAATTCGATTGGCTTCTTCGTCCAAATTCTTTTCGGACGAAACGATAAGTGCAACGAAATGGACATTGAACTTAAGGTACTTAGATCTCAAAGACGCTAAGGTTGCACCAAGCTCGCCATCGTAATTTCGGTTTGAATTCAATTGGTATACTGAAATCACAGCAAACGGTAGGCCACTTAAGTACTTCAGAAACCATTTTGAAGATAAGATACCGTTGGGAAATAATTCCGACTTCGGGTTGAAAGGAGATATAATGGAATGAGAATCCAGTGTTTTTTCTTTGTAGGAACATATGGACTTATATATGGACCGTTCAGAATCGAAATAATGGAAAATAAACCTGGATTCCAGTAAACGGTTCTTCAACAACGAATTGTTCCATATATGATTAGCAATGTTGAACGCTTCAAAATTCTTTTTGAGCACCGAGGTTACTTCATTGTCACCTATACTTAGGGCGACGAATGGGGCTAGCTGTTGCGTCTGTGCTTGGTCATAAAACTCCATGGGTATGCAGCTGTATTACAGAACCTCTAGTGAGAAGATAAATACAGCGTATGACATGCAGTACGAACATAATGTCCAGAATGGATTGGAGAACGGATGACTCCGACATATCGGTATGATTTCTTACGGGAAAAAATAGTCCCTAGGAGGCAGCTTTATTGGAAATAATTTCCATTACTGTGATGATTCATCAATGTTCTCATCCATTATTGTAATCATTACTCTGCTTGGTTGTACCGATATCTACTGATCTACAAATGCATTCATTACTGCTACAATGTACCAGATGTTATCCTGGTCAAAAACACTAACAAGCCGCCACTCGGCTGTATATTTCAAAATACTGATCTCTTTTAAAAGAAAGATTACGAACAATCCCTGTGTGGTGTATATAGGCCAGATGCGTGAGCACTATGAAGCTTTATCACAGTTTGACCAGTTTCTTTCTTCGATAATGTCGGATCCCTTGAATGCTAATCCCACCATCATCGACGTTTCAGATTTACCTACACGTCTCTCAGGTGCAAAAACCAAAGACCCCAAGGATGAATTATTAAACTTGGTGTCGACCCTTTCCCTTCGACCCAAAGCGACGAAACATGAATTGGGCATCAGTGTCCCTGACCTTGTATCCGATGCTGAATCTGAAGCTACCCAAGACGAGCTCGAGGAAGAGGATGAAAATGAAGAAGAAGATGTTATTGATGCCCAAGAAATCTTCGACCTCATTTCTACAATTTCGGATCCTGAGCACCCTTTGACATTAGCTCAGCTCGCAGTTGTTAACCTACCTGATATAGAAGTGACTCATGGTCCAAACAAAGAGAAAGATATATCCGAAGTTCTAATCAAGATTACTCCTACAATCACCCACTGCTCTTTAGCAACTTTAATCGGGCTCGGTATTAGAGTACGTTTGGAAAGATCATTGCCACCGCGGTTTCGTATCCGCATTTTGATCAAAGAGGGCACTCACCAGTCGGAGAACCAAGTTAACAAGCAACTTAATGATAAGGAGAGAGTTGCTGCAGCTTGTGAAAATGACCAGCTTCTTAATGTCATCCTGCAAATGTTGAGCACTTGCAAGTAGGTGGCTTGGTAGTTCGCGTGTATTTATTAAAGTATCAGTTATCGTTCGTAATCATATCTCTCGTGGTCATAGTATTAAAGTGACACTATTGTAGTGTCTGAGGTCCATACATCCGAATGTGCCCATAGTCGATGATCATATGAGACACATCAATAAGAATAAATTTGAATACCACAGCTTTGATAAAATCCATGAGTAGCACCAATTCGTGTTTGTAGCTAGTTTGGTTGAGATGCTTAATCAACTCTCCTGTGCACTTCGCTAGTTCCCCAAGCTGACAATAATATTCGTACTTATCTTTCTGGTTATCGTATTGCTGTGTGGTTGTGAATGGTGTTGTAGTCTTTTTCTCTTGATATTCGTTCGCGTTGGATTTGCGTTTCATAGATGTGCCGCTATTCATGCTCGCGACACTCGTCGCCGTGGTTGATACCAGTGCTGCCAGCTCTCTTCTCTTTTTGATTTTATTGTAGAGTTTAGACTTGGAAAGAAGACTAGAATGAGAAACGTCTCTTTGCGAAGTGGAGCTTGAAAGTGAGGGTGTTGGAATTATTGGCAGAGACTGGGGAGGAGTTTGAGGAGGAGTGTAGCATTTTATTTGGTCATCTGTATTATGCTTCGTGTTTTGGTGACTTAGGAAAGAAAACTTTCTTGTAGAGCTTTTGATATCTCTTGAAAAGGAGGATAGCCTGCCCATATTATGAGAGAAGGAGCCCGACGTTGTGCGGGAGCGAGAGATGGGCCGATCTGGAAAGAGCAGTCGCCTTTTTTTCTATCATTAATGACTCCTCTTCTGTTGAAGGGCTCTCCTCTTCATCTTCCTCGTTCAAAGAGCTGAAGCGAAATTCCGTTTCTGAGTCGGACCTCGCAAAATCCAAAAAGTTGGACTCCTTGATACGACTTTCAAGGACTAATAGGGTTGACTCGTCAAAAGGTGGTGATTCGCCATCTCTGAGTGCATCTAGGCACTGGCGTAGGTGCTGGTTAACCTCTTTCAATACCGCGTTTTTAATCTTTATGTATTGTATCGCTATCTGCGGCTCTAGCCATAAATCAGGCGGCACCGCAACTTGGGGTAGAATCTCCACACACTTGGGTCGTTTCTTGGAAAGCTTGAGGTTTGATTCGCCAAACAGTAAAATGTCATTAGGTCTTTTCAAATTCATGACTCTAGTCAAAAATTTCTCGACAAAATCATATTTTGTTGTCTCCACAGGAACAGATAATTGCAAGGCGTCAAAGTCATGGAAATTGAATCCATTCGTATCATCTAGAGGATCAACTACTCTCCCAGCACTCATTGCTGGAGGTAGAGGTGACGTCATTGCAAAAGGTTATGGTGTATAGTTTTCACTAAGCGTAATGTAACGGAAAGGAATGAACAGCTTTGGTTAGTTCTGGTATGGAGATGAGTGTATTCTGATGTGCTTTTCTGTGTATGTCAAGATCGGAAGGAAAGATACCACACTCCACGTGAAACTAGATACTTGAGTATTTGTTGTATCTATTTACCGTCTATATCATTTTTGTCTGGCACTGCCGTGTTGCACTGCATACAAGACGTCTGGCCATGTTTATGTCAGATGCAATCTGCGAGGCCCCCTCAAAGAAAAAGTTCAACCTGCAGAATAAAAACGTTACTACTCAAATACCAAGGAACACAGATTGAAACACCAAGAGTACCGTCCCCCTGCTCAATACTGGAGTTAACTGTTCTTCAACCAATGTTTGCTAAGAAACCAAAATTCAAATTTGAATTGCTGATCAATGAGCTTTCCAATATACCGCATACTTCCGGTTACTGCTATCTTGATGTTAGAGTAGGCGATAGTCATCTGGGTGGATTGATCGCAGCATTCAGTCTGCTCAAACCAATACCGAAAAGTCTCTCGTCTAGGGAAGAAGCGGACCATGGTAATCCGACCGATTTTGTTCCAGGTACCAACTATGCAACCAACTCTAGATGTGTTCATGTTCACACCTCGCTCCGCAAAATCCACAATTTCAAATGCAGCTTCAACTACAAAGTCTCGTGCAATCTACGGTTCCCAATGAAGAAGAGAGACAATATGGTTGGGGATAAGTTTCTCTCTATCCGCGTTGTCTATGTTCCCGAAAAATCGAAGTCAGATAAGAACAGTACAAACTTGGGCGAAGTGAAGTTGAATTTGGCAGAATATCTCAACTTCAATGAGCCTGTCACTTCCAAATACCTTTTACAGGATTCCAAAGTGAACTCCATTTTGAATCTCACTACTTATTTAGAAGAGCTCCCTGCTGACTATGAGTTTCATACACAACTTCATATTGAAGACTCAAAACACCATCTGTCTTCTTCCACTACCAGCTTCTCGAAATCAATGAAACTGTCGAATAGATCATTTGCCGTCCCACAGTTTCAACGAAAGGGTGTTTTTGGTGGGCTAGGTGGTGTTCTCAATAGCCAATCTTCAAGGAAAGCGCTGCCACCCGCGTCTGAAGACCATCACGCTAAAGATCAACAAAAGGATTCCGAAGCTTCAAACGATCAATCTGGTGATGAAATTCCAGTCTTCTCATCTCGTTCTTTTGACAACGTTATTGTCGATCCTCTCGTGAGTGGCTTATACAAGAAGGTTTTAGAAAGCACATGGGACCCAGAACTACAAACTTTACTCAAGCTCACTCCGGAGAAGATTGTGGAGAACATTTTTTCATCCAATAGTTTGGACTACGCGGAGATGGTTAAAAGTGACTTTGGTAAAGTTGATGGCTTGGACTCTGATGAAACATATAAAGATATGAAAGGGCTCATTGACGAAAGCACATACAGAGATAATCTTAGAAGCTGGAAAGTAACTTGGACATGAATTATGCGAATTATCGATTATGCACATGGTCATGATATGATGGTTCTCTCTCGAATGCCACTCCTCGCATTATGATGGTGAATCGATTAATATGTTCCCTGGCTTTGGATAAGGTAGATGATCGGACCATCCTTTCAATGTGGTGTTCTAGCAACGAATTCGCATGCTTACCAATAACATAAGGTTCAATTTCGACTGGGCGGTATCTCCTTAATACACACGCAGATTGTGATTTAGAATGTGCTAGCGGTCGCTTAGAGAAATGAAATTCTCTTGTGAGGGCTGAAGAGACATACGGTACCAGCAGACAAAATCTACAGCGAGGAAAGTGTCGTGAACGACAAGTATATGAGATACAGTGGTCTGCTCTTGTGTCATGAAGCCCCCTAAACTTTCCTCTCCGAATAACACGGCAAGGCTCGGCATGGTTCATTAGACTTTGCGTATTTTCATCAATATGAACTGTGTTCCCCGTACTTATTCTCTTCTGCTTGAGTTCTATAGAGGTGATCCTGGGTGGCATAACTATAGCAAATATGATTTTAGCTAGAGGGATAAGTGATAGAGAGTTTTCGAAGTTCGAATTTGGGCTCAAGGAAGGCGGTGCGCTTTTGTGGATCCAGTTTTTCATATACTACACGAGAAATACACTTGCGAATGTCGCCGAACAGAAATCACTGGTGACAGGTTGTCATCATTCATGGATTTATAGTACAAGAAAAGAAATTAAAAAAAAAAAAATTTATGTCCTATCTAGCTTGTTCATCGTGTTCTGTTTGGGGTAATCATAAAATGCATCACATCGCAAGAGAAAGCCACTAGCAACAAGAGGCAGCTTCATTTTAATGAAGCCATGTACAACCGTTATCTGACCAATTAGTCAAATGTTCTTCTCCCATTTGTACCTCTCGAATGACTATTGAAATGACGATTACCCTCACGGTTGTCACGGTTTCCATCATTAAAGTTCTTCCTCTGGAAACCACCTCTTCTTTTTTGATTCCTGTTTCTCTGCTCCATGTTTAGCATGTTTTGTTCTTTGGCATGGTCCATTACCTATTTGTTAGTAAGTGTGCATTCATGGATGCAAAGCAATAATCAACATACCAGATCAGGCAACCTAAGATACTTTATATGGCTACCACGGATATAGATTTCTTCTATTTTGTTGAATTTTTCTCCCTTGTTATAGTTATGAACGACGTTTGACAAAGTTAAGTTCATCCAAGAGTCACAGTTCGATAATTTGCCAATGACTGTTTCACCATTTTTCAACTCAACAAGAATCTCCTCATTTTTAATGCTGGTAAGCATAAATAATGGCAACTGAAAAAGTTAGAATCATAAATGGAAAGGGTCAAATATATTCTGCAGCACATACCATGATTACGGGAGTCTGTTGTTCTTGTGTCTTTAGTTAATATCGATAATGCGACGACTTCTATACTCGATGCGCACACGACTTTCGAGATTTTATTACTGAGTGTTCACTAGTACATCATTACAAATTGAGTCTTACATAACCTTCAATCGATTTCAAGATTCCTAGGGCGCTCTACTTTTTTTGCCACATAACATCCTTTCAAGAGATGGAAGGTACCCGCTTTTGCAGTAAAGAGTGTATTGTACAATTGATCAGAGAATTTTTTTGAAATATGCTAGTAGACACTTATTATTAGGAATTGCGAAAAGCGGGAAACAAACATATGTGGACTTATGCGTCTTGAGGAGGAGCAGAAGTACCACGTAAGGTCAACGGATAATGACTTTCTTCATCATCATCATCGGCCTCGCCTAGTTTGAAACCTTGGTAATCTTCGGTATTCAATCCTTGGGCAGCCTCTTGTAAAGATCCCAAGTCACCAGGAGTCATCAAACCAACTCTTCCTCTTGGAGATCCGGGAACAGACAATGGTCTTGTCAATTTCAAGTTCAGAGAGTTTTGGAAAGGATTTGCTCCATTCTTAAATCTATCTGGATAAGCTCTCTTCAACGACAATTGCCTAGCCTTAATGTATTCAAGGCCCATTCTCTTCCAATCCAACAAATCAGATAACCTTTCTGTTCTATTTCTCTGGTTAATTCTTTGTCTTCTCGTCTTTTGGGTAAAATCAAACATATAATCAACTAACTGATTGATTGATTCATCAACAGATTTTTCTCTTCTATCAACGATGTAAATTCCATAGTCACTGGTGTTTTCGATTAAATCCTCCATGTAACAACCAAAGCCAGATAAGTTAGTTGTAATCGAAGGTACGCCCATCACTGTACATTCAGCTGGGGTATAACCCCATGGTTCATAGTACGATGGAAAGACACCCAAATGGCATCCTCTCACAAATTCCTCGTAATCTAAAGGCAAAATAGGATTGTTAGAATTGAGAAACTCTGGATGGAATATAATCTTGACTCTATCCTCCGGCTTGTTAAACAACTGTACGCGTCTAATGTGAGTCAAAACCGGATCGGTGGCATCGTTGGTCATATTGTGAGTAACAATCGGAGGCAACCCATCTCTTTTCAAAGCGAAAATTCTTCTCTTCAACAAAACACGGTCAGCTGGTTTGATCAAGTCATCAATAGATGGGACCTCGCTACCATTGGTGTTATGGACATTGCTTTTGTTTGGGAATCGTGCGCAATGCTCAAACAAACGTTCACCAATCTTCTTTTGCACCTCAGAAATCGAGTTTTCCAACTGTTTCAACACCGCTTGGCCTTTCAATGTTTCCACGGTGTAAGAATTGATTTTTCCTGGCATGATTATAAATGCAACGACCGTCATTTTCGAGTTAGATTGCTTCAATCTGTGGTTCAACCTTGCTAAGGATTCGATAAAGAAATCTGCACCCTTGTTTCTAAATTCATATCTGCCTGCAATGAAGAAATAGAGAGTGTTGTCTAATTCGAAGTCGTAGTTTCCATAGAAGTGGCCTCTCACAAACTCGTTGATTTTGTCCTTCAGAAGCGCATGCAAGTTTTGGAACTCATGCACGGCAGAAAACTTGACAACATTCAAACCATTAGGCAAAACACCGTCCGGTTTTCTCTTCAACAAATGCTCTGACTCGTAAGCAGTTATATGAGACACTGTAGTAAACACATCTGCAGAGTGGGTCGCAGACCTCTCAATACAGTAGCGGTGATAAATTCCTCTCTTGCCTGCTTCGGCGTCCACGTCAAAGTACTTCAAATTATTGTAAAAGTCAGTAGATCCCGCACACAAGTACCGCCCAAGCAATGTTGCGTGGGTGGTGAAGATGGTTGTGACATCAATTCTCCGTTTTCTGCAAAGCGGCAAGGCCACACCAGCCAACCACTCGTGACAATGGCAAATCACTGCACGCTCGCGATCAACGTAGACCAACTCGCCCAAGAACCAGGCCACAATGTAACCCAAGAGAATAGCTTCGTTGGATTCATGGTCATGATCAGGAGTTGGAATGCCAGCAATGTTCCACAAGTCAGCTTTCCATTCATTGAGCATGTAGTCAGCAGAATGAATATCGAAAAGCAAAACACGGGGGGCACCTTCAATCAACCATCTTCCGTACAACCACTTGATACCACGTTCGCTCATGGCATCTAAAGCTGCTTTAACGTGTGGGTCGTTCAAGGGGATTTCCTCCACCTCAATCTGGGCACTTTCATGGTGCAATGGACCAATTAAGGTGTAGCGCTCCTTGTATTCGGAAACGGTGATGGGGGCTTTGGACTTGAGAACAGAGTAAATGCCACCAACTTTGTGGGCGACTTCTGTGGCCACCTCGAAAAGGAGATGGTTCTGAATGTCTCTGGTCATAATACTTTAGCAAAGGGCAGAGGACACTAAGGGGAGACACACCAGGGGGAACGATATCCTAGGATGAACGGCTTTGCCTAGGCGAAAAGTGTAAGGAAGAAAAACAAAAGAAAAGAGCACAAGAGGGAAAATACTCAGTACTTAAAAGCAGGGCAAGATGCAGTTTGAGGGACACTTCCAACAGAAAAATGGTGGGGTGTCAGACCTAATTTGAATGTTCCAATGTTTCGCCCATGCAGGTTCGGTTTAAGTCGGGGCAAGTGTGGAGTGCGCAAGAGATAAGTCTCAACAACGGGTTATGGAACCCATTGTGGGATACTCTACGGATCTTGGAAGTATACAGAATTTTTTCCTCTCGAATAGCAGTTGTCGTTGTCAAACTTGACATCCCAGAACTTGATCCTGTGTGTGCCTAAAAAGGACCGGACATTGGAGTGGTGTGTTCATGCATGGTGTATAATGCATGTATGGAAGGTGCGTGGGTCATATTTGGGCCATACATGAACCAGCCCACAATATAGATGGCGTTACTTCCTTTGGCCACGGATCCATTTAGGTCAGTGTTCCTTCACATGCTGGCATATTGTCTCGTGTTTTACTCTCTTTTTTCTTTTTCTCGCTTCCCCTTTTCTGTCCTTCATAAGGCATTCTTCTGCGGCTCTCTCGTGGTCATGTAAGTTCCATCGCATTGTGGGGTATTGAATGGAGGGGAGGAGCCATAAGCTTGCGCATTCTTATCTCGTAAAAAACAGAACAATTGTTCCGTGCCACGTTATTTTCCGTCCACGTCACTTGTTTTACTTTGGTTTTGAAATTGGTTTAATGTTTGTTTTATTTTTTTTTCTCTTGTTTAGACTCCTAATGATGTGATGGCTAGACAATATGGTTTCAAATCTTTTTGCGGCGATGGTACTTCTTTTCCATATTTTGTTCACTTCCTTTTCGGTGAGTCTGTGTTGTTTTTCCGCCCCAATGTGGAACTGCCACTGTAAGTTTACATCACCTCTTACATTGGTCATTTTTTACTTATGAACTCTATGTGTGTGTATTTTCTGTGGATCAATGCTATAAACCTCTATTCCTCTTCAATGTCCGAGTCTTCGTCTTCTTCAAACTGGTCAACGCTTTTTTTTCCGTCAGGCCCATACCACTCTTCTTCAGATTCAGCCATGTCATCATCATCATCATCATCATTACCCTCCTCTTCTCCAGAATCAAAATTCATTACCTCGTTCTCTTGATCGGCATCACCCTTTTCTTGTTCGCCATGGTCAGCAACCAAGTATGCATGCATGTAACTAGACTTCTTCGTGATGTGCACAAGGTCCTTGGCAACACGGGCTAAAAACCTTTGGATCAATCTAACGTTAGGTTGAAATTCTGCCTTGTGCTGGTTAATGTAACGTCCATGGCTTTTTAAGGTTTCTCTGACCCACATCAAATTGAACTCAATGTGCTGGCTTCCGTTGGAACGGTTCATTTTGTCACCCAAGTATTTAAGAAGTCTGCCAACGTACACCACAGGAGTATCGGTGCACACCAATTGGATATCCTTCACTGGGACCGACTCCACAACTCGGTCAATAAGATATTCTTCGTTCAAACGAAATGCCATCACCAACGCAAGTACCCAGTTGTGTTCATGTAATGCCTCATGAACACTATCAGGCGTCACGTCCAAATCCAAATCAAATGGATCAAATACCAAAGTATTCTCGGTTGAAAAAATCAATAACCCTTCAGTGGACGCTGCAGCAAATGCAGATGAAGTTGGAGAAAACTGCACGCATGTTACTCTCACCAGCGGTCTAGTAGTACGGACACTTGGATCACCTCTATGAGAGCCAGGTAAAGTCAAATCCATTCGGTCTTCAGCATCACTGTTCTCACCTTGCGTGTCAATTAAATCTATCGAGATTCCCGCGTCAGTAATGTTCTTGCTATTTAGCATCGTCAACGTTCCGTCCAATGCCATGTTCTCCGAAACAGTGAACCTTTTTAACAACACTTCATCTGCGATATCATAAAGGCAAATACTGTTATTATTTCCACCTGCAATAAGACTGAGTCCATCGAAGGAGTATGCAATCGTGGTAAAGTTTCTAGCTCTATGGTTGTTCTTAGCCTCAAACCGATCCAGCGAATGTCTACCAGCAATGACATCTTTCCTAATGTCAAGGATATGAGTTTGCTTAGCTTCTTCGATGTCATAGAAAACAAGGTTCCCGCTCAATGTACTGACAGCTACTTCTTTGGAGTCAGGGCGCATTGCAAGAGCCAAAACATCATGTTCCACTTCTATAGGTTCAACTTGTTGAGATCTGCTGAAAATATTCCAGATTCTGATGGTTTTGTCCCAAGAAGTCGACGCTAACACGGAATTTTCTGTTCCAAATGCCAAGCATGAGATCGGCCCTTCATGGCCAGCCAAAGAGTCTAAAAGGGAACCGGTTTGAACAGACCAAACATAAATTTCAAACTCGTCCTGCGATCCAGCCACAACAACTTCACCGCTTGGATCAACTGCTAAAGAGCTGAATTGAACTCTTTCAGGAGCAGTAAATGTACGAAAGTTTCTGAAACGAATCAAATCCCAAGCTCTTACAGTTCCATCCATAGAAGCTGAAAACATCACCTGTCCCTTCTTCGCAAAGGCAACAGCGCTCACGGCTCCGGTATGTTCGGTAAAAGTCGTAAGACAGAATCCGGAGTTTATATCCCACACCTTCAATTTACCGTCATCAGATGCCGTCACGACTCTTGATCCATCTGGAGAATAACACAAAGCGTTCATCGCATCGAAATGGCCCTGTTGCTTCAAGATGTAAGACTCGGATTTCCATTCGTACACGAGCAATTGCCCGAGTTTTGAAGACCCAAATGCAAGCCACTCACCTGTCTTGTTAATGGTGACTGTGTCCACAGCATTATTTCCCATACTTAACAGCTGTACCATGTTAAACTCTGGCAACTCGTAAAGTCTGAATTCACCATTGGTGAATCCTACAACTAACAAGTTAGTCTTAGCATGAAAGTCTGCGCATTTGACTTTCACACCGTCCATATGGAAGTAGTTCTTGGAAGTGATCTGCCATTGGCCATCTTCGCTCTTTTCACTTCTCTCTGGCGCAGCTTCTTCGTCATCAGATGCTGTTTCAGTCTCACTTTCAGAGTCACTGCTGCCAGAAACGTACTCCCATTGAAAAAGTGCACCATCTTTACTGAGCGTATAAATTATCTCTTGAGACTCATCAAAAAAAGCATGAATGACATAATCACGGTGGCCAGCAAGCGTAACCGCCACTTCTTTATCTTCATTATGCAAGGAGAAAATTTTTGTTGTCATGTCCTTCGAAGTGGAAAGGAGGAATCGGGAATCTTGGGACCAAGTAACCGATATAACGTCATTGAAATGGCCAGCATAGTTTTTGTAGCGAATAAATGGAGCAAATTGCCTGTCCTCAGTGTAGTCTGGAGTTTTCCATATTTGAACAAATCTGTCCATAGCCACAGCAAAGTATGCACCATCGTTACTGAATCGTATAGCTTTCACTTGCCCTTTGAAGTTAAAATGATGCAAAACAACACGCGAGACGAAATTCACCAAGATTGCACGCCCGTCAACATCAACAGATAACATTAAGGTCGATTGCTTGTTCAAGGCTACCCTCGCGATGTTCTTTCGATGTTGGTAGTCAAATGTGAAGGATTTATTATTGATCAAGTCGAAACAACTCACTCTGTTCCCAACGGGACTCAAAAGCTGAGTACCATCCTCATTGAAAACAATATTTCCCCGACTATAAACTGTTCCCACTAAGTTCGAGAGCTTAAAGTCTGATTTCATTGTAGGTACGGAGAAAATTCAAACTGAGATTCAATGGCACGAAAGGTATTTTTCAGAGATGAGCGATGAGAGTAACTATGTGCAGGTAGGTGACAGTACTGTTCATAAATCCACTTGTTAAAATGATTCTTTTAGTGTATCCTCTTTGAGTATCCATGTTTCTTCGTACATGTAAAGAATAATATTGGAGGAATGTCCTTGGTAGATTTTCAATGGGTTGGTGTTGCAGGTACAGAGTGCCGTTAGTGTTTGGTGTACGGGTGTGGTTGCTGATAGTACTTGTGTCTCTCTGGGCTCAAGAAAGACCGATAACATGGCCGGACTTTCCAGCAATGTAATGAACATGAAGTTCATGCAGAGGGCTCAAACAAAAAAGAATGAAAAGAAGAACGAAGATGCTATAAGGAAAGTCAAAGACTCCTCAGAATGGGTTCTTCCAAACAAACCTCTCTACAAGCGAAAACGAAACTTGCCGTCCAAGTTTCAAACAGTGGGTTACGGATGTATAGCCACTTTAATGACGAAAAATGAAGAGATAAAAGAGGATGATAAAAATAATGATGATGCGTCCAATGGAGCTGATAAAGGCATGGATGAAGATTTCCTGATCAATATTAGATGCTTATCATCTAGGATCCCTATGATTAAGCTGTAGTGTTCTTGTATATCCTTCATGTTTGACTCAATTTATATCGTAATCATATGGAGGTATATGGTAAGA